TCATCTGTGTTCGTTTTAAAATACTTTAATTGTTTGATATTCCCTCGGGTTTGGGCCTAGGCCTGATCAACCCGTGTCTCGGATCCGAAGGGTATCTCACCCCCCCACCCCACCCCACCCCACCCCACCCCAGAGGAGATATCACTAAGTCGCCCTTGGTACTCTTGCTATATTAGCTATTTTAGAATCAAAATTTTACATATACCTTTACAAAATTAAACATAAAATTTTATTAAAAGGAAAAAAAATATATGTTATTAATTTTTTAAATTAAATTAAATATTATTTAAACTCATAATGTAATATTTTTAAGTAACTAAATTTAAAGGAATATATATACAATAGATTCTATATCAATTCTTGAATACATTTATTTTTCAAGGCAATTTTCTAGACTTGCAGTATATATCTCTTGAATTTGAGGGGACTATTAGATTACATACATATCATTTCTAACAGTCACTAATCCAATTGTTAATATTGATTTAAAAGATTGACACGATAACGTACATTAAGGTGTCAATAATCCTATTACTTGGTGGTCAAGTGTAACAGGTGGACGCTTGTTTATTTATCCAAAAACTCAATCAGTTTGGTAGTGCTGCATACACACCCATTTATACCCAATCACCCATTTATACCCAATCATTTTTCCATCCGGATCTGATGTGGGACAAATGACCATTGTTACATTCTCCCCTAGCCAAACTCGCAACGCACTCGTTGCGACTCGGACCACCCTGACTACCTGGGGTGCTCACCCTGATGTCTTTTGGTCAGGCACTTGTCGTGACACCAGATTAATTAAGGATTGAGTCTGGCTCTGATAACAGTTATAACGGGTAGGCACTTGCCCATTTACCTAAAAACTCAAGCTGTTTGATAGTTCTGTATACCCACCCATTTATATTCAATCACTTTTCCATCCGAATCTGACACTGGACAAATGACCCTTATTACACCAAGCTGATATGTATGAATGGCAAGTAAAATCATTGACACGTTGATATTGAGTCAAACTTTTAACAGTGGCATTATTTTAATGGTGGCATTTGTGTATAAATAAGTACCATGGTTAACGAATTACACCACATCAACAACGATGTCCCACATAACTTAGTCAACGTATCATTAAAGTTACCACGACACCAACATACTTTGAATAGAAGATCGAAGAATCGAAGAACTGAGTTAGGAATTGGAATCAGGATTACTTGGGATTCGAAGAGATTTTGATTTAGTAACTGAAGTTCAGGATTCGATGAATCAACACTCAACCTAACTTGTAAACGGAGAAATACCATTTTGACTTTCAAATATTTAACCCCGTTTTAATTAAATATTATTTTATAATTATTTAAGAAATTAATCTCTTTTAATTATTTTGTTGATTGATCCACATTTAATATCATCAATGACATCATCCACTCTCACTTGGCCTATAAAAAGATATGATCGAAGGTGAAGAAGGAGAGACCAAGGAGGGAGGAAATACCTCCTACACTTTGAGAGCTTTAGGCTATCTTTTATTCATATTTTTCTCACACTTCACCCCTTCACCAAGGGAGTTAATGTTTTGTATACAGTCATCCTCTTCCTATCTCTCTCTCGAATTTTCTTGGGCTTGGGCTTCCACATCGAATACTACTGTGTTGCGAATTATACCTCACCATTTATTATTTTATTATAATTCTGAACCCCCGAGCACTAGGTACTTACAATACGCAAATTTTACGCTTGGAGCACGCATCTATGTTTTGAAGTTGGAATTGGATGAAAATTAACCGTCACAACCATCTATCACCCTCATGCAATGGTAATAAAAAGTTCTATCCACGTGTTCATTGTTTCTTGCTTCTGATTCATGTTAATGAGATTTCTATTTAATTTTCTAGTTTGATGTACTTGCATTCTGCTGCAACGTTAAATTTGAGCAATCGAATTCTTCCTCGAATTTTTTTTCAGAAAATCTAATGGAAGTTTTCTTGTACTGCTCTATAGGATTGGTTATCTACTTTCACTCTTAAACCTTATGCATTCATTAATTGTTATACAATTGTATATCATTTTTCATTAATCTCAAAATTGTAACCTTAAAAGTATGAAAAAATAAATATTTTTTGACTACTTGATTATCTTGTGTTTTAGTATCATAAAGTCTTAGTAACTCAACCACCTAGATGCTGGAAAGAAAGTGAGTACGTCTCATCCTGCATAAAAGCTTTTCCATAATATTTAGAGTATAAAACACAGAGACACTCATTCTTTGCTACGTATTACACAAATACCCCCTATTTTCACTTGCAAATGGCGTCAGACATCATGCAAAATGACTTGCATGTTTTGTCAAAACATCTATATATATAAATTACATTCTCTCACCTCTCCAGCTTCTACAGCCACCACCCCGACCCCAGACACCTCTTCCCACCACTTCCATGCATCACCGGCCATCTTCTCCACCACCACTACCACATCTCTTCTCTCTCTTCTAGTAATTATTTTCATTTTGTTTCTCAATGGAACTTTTACTGATTTGAATTCACACGATACCATTTTATTTATTTATTTTATTGTTTTGACATTTTTTGTTTATTTTTTTGTTTGTGAAAGTACTGAAATATGAATTTTACATGGCAGTTGGTTTGAGGTTTGAAGTATCTCCACCACCCTGACTTGAAGCCGAAAAGCCCGAAAATCATCTCATTATTGCAAATTTTGACCATAAAATTTGTGATTTCGGGCTTGCATGCACATACTACTGACAAGGGCCAGTTCATGACGGAGTACGTGATTACTCGCTGGTTGAACATTATGGGACCTCCATTGATATATGGTCTGTTGGATGTATCTTTGCTGAGCTCATACTGATTCTTAACATCCTTGGCAGCCAGAGCAAAGATGAAATTGAATTCATTGATAATTCAAAGGCAAGCAACTTCATTAAATCACTGCCATTTTCTTCCGGAACGCCCTCTACTCGTCTTTACCTAACAGTCCATCCTTTGGCAATCCATTTGCTAGAGAAGATACTTATTTTTAACCCAGCAAAGAGAATTTGTGTTACTGCAATTGATCTTATTTGATAAAATGATCATTCTGTATCAGAAGAATGTCTTCTAATTCAAGACTGATACATGCAGAATGATCATTTTATCGAATAAGATCAGTTTCAGTAACACTAATTCTCTTTGTTGGGTAACAGATTGATTGGCAAAGGATGGACTTTTAGGTAAAGACGAGCAAAGAGTATTCCGAAAGAAAATGACAGTGATTTAATGAAGTTGCTTGCCTTTGGAATATCAATGAACTCAATATCAAATAAGATTAGTTTCGGTTAGTATTGTAAGTCGTAACTCGCATGGGAGCGTAACAAGCAGAAAATTTAATTATTACGTTGAGCATCTAATTTTAGTGAATCATATCAATATGTATCATAATATCCAATAACTTTAAGTATGCATTTATTTTATTGAATCCTGTATGTAAATTTTTAATTAGTATATGATACTATTTAATTAGTATTGGTTATTATGTGGTCACTATCTCTGATCTCAATGTTATCTTTTTGTAAAATTTATATATGACATAAGACCAAGTCTGACTAGTATCACTCTAATTTTTTACTTAATTTTTTTGTCCAAAGATATGAATAATTTGTGGACATAATAGAAAAGAAATATATTATCCTTATGTAGAGCCTAGAGAAGTGCTCAGAATCAATATTTCGCAGCTCCTACCACATGACTTCACGGCAAGGTTATCTTTTGACAAAATGGAAGTGTACGTGTTGACATTGTGTACTCTTGTTGGTCATGTTAGTAATTAATTAAGGATAATAAATAAGTTGAGAGTGTGAAAAAAATATTTAATATCGCGGTACTTCTGATGTGGTAGTTTGATCAATGAAATTTTTTTATTTTGTTGAAAACTTTTAAATTTTATGTTATTAAAAAAAAAATTGAAAGAGTTTTTATCAAGCATTCTAGAGGTATTAAATACCTTTTTGTTGCCAAAATAAAATGAGAGTTTTCAATTTTAAGTTAATACAGAGTATATATAAGTTATTGTTTGTGCAGCACTGGTTTTTCCAAGGAGAAATGGACCCTCTCCAAGAAAATTTGTCTCTAAACATTTACATTTAATTATACATTTGTTAAGGAGCCATATCAACAATTTAATTAATTAATGAATATGATATGTTTGACTAAAAATGCACTTTACGGTTCTTTCTCATCCAAATAATTTAAAGGTTTGTGTAAAAATCCCCAAATTTGGGTATAATTTTTTTTTTTTAGAATTTGTAAATAAGAATATAGATTTTAATGAATAGATGATAATATTATATATATATATATATATATATATATATATATATATATATAATTTAACTAATTTAGATGTTTAAAATTTTAAAAGATTGAGGAGATCCAAATGACTTTTAAGTTATTCGATGTACTGAGAATTTAAAATACTTTCTTTAACTCAGAAATAAATGTAAAATCTTTTTAATTTTTAATTATAAAAATAAAGATGGATGATAATGAAAAAAATCGAAAAAGAAAAACCTAGGCGTTTTTGGTCTGACAAAATCCATTCCCTTTTTTAAAAATAATAAAATCTTAGCTTGAATAAATTCAAATGAAGTCTCATCCTCTTCACTTTTAAAATGACCTTTCGGCTATTGGGTAGGCCCAAATTAAATTTGCAGTATCAATGAAATCCCACCCTCTTAACTTTTCAGAGGACTTATTGATTATTGATTGGGCCTATTAAAGAAAAAAGTTCATTCTGTTCCCTTGTAAAATGACATATTGGCAATTAGGCCTGTTAGGCCCAAATTAAATTTGCACTATCAATGAAGTCTCATCCTCTTAACTTTTAAAATGACCTATTGGAAATTGGGCCTTTCAAGCCCAAATCAATTTGCAGTATCATCATCATGTTTATTTTTATTTAATTCTAATACAGCACGACTCGCACTTACTGCGTAAGTTAGCTAGGTCGGCAAATAACCCAACCCAATCATCTCTACCATACTAACTTCTCACACCCAGCACACTACAATGGAAAAGGAAAGCTCATAATTTCCGGGAACTCACTTTTCCCTCTCTCTTTCAAAAAGAGCGGACCCCGCCAGAGTCGTCCAGAGAGAGAAACAAAAATCATCAATTCCAGTTTTCTCAGATCTGAACCCTAATTTTCTCGAGGAACAAAGAGAAGGAAAAGGAAAATGCCGCGAGAAATCATCACTCTGCAAGTAGGGCAATGTGGAAACCAGATCGGCATGGAGTTCTGGAAGCAACTCTGCCTCGAGCACGGCATCAGCAAAGACGGCATTCTTGAAGATTTCGCAACTCAGGTATATACATTTCCAATCCATATACCTAACCTCCATTTGGTTGCCGAGAAAAAAAAAATGAAGATTCTAAAGTGTCATGTTTGTGTTTCGGAAAGAAAATATTACTGCCACATAAGTCGATTCAACTCAACCAAACTGAATTGTTAAATTACGCTATCAGTTTTGAGTTTCTCTCGGGTAGTAAGTGTGAGGGGAAAGTTGTATTTTATTTGTTTTCCTATATTTTATCAGCAAACAAACAGTGAATTGCTTGTTTATTTGTTTGGATTCCTTTTGTTTTAGTGATGTTAATTGGTGATGTAGCCAAATCAGCAATTAGTAGTATCACGTTTTGAAAATTATGATGAATTCGATCTTGTTTATTGCTGAGATATTTTGTGCTTGTGTTAAATGTCAATTTGTTCACTTTCTTACTTGTTTTTGTTGGAAAATATATATGCTTCATATGACTCAGTTTTTTCTGTAGCATTATTTATTTTTCATTAGATGATTAAATGAACCTCTGAAAAATGTGTATTTTTCAGAACTGTGCTGGGATTAATTTCATATCCACTTAAATTTCTTGGCTACATTAGTGATAGTGATACCTTTATCAAGTTCTAACTCAAACTTGGGGCCTCGGTCAAATCGTCAGCCATCAAGGCTTTTTTTTTTTTTTTTTTGATAACTAATTTCTACTTTGCTTTTTTATTCTAAAATTTATATGCATTTTTGGTGTGTGTATCTGCATAATCAAAATTTTAAGTAGTTTAATGCAGACTACAAAAAAAAAAAAGGACAAGTATGACTGTCATATGGATACCCATGCATGTTGACATATTATGACTAGCAATTCACTGGAAAATCTTGCCTCATTTGACATTGATGAGTGGTACAGCAAATATCTTCTTCAGTCATTCTTCATGTTCTGCATGAACACAGTGATCCATATTCAAATATTGATTTCAAAATGCTGCAGGGAGGTGACAGGAAGGATGTGTTCTTTTACCAAGCTGATGATCAGCACTACATACCACGAGCTTTACTGATTGATTTGGAGCCTCGGGTGATTAATGGAATTCAAAATGGTGAATATAGAAATCTCTACAATCATGAGAACGTTTTTCTTTCAGACCATGGAGGTGGTGCTGGAAATAACTGGGCCAGTGGATATCACCAGGTTAATTACATGTCTCACTATACTCATATTAAATTAGTGGTCTTGATTAATTTGCCTGTGAACCGATGAAATTTTTTTTATGAAAGCTGTACTATGAGCTCGACTATGCTTTTAGTTAGTCAGTACTTTAAACATTTTTTTTTCAGGAAGTGTATATAAGTTGAAACATACTGTGAAATTAAATCATGCTATATTTATATGGCCATGTTCTATTAATATGAAATAAATATAGCCTGACTGAAGTTCTTGTTGTTGTCCGTTGAAATATTTGAAGTTTATCTTGCTAGTTCTAAAATTAAAAGATGTTGATATTTTATACATATTGACAGTATAGTTTTCTGGTTGTTCAAATTGGATGAAGCAGCACAGTGTTTCCTTTGTGATATTATATATGTATACTTTTGCTGTATGAGTTTTTTGCATTTGCATATTGATAGATTAACTCGATCCCTTTATTCCATTTCAAAAACTTAACATGCAGGGTCACCTGTTTGCTGGCAAGCTGTTATAATGTTCTAGCACGAGTAATGATAATATTTGCTGAATTGAAATTCAAAAATGTAACCTGTTGAGTCACTTGTGCTTTTATGTGATAGTCTTGAATAGATGATGATTTTAACAGAAGTTATTCCAATTGTTTAACGATTTAGCCAAGTCTGAATTCTGAATGCATTTGCAGACAGAATTCTTAGTTTCTCATTCCTTAATAAGGTAGGGATGTCTGTTTATGTTGGGGGAGAGAGGGGCGTGGGAGAGGGAAGGAGGGAGGTTTGAAATCTATAGGAAATTCTGACCAGTCATGCCACATTCATCTGTAATGTTTTCGTAAGCTTACAAAGAAGCAGCTGACACTCTTTCTCTTGATCACTTCCTTTTCCCCTTTGTGCCTATGCAGGCTTTAACAGATTGAGTTATATGATGGTAGAGGATTGAGTTAACACCTTGAGGTTGTTAGGGGAGGAGTTTTATTGGGCTGGGGTAGAAGTGGGGTTACCATGAGGTTATTTGCATGCTTTTTATCATTTTTTAAATTGAAGAGAGACCAATTAAGAGTCAAAAATACGTTTTTCTTTGTTTTGGTAGACTCTAGATGTCTTCCAAAATCAGAGATTAAGGAGTGAACATGGTGCTTGAGACTTGCCACAAATTAGAAGCTTGTGGAGGAGATTTGTGCCATGGAAGTATAGAATTTTAAAAACCAGTGGTTGAATGAATATTAAAGAAGCAAGGGCTCCTTAAGATGCGGATGTACAAAAGGAAATTTTGATCAACTTTGTTGATTTTCAAAATGGGAATGTGCATGAAATGACATATCACTATCAATGTATTGAATGCCCATAAGTTTCTGTATGATACATTGATGCGATTATTTTAATTTTTGAGATTTTGGATTCCACTATAAGAATGGAAATTGCTTTGGTGAACACTTATAAAATGTATAAATTACTCATGTACACAGCATTTTGTGAGTGCTGGTATGGGTGTGCGAAATGTGTTATGCCCACCTACAATTGGACAAATGTTTTTGACATCCAAGTTTGAGAGAAGTGCACTGTACAGTGACTCCAGTCTATGTCCTTCCTATATGGTGTGTTGAAGGGAAGGGGAAAAAGAGTGGCCAGGGGGGTGGGGGAAGGAATTCAAACACAAAGTAACCCTTGTCAACATTTTGCACATACAAATTTTAAAATAAAAGCAGTTTACAAGAATGGCACACTGTGGTATATAGACACTCCATTTTACGTATTTAAGAGGAGGAAATTTGTTTTTCAAGTATATAGCCATGTTCTGACATTTGGATGCTAGAAGATTTAATGTCTGTATGCGTTCTTGCACCATGCACATGTACTTAAATTGTAGGCGCTTAGGTTGACATTTAGGATTTTTAAGTTGCCATATGAGTTTCAAAAGAGGCCTTTATAGAGGGTTAGTCCTGCCAATGTGGGGTTTTGGGAGGTTAGGTGCAGAGCTTACCTTTGGCAATATTTGGACAAATTGGCTTTTGAGTTGCTGTATTAGTTCACAGTTCCTACAATATAGTAGTTCATGGATGGTATAGGCTCAGGATAGAAATGTTGTAAAAAAAAAATTGTATTTTTGCTTTTGTTTTTTCAATTTTTTTCCTGCAAGGACACAGATATATCCTTTCTTATGGTGGTCATTTGATGCTCCTAGACCCAATGGCTTTCTTTGCTTGGACAGGCCTTGGAAATGAATTTGGATGTTGGACCATCTTATAACCAGGAAGGAGTTTGTTTGAATTGTGCCACTATATATTTTAGGAGGCGGATTCTGTAAATCACAGTTGTTGCTTGCTAATGTGGCTGAATAGGCGACACGGCTTCTCCTGTCCTCCACAAATATTTTTGGTTCATGATAGTATCAGCTTTAGAGATCTTCAAGGTTAGCTTAGTTTGCTAAGGTTTGGAGTGATTAAGTGTGCTCACTTGGAGAATTACTTCTCCGTGTTTTGATTGGTGTGTGATGAACAAGAGAGGTTTTTTAAGTGGTGCTCTCTTCGACAGATTCAAGGATGTTATTCTCAAATCTTTCTATATAAATTCAATTGGACTGGGGTACTTCATTTTTTATTTTATTTTATTACTCCCTTCGTCCCAAAAAGAGTCTCTTTTGGGGAACCGTGACGGTTCAATTTGTGAGAGTCGCGGTTCCCCAAAAGAGACACTCTTTTTGGGACAGAGGGAGTCTTATTATTATTATTTTTATATAATTGGTTTTTCAGAAGGGACTGTTAGTTAGGTTGTTCTCTTCTTTCTGTAGGGGTTGTTCAGCTAATGTTTTTGCTTCGTATTTTTTGCTTTTGCTAGTGTACTGTAGCGAAGCAAAGGCACAAAGCATGTTTGGTAACATTTGTTGTCATTTGAATAGTACCAAAGTGCTTCCGAAATTGAGGCCAAAATCCGAAACATAAAAATGTTACTTTTGTTTGCTTCCGCACTGTAGCAAAGCATTGTTCAAAAAAAAAAAAAATTTCTTTTTTTTTTTTTTATAACTAAAATGACATTTTTAACTAGCCATTCAATTTTTTAAACTTGCAACACTTTTTACCAAACATGCTTTCATGTTTTTACTTCCAAAAATCTTGCTGCAAATTTACATTACCATACAAGCTTCGAAATAGTGTTGAACACACTCTAAAGCATAAACATTGCTTCTGCTTTGGGTCAAAGCAAAAGCGGTTGCCAAACGGCCCGTAGTCTCTTGGCTTCATATAGTTTATGTGTAGTAGGGTACTGCCCTTTTACTTTCTAAATTTTGTTTATATACGAATACCATAAAAAACAATATGCTTAATTGCTTTGGCCTGTAATCTTTTCTCAAATATATATTTTTTGCCTTTCTGGTATGATTTATGACCTATTAATATTTTTCATATATTTATATCTTAATTATTTTTTGATCAGGGGAAGGGCGTTGAGGAGGATATAATGGACATGATTGATAGAGAAGCCGATGGAAGTGATAGTCTGGAGGGTTTTGTTTTATGCCATTCAATTGCAGGAGGAACAGGCTCTGGTAAGAACCCTTGTTATTCTTTTTCCTTCTTTTAAAAGTTTGGTGCATGTTGTGAAACTTCATTCCTTATTCTGTATTTTCCCAGGAGGTTCTTATTTACTGTATTGCCATGACATAAATTTCAATATTGGTTTAGGTTTTCTTGGGACTCAAATTGATTCAGTAATTGAATTAGAATGGACCAAATTGATCCCCTTCATATGTTCTTTTATTTCTTTTTTATCAGTAAGCTGGTTTTTGAACCAAACCCAGCTTAGTATTAGTCATAGTTGTTAAAATCCCGAATCTGGATCCTAGAATCTTACGATTCTTCTATCCCAAATTGCCAAAGCCGATCCCGATCACACACAGAATTGTTGGGAAGTAGAATCTCAGTAGGATCAGTATATTTGGAAGTAGGATAGTAGAATCGTAAAGGATCGCACGATCGACCAATTCTACCAAATCGTGTTGTTTTGTTCTTCCTTCGGATTTATTTGGGTCAACAATTAATTTGGACTATTAAATTTAATCATTTTAAATATTAAGTTCAACTCTTTAGCCTAATTCCATTAAAAAAAATTAAAAACAAAAACCAAGGAACTGGACATCAAATGTAGAGACGATCAAACTTTGATTTTCAAAGGTATGGTTCAAAACTTCAAAAATTTCCTCTTTTATTTTTATTTTTATTTTTTATTCTTCTTAATTTCTCTTTTCTTCTTTCTTTTTCAGTACAAGGAACAGAAAAAATTATATTTTTCCATATATTCTTTGTCCATTCTGAAACAAAAACAAAGAGAGACTTCATATTCCTTTCAAAGGTTTTTCTTTCTATCTTTGTTTTGTTCCCTTTTTTTTAACCAAAAATTAACTTTTCAACTAAATTTCTCAAACAATTAGGTAACTAAATTGTACTTTTCTCTCTCTACTTCTCTGTTCCCTTTTCTATTTGTTTAGGCTTTACTTTTATTTCTTCTCTGAGATTTTGCTTGATTGTTATGCTGAATTCATGTTGAAATCAAGAAATTGATTTTAAATGTTTGTCTCATGTCTTACAATCTTTTAATGTTAATTGATTTTGCTAGAGTGTCTCATTGGGTTATTTAGCCTTATCAAAAATATTTAACTTAGAAAGTTAGTTTGAGTTACATTTCTAATAGTTTTATAGAATCTTATGATTCTTGATCCGATCCTATGGACCCCTAATCGATCCTACGTAGAATCCCAATCCTAACAACTTTGGTATTAGTATATAGGAAATGAACTATACATGAGAAAATTTACAAGCCGGGGTCCTTAGAGACATGAGTAATGGTTGTGGATTTCTAAAACCTCATATATATATATATATATATATATATATATATATATATATATTTAAGTGTTTATATTGGTATGTATATTACTGCTGAACTACTTTCTTGCCAGAGAAATTGTTGAGTGGTTTAACTTTTGGGGTTTTTTCTATTTGATTATTGCATGGTTTCATGCAGGTATGGGTTCATATCTGTTGGAGGCTCTGAATGATCGCTACAGCAAAAAGCTTGTTCAAACATATAGTGTGTTCCCCAACCAGACAGAGGCAAGTGATGTGGTGGTCCAGCCATACAACTCACTTTTAACACTGAAGCGACTTACACTCAACGCTGATTGTGTAGTTGTTCTTGATAATACTGCACTTAATAGAATTGCTGTGGAGCGCCTTCATCTTGCAAATCCTACTTTTGCTCAAACAAATTCTTTGGTCTCAACTGTGATGTCAGCAAGCACAACCACATTACGTTATCCTGGATACATGAACAATGACTTGGTTGGCCTTCTTGCCTCTTTAATTCCAACACCAAGATGCCATTTTCTAATGACAGGATATACACCACTAACAGTGGAGCGCCAGGTAATATATCTGCCTTCACATTCTCCAATTTATAGTTTCTCTTCAGCTAACCATGTGTTGTTTTATTGTTCCAATCTAATCTTGTGATATATGTGTGTGTGTGTGTGTGTGTGTATATATGTATATGTATTCGTATATCTTTGATAAAGATTTAATCTTGTTATATTCTTTATTGGGAGCTTATGAACAATTTGCGTTTCAATGGATATGCATTTTTCTTGTTTATCTTTTTTGGGAGCATGTACTGTTTCATTTTATCAAGTAATCAATACGAAAATGAGGTTTTTTTATTGGCCTGGGCAAAGATATAATTTCTAAGTGTTTTTTCAATTTTATGGAACTTCGGCAATGTCATTGAGATTTGAGACCAGTTAATTAACAACCTCTAATAACATCATCGAATATATAATGCATCTGATTGTTGGATTGCAAAAGCTTATCATTTTTCCTTCCAGAAATGTATTCTGCTTGTCATAGTGGAATAAATGCGAGGAAAGGACTTGTATGACTATAAGTTTTCTTTTATTTCTTAGAATTTGAGTCATTTTACAATGATTTCATTTTTCTTCATATATTGATAAGCTGATGTCTACAACTATGAAGCATGTTCAATTTTGGCCATTCCAGAAATTAGAATGTGACATCCATTGAGCTCAGTACTAATTTGACACTTAACTTTGATCCAAGGCTGTTGAAATCAAGATCCTTTGTTGGAATGGATGATCTTCAGGGCCGGAATGTTTCTGTATTTTAAGAATTCTCGAAAATATACCATGAATAAGTCTAAAGTATAGAAAAAATAAGACAAATATTTGAAATTGGTAACCTTCTGAAAGCTCTTCTAAAACATTAACTTCAAACTAAAGATTTTTATTAGCATGAAAAACATCTATTTGCTTGCACTGATTATGATGGCACATTAAAATATTATAGTTAGTATGAAAATTTTTAATTTCAATATGAAATGATTTTAATTTAGAATCCTCAGAGCACGTTCCATCAAACGATTTTTACCAGAGCCAATAACATAGGGGAGAAAAAGAAAAATGAATCTTTTAGATTTGTGTATATGAGAGATTAATTGGTTTGAAGAACTTACTGAGTTTGAGAGGAATATCAAAGTTGATGACCTGAAACAGTTGCTTTTAGCAAAACTTTTCCCCCCCTTTCCGTTATATATCATAGCAAAATAACCAAGCAAAAGAAACAGAAATTAAAAAACATGAACTCTTACTAGTCAACAGTTGTTATATATCATAGCCTAAAGTAGGTCTTCATCTTCATCCTACAATATTACTTGGCTTGGCCTGAATTTATCAAAAAGGTACACTGCAGTAGTATTATTAAGCTGTATAATAGAATTGTTAGAATCAAAAGTCAGCTTGGGCCGAGGCTACAATCTTAGGGGGATTCTACTGTCCTGTGATTTTGTTTGGGATCTAGATAATTTAGCATTTTTAAATTATAAGATTCGGATCAAGATTTTAAACAACCATGACTAATCTATGCTACATGAACTTGTATCTGTATGTTGCACGTGGGTATATACTTATTCAAAGACTCACAGTAAACTGATGGTTTGTCTTTGTTCTCCTAGAACTTGGTCTCATTTCATTTTGGCACAACCCTGGTTTTGAAACTCGGCAGACTTGTAGTGGACTTGGCCATGTCCGATAGCCACCAATATATCTATTGGAATTGAGTCACATCAGAGTCGTCCGAGTCCCTATGGACTTGGTGAGTCTTTTCTGAATCCCTAAGGACTTAGCCGAGTCAGCACATCTGATGGTGTGTAAGGTTGAGAAAATTTCACTACCACAGTTTCCAAAAATGTTATGTAACACTTGTTGCACCCTACGTCCCTTACACTATGTCCGCTTCTGCGTCCGTAAAGCACCTGCCAAAAAAAAAAAAAAAGAAAGAAGAAGAAAGTTGGTGGAAGCAAACAAGTTTAGTTGACTGAATTGGCTGGTTATGAAAAACTGGCTGAATTTTAAGGTGAACTTAAAAATGATATAAAAATGTCATTGTAGATCTTACTAGTGACTTCTGTTGCTAATTGGCATTATGAAAGGCTGCAACTTTCTGTTGTCACATAAGCTGCAGTCTGATGTAAATATATCTCTTCTTGGCAGGCTAATGTGATTCGTAAGACTACTGTACTAGATGTTATGAGAAGACTTCTTCAGGCAAGAGAAACTGCACTTACAACTTTCTCCTAGGAAGCACTTATAGGCATGATCCTGACATAGGTTTGTTTTGCAGACTAAGAATATCATGGTATCCTCCTACGCTCGAACAAAAGAAGCTAGTCAGGCAAAATACATTTCAATAATGAACATCATTCAAGGAGAAGTGGACCCTACTCAGGTAGTAATTCTATTCTATTCATTATTGTTCTGAAATTTCAAGAGAACGTGTATCCCTCTACTTTAGTTCTTTTACAGTGAACTTATCTCTTACGGGGTCACAGAAGACATGCAAGGTATTAATTTAAATTGGATGAATAGTACTTCATAACATGATTTGCAAAGACACTGCTTTTCTCAGCTGTGTGATTTATTTTCTTGCCAATTTCCAGAATTATTTTTCTTGCCAACTTGTTCTGGAATAGGTTTTAGTACGGTAGTAATCTTCAAATTCAAGTTTTCAATTGTGTGAGTTTTCAGCTTAAAGTGTCATACACCACAGTTTCACTTCCATTAATTCATCACATCATTGCCATTATCTTCTGGTAAATTTATCTGATCATCAGTTTCCTTTTTTTGTTATTTAAGAGAGTTTGTAGTTTCCTTTGCTTTCATGTCCTCCGGCATATGGTTTCACCTTTTTCTTTTCATCTGGGTTCACATGGTCTTCTAAGATTTCTTAATGTGATTATGATATTATGTATGGATGCAACCCTAGATGAAAGGGAGATGACAAAATTAATTTACAGAGGCAACCAGCTGCACGAAACTTATTGTTCTGGAGAGTCTGAACCCAAATTTTCTAGTATTCATTTTCTATATTGAAGGAGTTCAGCAGTCCACGTTAGGCCAAAAATCTCTTAATACTAAGCTTTGGCATTAATTTTTGCCCACTGAATGTTTACAATATTCTAATATTTTAACCATGGGATTGGGCTTTGAATGGTAATAATTTGCAGTCCACTAGAATATGGTACACGGCAAACCTTTAGCCAAACATATTGGGTCAGGTGCACAAATGTTGTTCCTCCTTTTAGCTTTTTATAATATATGGGACTGTAGTTTTTTTCTTTTTCTTTTTCCTTTTAAATGTAGACCAACACATACTCTCTCTCTCTATACACACACCCCTATATTCGGGTAGATTCTCAACAACACATTATGTATCATGTTAATGTGAAGTTGATGTGATTCTTGTTAGAGCGGCAATGTTTGATAATTAACATCAATGGGCTGCATTTTGATACTTAAGTGCTTTTCATATCAGGTTCATGAAAGTTTGCAGAGAATACGTGAAAGAAAGCTTGTTAATTTTATTGAATGGGGCCCTGCAAGCATTCAGGTCGGTCTTGTATGAGTACTTTTATTCAATACATTCTCTATCTCCAAATAATTTGGAGTTTGTGGTATCTTTTGATTTGTTTGCTTTTGCAGGTTGCTCTTTCCAGGAAGTCTCCCTATGTTCAAACTGCCCATAGGGTGAGCTCTTTTTATTCTTGGAAGTTTTACAGGAAATCTGGAAATTGCCTTTTTGTTTGACTTTGGTTGACATTGTTCGATAGTATTTTGTACTTCTAAAATATATGGATGAAAAAAAGTTTATGTTCCATATTATTAGGTTAGTGGTCTTATGCTAGCAAGTCATACTAGTATCCGGCACCTCTTCAGCAAGTGTTTGAGCCAGTATGAGAAGTTGAGAAAGAAGCAAGCCTTTCTTGACAACTACCGGAAGTTTCCAATGTTTGCTGTAAGTTGCCCGCCAATTCTGCCTTTGTTATAATTTCGTTTTAGTTCGTCATTTAACTGAGAACTGCTATCTTGATTAATAGACTGACTTCCATTTCTTCTTCATTGTTTGAACATTCTATGATTATCACACATAAAACAGTATATGATGCATTATATCTTTTTTGCTGAACCTGGTGTGATGTCATTTCAATTTCAATAATATGAATCCCTACTTCTTGTCTTTTATACATTCTCGTGATGTCAATTGTCCATTTTTTTTCTGTCATGAAAAAGTTGATCACGTTACATTGATTTTATATTTACCCCAAGTTTAAATAATATCACTTTGCCACTTTGATGATTTTGTGGGATTCCCGTGTCTTATTATAAGGGGGCCAAACAAACTTCAAACCTGGCCACATGCACCTAACGTGCATGCTTGAGCCCGTATAACATGATTTTAGGGTCATCGGTATTAACAGGAGTGACAAACTTTGTACTAGTACTGATGTTTTCCCTGTAAGGTTCATTTGTAGTACCTTTATTTTACCTTAAGGTGGATGCACATGTTATCAGTTACTCAAAGGATTATTGCTTGAATGGGAGCATACAACTCAAGGTAGAGACAACTAGAGGAATGGCAGTGGTTGGCCCTGGGTCATGAAATTCAAACAGAAGCTCTTAGAAGGGTTGAGATCTCTTCAACCCATTACAACAGGTTGCTTGTCCTTGCATAGTGCTAACAATTGATATGGAGGTTAATCAAGATGTGAAGCCCATATCGAAGATTTTATAGTTTTTATGCACATTGATTATCTATCAAACATGCGCTGTACTTTGCTCATGCTTTGGGAAGTTTTTGGTAACCTTAAGCATAAGTTCTGGAAGACTTTGGGAAGTTTTGATGTCATAGAGCAATTGGAGCCCGAACAAAATAATTATACCCCTAAGACAACACATCAATTGCATTCTCCAATCTACCTGATCCAACTCATATCAGGGGAGGAAATTTTAAGTAGATATCTTACCAAAAGAACGAACTGAACTGTTGGTGGATAGAATGCAGATATAGAATTTGATTGGAAAAAGAAGTTTTACATTGCTGTATTATCAGGTATTTATGATACCTTTAGCTTCCTTAAAGAGAATTTTGTGTTTTTTTTAGGCCGGACCTGTTGAGCAGTGAATTTTTTTATGATAACACAATCTTTTACAACAATATTGTAAATATTTTGAATTATGCCAAGAAATATAACCATGTTTGAAGCTCATGAATCATGATCGAAGACCTGGCCTTGTTTGGTTTCTTTTGTTTCATATAGAAGAAATAAAGACTAGAGCTGATGTTGAAAACTACCCATAGTTTTTGAGCGGCATGTTTATTGTTGTTCTGTGTAGTTGTCCTCTTCTTTTTTTTGGCTGGCCCAGTGTGTGGATTGCCTCAATCTGATATGTTTGATTGTGAAACATGGACAGGATAATGATCTGTCAGAATTGGATGAATCGAGAGACATAATCGAGAGTTTGGTTGACGAATATAAGGCCTGTGAATCCCCAGATTACATCAAATGGGGAATGGAGGTAAATGTTCGAATGTCCCTAAATTCTCCCATCCATGGTTCACCACGGATCTTACTGATGATTTTGTAACTTCTTTATGCAGGATCCGGACCACACTCTAACTGGAGAAGGTAACGCTACAGGAACAATGGATCCAAAATTAACAGTGTGAACCTCGTAAGTTACTATCACTAGCTCTCATGAAGTCACCTTGGCTATATTGGTACTTTCTCATATGAATAAAATAACGCGTATATTGTTTTTCTGCAGGGACTTTATTGACCAAGGAATTGCTTATGTATTGATGCTTTTCGCCCTACTTATTAGTTATTACATGCATACCTCATCCATCCTTTGTATGCCTTTTACTACAAATTCTACGTTTGTTCATCGGATTCTATAATGAGTTCAATGTGTATAAAGCTATAAGTTTTCATTTTGTATTCAATTCGACTTATGTTATGTTATGTTACTGATTTAGTTCACTTTTCTCTTGTCAATTTTATTTGTCTTGGATAGCCGCCTTCTAGTCTGAATTGCTCCACTTGATGTTTTCTTCTTGTTTTATCTTTTAATTAATTTCGTGTCCCATATATGCGTGTATAGGTACTCATTTGAGAAACTCTGCTTATTGATTCACACACAAAGGTTCAAAGTTGTGGCTAAGCTACCACGTCCGGTAGGTTTTGCCATCGAAAGAGCACAAGATTTATTTTGAGATACGCATATGTTGAGCATTTAGTTGGTTTTTAGGTGCAGCAATGATGAATCAATCCATTCACTATAAATATAGTCCAACTCTGTATAGTCAACTATCAAAAATGCTTCATTTAGGCTCCGTTTGGTTAGATGGAAATAAGTTAGAAAAGAAATAGAAAGTGAAAGAAAAGTGAAATGAATGAAAAGAAAAAAAAAATTTCTAGTTTGTATTTGGTTAGCATGAAAATTTATCCAAAAAAATTGTAGAAAAATAATAGTTTGTTAGTTTGGATAGCAAGAAAGTGATTATGCATATCAAAATTACCCTTATGAAGTAAAATGATGAATTATTAAATTTAAATATATAATTGTTTATATTCATTTTTATTATTTATATTTAGAATAAGGCTCTATAATATTTTCTAGGTAAAACTAATTATTAGTTTAAGATAAACAAATTAAAAAAAAAAAAAAAAAATTTGAGACGAAAAGGCAATATTGCTCTTTGGGAGAAAAATTAAATATTTCACCATACATATATATATATATATATACCGGATTATGAATAACTAGAATTGCCACGCCACATAAAACAGAGGATTAAAAAAAAAAAAATTCTATCTAGAAGCAAGATTTATTTTTCATGAATTTGGTTAGTATTAAAGTCTTTGGAGAAAGTTATGATAAAATATAATTTTGTCAATTTAGGTAGGATGAAAGTAAAAATAAAATAATTCTACTTATCAAAATTACCTTTACATCAGTTAAAATTTAAAAAATAAATATTGTGCAATAGATGATAAAAAAAAAATTATAATAAAATAAGGCAACTAATTTTTAAAAGTTGAATTACACATAATTAGAGAGCAGAGACTCAACTAAATATTAATATTTTTTTTCCTTTATTTTTGAACCATACATGGATTACATTAAAAAAGATGCACCTATCCTATTTTATTGAAAGAAAGAAAATTATTGCTTCATAAAAATAGTCGTTGAAAACTTACAAAGTCACAAAAGAAAAAGTTACCCAACAACAAATACAAACAAGTTAGTTAGATAAAATATGAAAGTCAAATAAAATGGACTCCTCTCACGGGAAAATAATATTTTCGTGAAAATTTTTGGGGACAAATAGACAGATGTGGGAAACCAAATTTTCTCTTTCTTTTCTTTTTCCTTCTATCCAAACTCCAAAAAAATTTTAAAATTTTCTCTTTCTTTTCTTTTCTAGTTGATTCCACCTAACCAAACGAAGCCATAACATTAGAGCCAAGAAAACCACATGCATGTTGTTAAGTATGCAATGACAAAAACAAAGTAAAAAATACTTGGGTTTGATTTCTATTTATCAGGGGGGTAGTTTCTAGATTTCTGGTCATCTGTCGTGAAAACTTAAATTTAATCTCAGCAACCGAATCAGATTGGCGGTGCGGACCCGGATTGAATTGCAATGATTTAGTGTCTTCAAATATCTGAACTGAGGCAATATGCCGACTTTGGCCTTGTGAATCCAAATTTTGCTGAATAGGAACTGCAAAATGGTATGTCTGTCTATCTTTGAGATTGTTGATATTCACAATTGTCCAAAAAATAGTTTTCCCCAGAGTGCTGCGCAGGGCACGAGATTTCCAACTGTGATGATCATCTTCTGTTTTTATCATTGTTTTGAGTTTCTGTAATGTATGGCGTACTTGACGACTTCATAAAAGGAGACAACAATCCCGACCGAAGGGCCAGCACGACCAACACGGGGAACAACTCCTGTAAAGAGCCCTTTTATTCCTCCATCCCTGTCGAGTCAGTATTAGCAAACCACACAAGCACAACAGATAAATTAATGACTTTGGCTACCAATGATTGTAGTGATGTGGGAATTACAAGTCTTAATGCCATTTCTCAAACAGTAGCCCAAAAGACAAATATAATATCGAAAAGAGTTGAGCAAGCCAACCGCGTTCATTCATGAGATTCATAGTTGGTGAAAAAAAAAAACATGCTTTTTGGGGGGAGAGACTATTTCACCAATGGAGTCATAAGTTTCTAACATATAATATCAAATCTGCTTCAAAGTAAGGATGAAACTAATGACTGGTGAAACTAATGACTGCACCACTAAGATGGGCAATTACAAAAATGAGGCGAAGACTCATGCCTCAAAGTTCATTCTAGTAGTGCATGATCTTAACATGGAGTTTCCACAAGATAATTATGCTTTGAAACAATCATATGCCACGAGAACAGAGAACTCACACTGGCAAGAGATTTTTTGTAGGACAGGTAGTTCATATACTGATATATCCGGGAGTGTCCCTGAAGTCAGAACAAGGATACAAAATTTAATGCCCAAAGCCACGTACCCAATTTGGTCCCTCTAATGCAGGGTGTCAGGAAGATTTGGTTAATTGCAAATCTAAACCTTGGTCATAAATGCATGAAGCGATTTCCACCCTACTCAAACCGTATCACTAGATAATGTGTGCTATTTGGTACCTACCTGATATACCAGCAGGTTCAGTAGACAGGACCCTCCAAGGAGGTCCATTAAACAATAATCCTCATAAAGAAATCTTAAAATTTTTTTTTTTTTTTTGGAAGTGGTACTCCACTTTTGCAAAGGCCTATGGTTCGAACACAACCAACATGTTAAGTGACCAAAGCCTTACCAGCAACTGATAAATAGTACAAATAACAATTTGAACAGGTTCTACATACCTCCAAATTTCGATCAAGGTCTGTTTTGTGGTCATCTTCAATGCTCGGGCTGGGTCCTTCTAAAATTACAAAAGGAACAACATATTAAGAACCAGAAGGTATAAATAACCAACTAATAACTTTTGCAAGTCAATCCAGTCAATTTCTACGTGTCTAATTATTATAACAATTCCTTGTTGGGTGCTAATTCCACCTATGTCTTACCCAATTAGCATTTCTAGTTTCTCAATCTTTATTATTGATAGGGATCGATATTCACATTAGAAGAATAGAATTATACAATAGATGTCAGTGTTCTAATGGATTCCTTGATAAATATAAAGAAACATACAGTGAATAATATTGGAATCTGTCAGATATTCAATACAAATTACTCAAGAGTCAAGACTCATTTCCAGATAATGATAACAAAGGTATCAAAAATATGGGCTCCTTTTGCCTTCAATACTATACTTGCTGCAAGAAGAATTCATGTATGGAAAATCTGCTGTGCCTTGGGAACCATGACTGATTCCACGACTTGCAGCTGTGCAAATAGAGCACGTGAAATTGGTTGGCTCATGGAAAGTTTGCCCTCATAGATCTCTAGCATTTTCACCAAAAAAAATTGGTATATAGATGCACATGGTGATAACAATATTCTTCTAAGGCACATGATGTGTCATACTGGAAACAACAATTGTTAGATCCTTTACCCCTATGTCATATACCATAGAATGCTCTCAGGTTGACAGATAGCTTCAACAATATTCCTCTTTGGTAACCAAGTTAGGTTCAATATTTTGCAAAAAGGCTCAAAATTGCAAGATGGTATGCACATAGTGGAAAAATGTAGAGGGCCACTCGTTGAATATAAGCTCTCAGAAATCACCTCAATATTCCACATCTGAGTGGGAATTTCATTACATTACATAATTCATTTTTTATTGTACCCATTTTTTTTTTTTCCCCTATTTATATCATTCTTCTTATTCCTTCATATATTTCCCTAGCGGGTGTGCCCGTGTTCGAGTCCCCCCCTCCCCATAGTTTGCCAGGATATAAATTTTTTTTTTTTTAAATGTTTAAATTCATAATATTAAATTATGCAAAACTCAGCCGATATAGATGTTTTAGTGAAGCATGGCTCAGAGAAACAACCTCAATTTGCCGCCGAGTTTTCGCAACATCTAAAGGACATGTTGCAGCTGCTGCAGTGATTCCTGCAAAAAATCCAGCACAGAAGTTTGCACCGACGACATTGGCTGCGCTTGTTTCATCACCCACCCAACGTAAAATTCTTCTCCTGACCTACAAAAAGGAGCAAACAAGATCCATATAGAGTTGGATATTTTTGCTTGAGTATAAATAATAGGATTTAACAAGGACTACATTGAGTAATGACCCTTTGACCTTTTTTAGTAAAATAATGGAAAACCACAATCTATCACTAGAACTGCTTTAGTAGAGATGAAATCTCACCGGCTCAAGGGTTGACCAGCAGATTGCAGAGAATGGGACGTCACGAACAAGTTGTGCTCCAAGGCCGGTCCACAAGATGCGGTAGCTTTGTACTGCCATAAGAAATATGTAATTTAAAACTTGTTAAATCGCTAAAAGTCAGAGAGAAGATAAGTAACCATAATCAATGAGTAGGACTAGGAAAACAGGAAGAAAAAATATTAATAATAATAAGAAAGGAACAAACATGTTTCCGAGAAAGTACAAGAAAATAAATGAGAAAATGTTAGAAGCAGCAGACTTGATGAAAATGGTGTCTTTACTTGTGTACTTTGAAACAAAAGCTACTACTTAACAAAATGTAGATTTAACACCATATTCTGAGCAGTTAAGGATAAAAAAGAAAGAATTAAAATAAAAAAAAATTCCCAAACATGAGCAGCAAAGGACAGGGAAGGATCTAAACAAATATAAAAATGATAAAATATCAGCTGCAAGACAGACTTTATAAATTCTAGACCTCCGCATACTGTTGCCATTGGAAGCTATGCATGGATCTCATGAGGATAATGGGTCTTCCAAAATTGACACTATTTTGCAAATCATAGGTAGTGTTAGCAATCCAACTAGCTTTTCATTAAATCCGCATTGCTTCTCATTTCAGAAGATTCTGATAAAGAATATAAGTTATTAATAAAGAATAAAGGGGCCGTACATTGGAAATATATTGGGAACAAAGGGAAGAAACAAGGCCAATCAATTAGACAACCCAAAGTACACTCATTAATAAATAACAATCAGTTAGGTCATGCATGTGTGCCTTTGAGTGGACAAACCTAGAAATATTAACCAGGCAACTTACAATTTTGAAGGTTGTTTGTGCTTCTAACTGGGGAGATGACCCCCGACAACGTCTTCCATACTCCTGGAGGTTTCTCACCAGTTTGAATCTCTTTAAATGCCTATAATTAAGAAGACTTTGCAATCAGAATCAATAAATTACCTACAAGCTGGTTATCCAACAATATGGTTCTTGCTCGGAATGTACTCAAGTAAGAATGCAAGTACCAAATGTCCGAACCAACTTCATCCAAAATTTAGAAGTCCTACCTTACATATCAGGTATAAATACAAATATAAATCTAAATAAAAAAACTTGTGCAAATTTCTAGTTTAACTAGAAGAGTTGATACAAACAAATATTTTTACCAAGAGAGTGACAAAGTCACCCATTCAACTGATATCACATGTATTTGCTTCCCCAAGCATAACTATGTTTCTGATTCTCATTTTTCACATCGTTGTGAAAATACAATCATTTTCAGACACACTGAATTACCTACACATCAGGTTCTAGATTTATAAGAGATGTCCAACAACAGAATATGTATAACGTTGTTATACCCCAGAGACTTTAAAGTGAATACATTAAACAAATTTGATGCGGAAGAGAAAGACTTATCAAGAATAAACAACCGAGATATGTTACATGATCCAATATCTACTATCATTGTAGTACAAGTCAAAAGATTGAATACATGTAATACCTGCATCCGAGTTCTTGCAAGTTCAACAGGATAACATGTGATACAAGCCAATGAGCGTGCCACTGAGCCGGCAACTAAGGGAACATATGGTGTCAATTTTGGAGTATTCTGGGATGTGAATTCTTCCATCCAGTTGCGGAAAATGTCATAACAAGGCAAGTAGATCCCCACCTGGTTGATTATTTTTTCCATAAATATAAGCATCAATAAAACCCTCATTTAGAAACTGTAAAAACAATTTTTGTATCCCCTCTATGGGTTGGCTAAAACTCTACAAGATCAAGTAATGGACAGAAAAGAGACTTACTGTTGGCACGGCCAACGCTAAACTTGCATTTGTGCCCCTCCAGAGTTTTGTAAATCCTTCCTGCACAATTCCCTCTAGTTAAATACAGGATAACAGTAACGTTATATACATACACATGCAATAACTTCCGTAACGACAGATAGTAATTTAAAAAATGAGGCCCATCTTCCCGTTATTGAAATGGAATTTTTTTTTTTTTGGGGGTGGTGGGGCGGGGTAGGTAAATCACACATGCTGGCTTGTCCCACTGGAGACTCGAATCCCCAACCTTCCATTTGAAGGAGGAGGAGATATCTCTTGGGCTAAGCCTTTCAAGTACCCAACATAATGATGTGAAATAAAAATATCACTGGATGCTTCATGCATTAACAGCCATGACATCTATGCACTTTTCAATTTTCAGTTCATCTACTTGTCCATCTAGTGCAGTGTGGTTTTACAAGGTCACTCCATCTGAAACATCAAATCAGTTCCATATGTATAAGATATAATAGAATTCAGTTTTATATATTCCTTATATTTTGATCTACCTTTAATATGTCTGAAACAGTTCCTCTAGGTTTGAATTTGATGAAAATGAAACATGCCATAAGAATGTGACTCAGAGCAATAAAACTTAGATTGCAAAATCAACTTTCCACAAACCTTTCCTGTCTCTTAGAAATTTAACATTGATGGCAATATTTAATAGATATCTAATTGTATTGAAGTAGATGTTAATAAGCAGCATCCCCAAAAAAAACTCATTTGTGAATTTCTCATATGGTTCTAGATAGAAAGTAAGTCACAGTGGTCAATGGGCTCTTTAAGCATCAAGTTATTTTGCAATCCTAGCATCTCGTGAATAGAAGAATCTAGCTATATTAATTGACCAACCTGACGTATTACTTTGTCGAAGACATCCAGCGTGCCTTTATATCGAGAACAGTTTGAAAAGCTTACTGCTGGTTCAGTACCAAAAACTGCAGTTCTGTGTGGACAACATCTCATATCTGGAAGCATCTAAAACACAATTCCGATGCACAAATTAATCATGGAACTAAGCAAAAGGTATAAAACAAACTCCACTTTTCTAAATCATTCTGTCCAGCCATGCCCATAAATGACCTTGTGCACGCACGATAAACAATAATCATAGTAGGAAACCAATAAAACAGACAAATCGAGAGAACATTAAAAGATAAAACATGAAGGACAAATACTAAAGGCATGTATGAGCACATGCGAGTGGGGATTACCTAACCAATAAACTAACATTGTAGGGAGGAAAATGACATATTGATCAAGAAAATTTAAGAAAGATGGCGACAATTATACATTACAATAATAAAGTTCATGAATTCTGGTAGAATTGAAATTTGGGCCTTATGCAGTATCTACTATCTAGTCATTGTATAGAAGTTGAATGATACAATTTTAAACAACAATGGCAAATTAGACTTCGAGACCTAAATCTCTATATTGAAGATTGAATCCAGTGTAGGTGGTCCACTTATAGTTAAATTGTTTTGGAATAGATCATGTGGTAATGGCAAAATGTTTCCTAGGTAAAATGTTATATCCGAGTGGGTGGACTGCATTAAACTACTAGTAATGTATGTCTTCCAGTACCTTACATTTCTTCCAAGAAATCAACAGAATAATCAATCAGAAATAGCATTAGAAGTACCCTATAACTAATATATTTATATATATATATATATATATATTCAAATAAAGAATCCAGACGCAAGTTACAGAACTACTGTAAACATACCGTGTTTGTTTCAAAACATGCCGTACCACATAAACTGCTATAAGGAACGCCAACAGCCTGTGCTTGCAACCTTGTCTGAAAAAGAAGCACAAAAATTATTCAAATCCATTAGAATTCCATTATCTTGAAGCAGTTTTAGTAGTACACAATAAACTAGACAATTTATATCTCGAGAATTCCACTACTAGTACTACAACAACAAAATAAAGCCTTCTCCAATCACTTGGGAATTATAAGATTCTAAAAATAAATAAAAAATTTGTCAGAGGCAACCATGAAGGATTCAACTGAATTTCATTAGTGATTTCTTGTAAAGATATTCCAATCAAATACTAAGAACGAAAGCAGATAATAAGAACAAAAACAGGACATTAAATTACCATTCCGAGAAGATGAAGAATTGGACTAATCATTACAAATCAAAGTAAATTACATTCCATGATAAACATATAAACTAATTGACAGATCCTAAAATTAACTCAAATTGCATACAAACATCTTCAAATTATGAACATATCAAAAAAATTGGTATTTTCCACAAACATCCAAATTGCATACAAAATTTGAAAAAATGGAGAAAGAAATAAATACCTTGGCAACATCGAGAGGATTAACAAGGACCGCCGAGAGAATCGCAGCACCAGCGGCAGAAAATGCCCTCTCTCCGAAACCCAATTTGAAATCCGATGAAGCCTTAGAATGATGAGATTGGGTTGGAGAGTCGTCGCTGCCCCCTTTCAATTTCGTCTCGGACACAGGCGAAGCGTTTTCAACTCTTGAAGCTGCTGCACTCAACCATGACGGACGACCCTGCCGCGAGCTCACCATTCCCCTCTTTCTCTCTCTAAAACTCTCTCGCCATATATATAAACCGAGATTAGCACTTTAAAATTAAATCTCTGTTTGAAGAATCGGTTATGTTTGATGCTTTGTTAAGCTTATAGAATTAGGAATAGTGAGAATGAATTTGATGAATAGGTTAGGTTCACAATTCAGAAGGTGTGGAGCAGTTTGAAGAAAGAACAGACGGTTATGGATTGATATGGTGTGTGATAGCGTGCGTGTGTGTGTGAGAGAGAGATTGGCCTTTTTCTAGGGCTTTTTCACTTTTCACTTCATTTGCATGGGAGAGAAGAGAACTTGATTCGTGGCGTGGAATTAAGGGCGCCAAATACTAGGAGATTCTTAGAACCAGACATGTATACTGTATACATATAAACTGCTTATATAGATATATACACGTATATGCTCTAATATATTATAGAGAGATATGGATGTGCATGATCCACGTAACATATGCCAGCACTAATCAGCAGACCAGCTGATCGTTCAAGCTATGAACTTCTGTGAAGCTTACAATTTAGTAGGCCCAATTCCTTTTTGGGTTTCTGCTTCAAAAGCCTGGATTTTTTTTTGGCCCAAAAGCAGTGGAAGACAAATGGTTCTGTACAAGGTCTGTCTCTTTTTTCTTTTTTTCCTTTTTCTGGTATGTAAAAATTTTAAGAACTTACATATTCAAGTCACTTGATTGTTTAAATATTTTGTTCTTCATGTTAATGTGAAGAGGAAGTTCTTTCTTTTGGCTCATTCGATTCTTCTATAAACTATTCGATTCTATTAAACCAAGAATCACTTTTGTTCACAAAAAATATTCGTTTTGGAATTGTAATTTGATGTAATTTTGTGGAAAGCAACTGTACACATAGAGAAAAGTTTTTTGTCATTTCTTCTGTTAGCCTACAATGAAAGTCTTTTTTTTCCTTTTGATGTCTAGGATTGGCATATTTTGTTGGGTTAACATTTGCAGGGTAGAGTAGAAATAATGTACTTATTGATGCTAAAGGTTATCTAATCAGTCCTATAGGCAAATCTTAGGATCTCCTCTTATGTGGAGGGGATCTGTGCACCAAAACAGTGCCGTTTACGCTCCAAAGGCATGGAATCTAACACGGTCCTGTATTGGCGCCCCACAAGATACCCTTGGGCTAAAAGACTGTTATCTTATGCTATCTGATTTTGAAAATGGTTGTAATTTTGGCAAGAAGCTATGATCTGTGTTTCTTAGAGCATATGTTATATGATGTTGTTGCTCTGTTGGTCAATAAATGCTGATATTCTTGCTCTGTTGGTTCTTTGATTTGGTTCATTGGATTCTAGAGCTTCTTAGGGTAATGTTGTCTCCTATTCTTTTTTCTTCTGCTGATTAATGCTAAAAAAAAAAAAAACACACACACACACTTCAATCATTAAGTTTCATCTTGTATGGAGTCTTGGAGAGTTGGAAAAATTACAATATTGGGCAGCAGATATTAGCTTTTGTAAGGTAGTACCAACTTCTTGTTGCAACATAACTTTCATCCAAATTCTAAAGACAAACTCACAAGGCATAAACCTCCACCACTCTTCACATGTATAGTTAGCATTTCAAATCTTGTATTTGTGGTGTGTACAAAATACAAATATAGAAGAAAAAACCTTCCATAGACAGACATTTAATTTCTCAAGACAAGTAGTAAACTAATCATCCCCTTCCATAGGAGACATCTAAAGCACTGTTTGGAGCAGTGAATAAAAAATCCTGTTTTCCTCCCATTGTTGAATCCACAATTGAAATAATTTTTCTACGCTCTTCGCCATTTTCTTGCCTGGTTTGATTAAATTTAATAGTTGAGGAAATGCTTGCAATCACAATCAACTTTATGGCAGTTCTGGCCATGCTGTGCCAATTCCATGGATTGATCAAACTCCTAATGCAGCTGAAAAGAGAAGTAGAAATTCTATCATTTCCCAATAAATCGTTCTTTTTCTCCCTTTGCATCTGCAAATTCCAATTAAAAGCAGTTCTTCCATCACCAAAGTATGCATTCAACTCTTCAATTACGCTGTGTGCTCGTCCCCGGTATTGTGTGACCCTTTCCATCAAGATTAATCTGGTTTCCTCCAAATGTGCAAGTGCTGCATACTGATCTTTCATCTGCCATGACTTCAACTTCTGTACATGCAATAGATACTAAAATTATGAAACAGTAAATCATATCCATTTGCAATTAAGTGGACAGAAAATGAAGAATATAATGTTGAGGGGACAAATGAATACCTGTAAAAACACAAGCATGTTCTCAACATCTTTGAGTGAATCTCTAATGGTAATCAATCTATCCCTCTCCTCTTGTGGGGTTTCTTCAATTTCACAATTGCGACCGTGCTGTGAACACAATGTGCAGAAGCTGATGCTGTCCTGGTGTATTATATCACTGATCTTGTCATGCAAAGCCCATGCTCTCTCAGTGAGAATTTGCAGGTTTGTACTCAACTCCATCAAAGCAAAACAATGCCCACCAATCAGAAAAGCCACTTATATTATAGCTTTTGTGCTTTTGCTTTAGTTTTTCTAGCTCATTCCTACTCTTTAATTATTTTTCAGATCTTCCCAGCTTTATCTTTATCTTTGTTGTGGTTGAAATCTTGATACCATTTGGAACAGAAGGCAAGCCTGCCCTTTTGTTATGGTATTCATATAAATTAATCATTTTGGTCTCTTTCTCTTTTATGTGGGCTTGCTTTAAAGGGAAGTTTTATTTGTTACTGTGAATCTTAGCTGTTCACTGCCCCACAACCTCATTCTCATCACATGCACTCATTTGTGTTAAGAGGTAGTACTATCAAAGTTGTGTCTCACCACTAGCCATCAGTTTTGTACAATTGTTTTTGCAACACAGACAATGACCTAATTATATGTTTGATAGCTTTGCATAGCTGTTATGAACATCATGGTTCTTCCAAATTGCAAAAATTGGAACACCATACATTCGATTGCATCATGTTGAGTACTTAGTATCAGATCTATGCAGCCTTACAACCTCTTCGCATACGGATTAAGATTGCTTACATATGATCCTCCCAGATTCCGCAACGCATGAGTCTCGTGCACTGAAGTAACATTTTTATATTGGTATATAAATAAGCCCTTTTATATTTGTATATGAATAAGAGGGTAGCTTAATTTGGTTTGTGATCAAAACAAACTCAGTTATGAGGAATCTAATTCTTCTTTATTCTCTTCTTTCTTCTGAATACTAATGCAATCAAAGTGGAAACACCATTAATATATTTGTATGATTTATGACAACTAGATTTTATACCTTTCTGTCTATGACTCATATGGTGGTTGGGAATCAGAAAAGAGAATAGATTTTGGGGTCCCATAGCAACTAAAATGGTCAGCCAAAGATCTCATCAACAACCTCATAGGTCCTACATGTTCAGAACATGCTACAAATCTGAGTAAATGAAGTTTGTGCTATTTCTCCATCGCAAGCAAGATTACCAAGTCCCGAACTCTGTCCAAATGATTGAAATACAAATAAACTCCAAATCCGGACAGGTTTGCAAGGATTGGTATAAATTGAGTAAATAAAGTTGGCCCTATATCTCCATGCCCAACTAACTACAGCAATTATTTATTTCGTTCACCTGTGAGGGTTCAAATTCATCTGGATTAAGAATCACAAATGTCGTTAAAATAAATTCAACCACTCACCAAAGACTGTAGTCTAGTAGTATTTCTTTAACCTTTCAAATGAGAATTTGAGGATTCTAATCCCAGTAGAGATAAATGGATGAGTAAATTTCTTTTGAAATGCAAAAAAATAATAATAATAATAATAAATCCTCAGGTTCTCAGATTCGAACCTGGGCTTTTAAACGTGGCCCTAGTTGTTGGTCCAAGTCGGTGAGCCAACCTGGGCCTTAAGGTCACGGATTAGCTGGGTTGGGTGAGTGCAGGAGCAAGTCTACTTGCAGTGAAGACCCTACATGTTTGATGTTTCTGACTTTGTGGGGACGTTCTCTGGTGCCTATATGAACTGACCCATAATCAAAAGGAAGATCTAATCTTTCTTTTGACTGACTGGTTGTTCTGCTTTGGGCTACTCAAAAGGCCACAAATATGGCATAACTAAGACTTTTTCTTCTAGTTTATACAGTTCTAGAAAATAAAGGAGCGATAATCCATTTTTAAAAATTCTAAAAATAAAAAGAAAAGTTAAATTTCAATTTACAAGTTAATTTATTAGTCAAACAATGAAAATTAAATTAAATTTTTTACAAATTAAAACAAGTTTAGAGGAGCAAAAAAGTAATTTTATAAAAGAGGGGGTGAGTAAGTTCCTCGCCGATAAAATATATATATATATATATATATATATATATAGTGATGAAAAAGGACCAGCATGTTAGAAGACTAAATCAAATTTTTTGTTGAAGTTTGTGTTTAAATTATCATCTTGTATTTTATGTGTTTCTAGAATTATATATATATATATATATATATATATATACATGTTATGAATTTTATTGTAACCACAAAGAAGTGAGAAAGAATAAGAAGTGATTAAATAGAATGCTATTCAATTAAAGCTCAGAAAATAATATCTCCAAACAGTGAAATGGAATCACTTGTCAAACTGTGGTGGACACAAACCAATCCAATTAAATTATTATTTAAGTTTTCTATAATGTATACCCATATATTTGTTGACACAATTAATATGATATATAATCCATCTATACTTCTATATCTTACTATATATATATATATTTATTTATTTATTTATACTATTCTAAAAATGTAAGAAATTTTTTAATTTTTTAAAAAACAAAATAAATCTTATTAAATACTCTACATTAAATATTTTTTACTAACCATTATTATAGCTGTTAAATGCTACTATTTTGTTTGGAATTTTAAAAAATATCAAATTAATCATTACACCTAAGTATCATTCATTATTATATCGACTAATTTTTAACAATTTTATATCTACATCTACATCTTATGTTTAACTCTTACATGTTTGATGTTTCTGACTTTGTGACTTTGTGGGGACGATCTCTCGTGGCTATATGAACCCATAATCGAAACGAATATCTAATCTCTCTTTTGACTGGTTGTTATGCTTTGTGCTACTCAAAAGGCCACAAATATAGCATAACTATGACCTTTTCTCCTATTGTATACAGTAAAATAAAGGAGCAATAATCAAAATTTAAAATTTCTAAAAATAAAAAAGAAAAGTTAAATTTCAATTTACAAGTTAATTTATTGGTCAAACAATGAAAATTAAAATTGTACAAATTAAGAGTTTCAAGGGGCAAAAAGTAATTTTACAAAGGATATCTACCATTACTTTTATAAATCTATAGAAGTCTGTACCTATTTTCGAGTCAAGCTAAAGGTAAAAATATCTAAAAAATACCATTAAAACAATATGAGAAATACAAAAGAGTGGATTAAGGAAGTGAAAACTGGTCCAATTTGAGGACTAAAACACTGATGATAGAGAAGACGAAGTTTGGAGTGTTGACAGAGGCCAAATTCTTTGTGTTCTTATCCCTTGTGCCTTTGCCACCTCTTTATAGCCCTAAGTCATTCAGGTTGTATATGTTGGGTCTCCGGATAATATGAGTCAAGGTTCATGTTCATTTATAGATCATAATGCCCTAATCCCTATTTTTTCAATTTTGTTGCTAGGTATACGTATCTCCTTGAATGACCTAAACAGAGGGTAGTTGTAAAAGTCTTTTTCTTATTCCCACTGGCCTTAAAGAATCCTTTCATTACTCTTCGTTGTTCATTATCTTGGACATGATGTGGCTTGGACGGATCGAGTTTCAAGGCCCGTTGATCGACATTTTGTGGCCTGATTGGATCGAGATTCAAGACCCGTCAATCCACAATTTGACCTGATCGGAGTTGATCAACAGTTTGTATCCTGGTCGGATCGAGATTCAAGATCCTTCAATCGACAGTTTGTGGCCTAGTCAGATCGAGGTTGAAGGCTGATCGATTTTGCTTTTGCTGAGTTGGATTTCCAATATCAACCGAATGTTGGTCATTCTTTGTTTTTTAATTTTTTTTTAGACAATCACTGAAGTGACGTCAAACGTGGCATAACTACATTCACAAAATCTTATTAATGAATAAAAACATTAGTAATTTTGTTCGTTAGTAAGATTTAATGGTCTTATTAAAAGAAAATTAAAATTATAGAAAAGAAATTTGTTAGAGATAATCTACCATAAAAATAAGAAAAGCATGCAAAGATGTGTCTCATTCTAGACAGCAGAAAGGTTTTGAAAGACTAAACGGATGAAATTCTGCCAAGTCGTCATCATATGCATCATATGACTTTTGTGGCACGCCCTATGTTCCTTAAAACGTGACAAGAAAATCTCACCCCCATCTAACAAATTCATAAATAAATTATTGATTTAACTAACTGAAAAGTAACGAAGCCACTAAATTTCAAACTCTCTAGAATAAAAAAGTCATAATTGAAAGATTCAGACTCGGACCCCCAAAAAGAACTTCACAGTTAAACTCATTTGTTGGAGTTGGTGTACTTTAGTGGTGGTTGCATCAATAAATAGTTTGGTCCAACTTTCTATTTTAGTACGAGGATTCGCATAAATTCTAGATCTATATGTTAAAAATATTTATAATTGCTTTGGTGTGGCCTGTCTTTGAGTTGGCAAAATCGACCCGCATGAATACAGTGGTCCATACTTGGGCACATAAAAGCATACTAGTAATGCTACAACGCCAGAGATAGTAAACTCTCCCTTCTCCCAAATAAATCCGGTCTTCTATTATTTTTTAAAAACATACACTTTGATATATAGAAACACAAGAGTAATGTTACAATGTCGAATCAATTCTGTCAGGAGAAATTGAGAATTCTATCATCGCTACAATTTTTGACATTTTTTAATAAATAATAAAAACAAAAGAGTAATGTTATAATGTCCAATCTCTCTCAGAGGAATCGGGACTTCTATCTTTTTACCATTTCAAAATGCTACAAAATTTTCATATTTTTCAAAATGACTTGTACGACTTCTATCATTTTCCTCAAATACATAATGCTACGAAATTCTTTAACTTGTACGCACATGATCAAAAGGAGTTTAGGATTAAAACTCTGAAAAGCTAAAAAAAATATATATATACATGTACCTAAATTCTTTCCCCAGAACCACTTGAATAACATAATATTTTAAAAGAAATCTTCTACATCCCATTTACAAGAACTCAAATCTCCATCTAAATTCACCAAAGCATCGCAGCAAACTTCGTCCAACGCAATCGGCAATATTGGCAATATTGGAGACCGGAAATCAAAAGGTTCATTCCACAAACATGTATCCAACGGCCAACAGTCATCTGAAAAAATCTTATCTTCCGTAACTTGTTCAAACGATTTCCAATCCTTTTTTATCTCTGTTTCGAAATCCTTTTTTATCTCCGTTTCTATTTCGAAATCCTTTTTTATCTCTGTTTCTTTAACCGACTCTGTTTTTTCAGCAAAATCAATCGGAAGAACAGAAATTGGGGACGATTCCTCGGAATCGCAGTCAGAAATTGGGGCTACATCAATCTCCGGCAATGAAACTTTGGCCGGAGGTTTCGGTTTTACAGTCTCTAGTTTTTCAGTAGGAGCAATCCGAAGAACAGAGGTCGGAGACTGCTTCTCGGAATCATAACCGGAAACTGATTCTACATGAATTTCCGGTAATGAAGGTATGATCGGAGGTTTGATGAAGTTTGTGAGAGCGTCCGGTCCTCGTATTCGAATCGCAGCCTTGTCATAAACCAAAGCGGCCTCTTCAGCAGTGTTGAAGGTGCCTAACCAAACCCTAGCTCGCCGCGACGGATCTCGAATCTCCGCCGCCCATTTCCCCCACGGCCTCTGCCGAACGCCGCGAAACTTTTTGCCGCCATTTGCCAAACACTGCTTGGTTGGTCTCTTAGGACGGTCCGGCCTGATCTTCTTCACACCTCCACTGCGATTTTTGTTTTCTGTTTTGTTGCAACAAGTTTGAATTTTGATCTCAATAACATGCTTCTTCACTATCCTAGTATTATCCTCTTCATCGCTGGATGAATCCGTGGCATCGCCGTCGGCGACGAAAACACGAACAATACGAGGCATTTTGATAACTTTCCGGTGGTCTTTGTATTTGATTCGAGATGAATTGTTTAAATTCATTCCCAAAACGTTTTTGTTACTCACATAAATACGACGTAGTAGTAATTACTATTTTAGAAACGGAATAGAGAGACTAAAATTTCTGAATAACTAAGAGGCTGAAACTTTAGAGAGAGAGAGAGTGGAGAGAGTAGAAGAAATGAGAGAGTAGAGAGAGAAGAGGAAGGTGAAAGGAGAGTTTTGAGCTGAGAGAAAGATGAAATGTTAACAATCACAATTTTATAGGGAGGAATCTCAATTTGTTAATTTCTAATTACTAAAATACCTAATTATATTTTCTTGTCAAACAAGCAACGAAACCTCTTCCAGCTTTTTTTGGGAGTTACAAATCAATCCTAGCCATTCACTTGCCTTAAAATGATTCATCTTCTCTTAGATATATATATATATATATATATATATATACACACACACTAGTAGTAATTACCAACTACTGACTTAAAGAAATAGATATATTTGCTGAGTTGACTCTGTTGGTGGGTTACGTTTGTTATGTACTGAATTTATTTGTTCATACTTGCGCTCCAAGTTCTATTGGATATGAAATTATAGGATAATTTTTAAAGTACTGTCATATATACCACATATTTATTCCATTAGTTAAATTGATTAGATTTGACCAATTTTGACGGATAAACATTCATGTAAAATATTTATTTATTTTCCTTGTAACCAAAAAGTAACCATATACTCTTATATATTTTCTGAGTTGACTCTGTCTGTGAGTTACGTTTGTTGGGTACTGACTTATTTGTTGATACTTGCGCTCCAAGTTGTATTGGATATGAAATTATAGGATAATTTTTAATGTATTGTCATATATACCACATATTTATTCCATTAGTGTATTGCAGGATAATTTTTAATGTATTGTCATATATACCACATATTTTAAATTGATTAGATTTGACCAATTCTGACAGATAAACATTCATTTAAAATATTTGTTTATTTTCATTGTACACAAAAAGTAACCAACATAGTCTGACATGCATTTCTCACACCCGTTTTTCACAATATTATGAATTGACTTTAAAGGAAGTAATTTGTACCGTGTACCGTGTACCGTTTAAATCTTGGGCTCCAAGAAACATCGAGATATGCGTCCAACCAAAACATTCTAGGAAACCAAAAGACCTCTTTTTTGGTCTTCTGTTTTTTTCTGACACTATTTTTCCTTCTCTTCACGTGACTATTCAAAATTTTGATTGTTTACTGGTCAAAGAATATTGTTTCATATAATGATAAAATTTTAATTAGTACATGTTATTTTGATAAGTGATAAAAATTTAATACATACACACAAATTAATTTGTAATTATTCAATTAGTTTGGAAATGAAATGAAAATAGTACACACACACAGATGCATAGCTTTTGAAAATAAAAGGTCCTTCACTTTACAAGAAGCTACTCCAGTTTACAAAATGAAAATTGAGGTCAGCATTGGCAAGTGTAAAATGAGTTGGACAATAGTGGGACGACGGTGGTACATTGAGTCAAAGTCAAAAGACTCAAAATTCTTATAAACCAGACAACTTTCGAGTTTGGTGTTGTTTGTTTGGTCATATGTGGAAGTTCTTGATGGGAGACTACTGAGATAGTGATTTTGATTCATGGACAAATACTGTTGAACAAAAAAGCAAGCAGGAGAATATGCTAATGTCATGATATTAAGATATAAAATGGTAAACCGGTTCAGCATTTGTATGAAATTAAGAACGTGTATTACTCTCTTCACCTACTGTACATTTCATACACTTCACAACTTCAAAACCAAATACACAGATGATCGGCAAAGTATTGACATATATCTTATATACACATACATATATATACACGATCCAATAATTAGGGATTGAAGAAGTGGAATGCCTCACCCTTTTTGTTCCCATCTATTCGAGTGATGTGAAATCTAATTGAGTTTTTGTTCCGGTCTATTCGAGTGATGTGAGACCTAATTCACTGTATCCACTGAATAGAGAGTCTTCGACGAGGAAAAACTATATGAACTGAAGCTCACCATATAACACTAATTTGCTAAATGGTGTAAAATAAAAGATATTGACACTAAAAAAAGTTTTGTTAGCTTTTAATCTTATGTTGAAAATTATTTTAATCATCGTATTAAACTCCTTCAAGTTCAACCAGCCAAAAGCTATCTATACTCCTACTACTAGCACATAGATCCACCAGGTAATAAATAAGAGAATACTAAAGATTAGTGGAGCTCGTTCTCGCTCTCGCTCGGGAGAGCAAGGCATAGATAAAAAGGGTTAGACCCAGCTTCAACTCCTAAAAGAGGTGCTAGCAATAGCTGCAACCTCAATCGTTGGACCTTGACTCCACTTGTGGCCCACGCGGCATTATGCAACAATCAGATAGCAATGCAACTTCTTTTTTTCATGTAGCAATGCAACTACGATGCTAGCATTTTTTATCCTAAAAATCGCGGTATAATAAAGTGAATGTGGCTGTAATGGAGGGATGCTTAGAGAAGCAGGAGCAACACCAAGTGTTATCTCTGACCAAGTAGTTATAATGATTCCACTAAAAATGGTTTTTTTTTTAAAGACTCGGGAGGAAAAGGCTAAAATAGTTCTACCTTTTTTTTTTTGACGAGTTAAAATAGTTCTACTTCTATATACAAACAAGATTAAACATTTTCATGAAACTAACAGTTTACAAATCCCAAATGGTTTTTTAACTACCAATTACCATACAAACAGTCGAAGGAACTATTTTGTCTCTGCAGATGCCAACACCTAGTTCTATTCTACATTTGACCACAGGAGTATAGAGCAGAAAGCACACCATTTTTAAGCGGAGCCCTCAACGCAAAGAACACTAGCCCATGGCATATTTTTGGGTCCAGCTCCTTGCAGTTGTCTCATACTTGGCCCGGTCCGTTTTGTACATTTGAGCAATCTCTGGCACCAGGGGATCATCTGGGTTTGGGTCAGTCAAAAGCGAACAGATCGAGAGCAAAACCTGAAATTGAAACAAGAACACTCTCCACCTTCTTAAGAACAGCAATGATGAAACCAAAGTGAAAGCAATTCACACTTGAATTTAACAGATGACAAACATCCCAAAATTCCATTCTTCAAATAGTTCACAACAAACAGCAGACAGATATGATTCATGATTAATCAGGCCTATCCACAGAAATCTCTTCATAAAAACTACTTAATTAATGTAAGAATGCCTTCACACGCTCATGAATCATCCATCACCTGGAATATTGGCATGGGCTATATACTGGTGCGGCCAAGCACCAGTTTAACTGAGCAATATGTTTCAGTAGACTGCTAAAAAGGCATCTGTTATGTGGGGCAAAAAGTAGTTTCAAAAAATGCAATATCAAGGAGGAGTTGGGGCCCAGCCATGGCAGCCCACAAGATTAGAAAACCAACCCGATTAGAAGACAGGTTACTAGCGAAGTTCTAACTTAGACTGATATGCATTGGTTGAATTTTAATCTATATGATAACTTGGGGAAATATGATGGCATCCCAATTTCCTCGGCCAAGGTCATTTTGGATCCTTACATCATTCAAAACTAATTGTGATAAATGAAAGAAAGCTGATAGGCTAAAAAACAAGAACCTTGGAGATAGTCAGGGAGGGGCTCCACTGCTCCTTTAAGATGTCAAGACAAATACTGCCATTGCTGTTTAACTTAGACTGATATGCATAGGTTGAATTTTAACCTATATGATAACTTGGGGAAATATGATGGCATCCCACTTTCCTTGGCCAAGGTCATTTTGGATCCTTGCATCATTCAAAACTAATTGTGATAGATGAAAGAAAGCTTCAAGGCTTAAAAACAAGAACCTTGGAGATAGTCAGGGCTGGGCTCCACTGCTCCTTCAAGATGTCAAGACAAATACTGCCATTGCTGTTTATATTTGGATGAAAAACCTTGGTCTTGAATGCTACCTGCAAGATCCAACCACAGACAAATTAGATTAGAAATTTGATTCTGAATCATGTACAAGTCTTCAAGGAGAGGTCAGCGTGTGAAAAACTGTACTAGGTAAGCTCTTTCAAAGAGACAATACTACATTTGAACTATTAAAAGTGTTTAAGAAAAAGGAAAGAGGACAAAAAATAAATAAATAAATAAAAGCAACCATAACACAAGATTTTACTGTAAACTTTTTTTTTTTTTTTTGTTAAATTGAAAAGCTTTGTTTCATAAACTTCTCTCAACTAAGATGCAGGCAACCAGTATATTTCCGAGTCTGCAACTACAAGATAGACAGGTGATGACCTGACTTTACTTTCCTTAATTACGGATATAAAGTTCAATTATTTCAAGTTCACATTTCATTTAAGTCAAAATAATAGTATTGACTCTGACCGCAGGTATTCAAGTTTCAAAACATCAACTTCTTCATAGAACAATTCAAATTTATGCCATACCTTTGGGGGTTTGAACGGATAATCAGGAGGAAAATGAATAGAGATTAAAAAGACTCCTCCTGCATAAGGACTCTCTGGGGGACCCATTATTGTTGCTTGCCAGTGAAACATGTCCTCGGCAACAGGGCCTGTTACATACAAATATTACCAGTGAAACATGTCTTCAGCAAAGGAATGGTCATAATACGAAATTTTGTTCAACAACAACAACAAAAATGAATATTCTCTAGTACAAGATTCAATAAACAAATAGATGAGAATGTCATAAGGAATCAAATCATAGTATTGATAAATGGAAGATAAAGTGTATTTGTGTGGTTTTGCGTTATGAAAAGATCCTTATTGCCTAAGATGCCAGGGTACGCAAGCTTAATAATGATAGGTATTTTTCTTTTACTATGTACACCTCTTCTTTCCTTTTTTTTTTTTTTTTCCCCCCTTTTACTTTCTTATTTCAATTAGCCAAAAAGTATCCCAAATAACTCCCTTGCACATACACATCTGTTTTGTAGCCTTTTCCACATCAAAGCAACATAATTTTCCTTTCACCAATCAACAAACACTAGGAATTGTTAGAAAGTATGAATACTCATCCTACGAGTAATAATCATAATTTACTAAGCAAAGTTAAAACTAGTGGCTACACAATGAGTCAATGACACACTACATAAATATTGAACTAAGAGGAATTTAGTAAATGTTCTGTAAATGGCATAGAAGGTATAAGAGAATGACACAGCTTCCTTGGCATTTTTAAGCTGTATGGGTATATATATCAGCAAACGCACAAGCACCAAGCAACATAGCACGATCACAGTCACTTAGCATTTTGGAAGTTTCAAGAACTCTTCACCAATCCCTTAGCATCCATATTTAGGACAGAAAAAAAAAGATGTGCATTATTAGCCTACGGAGGGCGCTGGGAAGGGAAGACAGGAGACAAATCCAATCTTTTGTATTGTTTGGACAATGTTCATTGCTCTCAGACCAATAGCTGAGATCCTGCGATTGTCAGTCCATGTTTTTACCATTACACCAAGCACTGACCCTCATATATATTTAACCGAAAGATAAATAGGAGATATTAATCAGGCCTAGTGATGTGAAGAAATGAAATGGAATGCATGACTGATGAAACCAGCAGCAGCTCAATCATATTCTGAGTTTTGGTCTTTCTTTTAATCCCTACTTAGACACAAAGGGTAATCCACTAAAGGACAGATGTGCGTCCCAGTTTCCTATGAGCAACGGAATCTTTCGTCAATTCAATAAGTCTTTCACAGGGTGAAAGACACCAAATCCTGTATAATTGCATGACCAATCATTAGTAATTCTCCTTTCTCCAAAGTCCAAAGTCAAGGAGAACACTTTGTATAGGTTTAACTTAACAAATCAAACCTAAAAAAACACTATTTTCTTTGGTCACTTAATGAATGTTTTGGTAGGCCCAACAGACCAAGCTAGCACATTTCGAACCACTCTTTTCCTGGTTTTTCTATTTGGTGAACAACTTTATATATATACTGGTCCCACTTTCTGCAAGAAAAACAGGGCATAAATGCTGAATTTCAAACAACGTTAGGTTAGTTTTTCTTTAATCCTAAAAATGTAAAGTCTCATTTTTCCCGGCTGATAATGGCTCCACAAGTAACAGTCCCTTGTAGATCTGAGAGGTCGAACAAATGTCGAATTAGTTTCTTTTTGACACAGCAGCTCTCAGATTACAATTCTGAATTCACGCAAGCACACGAGTATAGCTGAATAAATGAACTATGAAGAATAATAACCTATGCCATTCTAGTATTGGACTATAACAATAGTATTTGGAAATTTGGGCAAATCACAACATCTTCAAAGCATTAAGCTGCAAGATAAAAGTAAACTTTAACCAGTCAAAAGCATTTCTCTTTCTGGATGAAATATTTCCAAATTCTTACAATACCCTTTAGATAAAAATGAAGTAATCTTTTTCCATCAAAATATTTTTCATACATCACATTCTCACATGGAGTGAATGTAAAAATAAATAAATAAAATAAAATAAAATCCAAATTCTTATTGGGATAAAATAAAATAATATTGGCATCAAAATATATTTCATTCATCACATTGTCACGTGGAGTGAATAAGACGCATAGAAATAAATAAATAAAGCAGCTTTACAAATATATAGACTTCCTAATTAATGGAGGACCTCAAATCCTACAACAGCCCTTGCATAAAGCTAATTGAAGAAAAAACCAACCATACAAGGCCATGCAATCTTATCACAAAAATGCAAATCATGCAAATGATTCAGAAGGAAGCTCATAGACCAGAAGAAATCAACCTACACATGCGAAAACACACACACATATATATAGGCATGCATATAGTTCTTTGCAACTTATGTGTCATATATATTTCATTTCACCTAAAATTTCATGCAAAAAGAAAAGCTCAGTAAAACAAATTGAAAGAAGGCGAAATCAAAAACTCCATTACCAAAATCCAAAATCAATAGTACAAAAAATTAAAGTAAATACATATATATGTATATGTATGTGTGTATCTATGTGTGTATATACCGGCGCTGCAAGAGGTAGGAGGATCTTTCTGGAGATCCTTGAGCTCCTTCAAGATCCGTTTCGAAGCCATCCGATCTAATAATGTTCCGAAAAAAAATAGTGTTACAGATCTACGACAATGGCAAACATCAAGAGGAGCTTTTGATCGAAAAAATAGAAGAGGATAAGAGAGCGAAAATGGCCATACCTGGTCTGGTCTGGTCTGGGTACCGGGAGTAGCAAATTGGAGACCTGCTTGGTTTGCTTTGATGCGTCTCGATCCACTTCAGGCGAATCAAATTGGGTCACTGGGATGGGGTCCGCTTACTTGCTTTTATTTTTTATATTTCTTCTTTCAATTTTCTTTTTATCCTTGTAAAAAGTTCATGCATCTAAATTATTCTATGGACCTTCTGGCATCCTCCAAAAGTTAATTAGTAATTGTTTTTCTGTTAAAAGTAGGATAAGTACCACACAATTGGAATTAGGGTAAAGAGAAAAAAAAAATTAAAAAAAAATCTAAATTATTGTTCCTTTGCAAATAAATCATCTAAAACTTTATATTGAAATTTTGGTACTTTTAGACTTCATTTGTTTGGACGTAAAATATTTTTCAGAAAATATTTTTTTTATTTTCTAATGATTGATTGTCCGTAAAATATTTATGAAGAAAAAAAAAATTAAAATTTAAATAATTTATTCATCAATTTTTGACAAGTTATTTTACATGACTCGCGCAATGGACTCGACTTCAACCTCAAAGTAAATCTTTGTCAAATACCGATAAAATAAAAATAAAAGAATATTTTACTTAAAACGAAATATTTTTCGAAAATAATATTTTACGTCGAAATAAACGAAGCCGTAATGCAAAATATTTTACCCTTTATAGTATTTTCTAAAGCACATTTAATTCATGTCTAACATCAATACTGTAGAAATTTTTCAAAAATATGTGTCATTTTGCTTTTATTTTGATGACTCTTTGTTTTTTTATATTTCCTCGTGCAAACATTACTCTAACAAAAGAAAATTTTAAATTAATTATTGGGTAAAGTGTAAAAACTCTCCTACTATATTAAAATAAAAATAAAAAAGTGCATGAAATATCATACTATTTAGTTTGTACATATAAATTCTTATAATTTGAAAGTTTGTAGCAAATTATCAGTTAATTTTGATCAATTTATATAAAATTATCAAAATACCATTAATAAAATTTGTGCATATAAATTATTTTTATTTTTATTTTTGTTTTAAGCACATTTTAAGTATTTCAATCTACAAATTAAACAACTACAAATTGAGTAAACATCCTTATTTGTTCAATTTTAAAAATGCAAGAGGATTTTCTGAAAACCTCTCTACATAATAGAAACATGGCATACATTTGTTAAAGAAAAACACAAAGGGAGTGTATGGGTAAAAATGGTGATCCAAAAACTAAAACTGTTAAATAAATCTACTTCAATGGTATGTCTGATAATTGAATATATGCAAAGCAATTCTTTTAGAAGATACCCACCCTCTTTCGGTAGATAACCACAAGGAAAATAATTAATTACAAAATTGAATTAACAAAAAATCTGATTATATTTAAAAGACAAATAAAATAATAAATAAACTTTAAATACATTAATAGTGTACAACTTGTATGTTATCCCATAGACAAGATAAGTAATGGTATATATACAATCCACATTAGTCTGCTATAGCCTATATGTGATACCCTCCTCACTTTTTTTTCCCTCCTGAATCTTTTTACATGAACAAAAATGTACATATTACAATGAAAAGGAAAATGATATTTGGCCTAATAAAATTCTTGAGACCTTTACAAGGAGTGGATTGTTTAAGATTTTTTTTAGTGTCAATGTGTCAATAACACCTGCCTAATAAGATACATAAAATCAACTATAAATCAAGTATTGTTTAAATATTAGGACCAAATGGGAAAATAAAACCAGCCTTTCTGCATCAATATTCAATAGCCACTTGAATGCATGAACAGGAGTTTCCTCCGCAATAGTATGACTGCACTCATTGCATAGGTATATTGATCCTGAACAAAGAGACAAATACAAATTAAATGGTTGAAAAATGATAACAAAATTATTTTGGGAAGTAAAAATGATTATTTAAACCAACAACAGCCATAAAAATTGACGTTAACTTTACTACTATGGGATAAATAAACTCATATTTCATAATTAGGGTCAAACAACTTAGCTTGCTCGGAATTATAGTAGTCAATTATATACTAAAGTATGTTCCTACAAAAAAAAAAAAAAAAAAAATCAACGCCATACTACAACTACCTTCATATCCTTGAAACAAGAAAGAAAATCTTATAGTTGTTTTCCTTAATATTATTCAGACATGAATATGAAATTTGTAATTGACACTTTTAGACGAATATTCACCGACACTTTTAGTCGAATATTCACCTTTAAAAATCATGTCCAATATTTTAGTTTTATTGTACTATTATTTTAAACAGAGTAAAATGGCAATATAGTGGATATTATTTTATTAAGAAAATAAATAAATATACTGAATAATATAAATATTTAAGAACATTGATGCATTCTGAGAATTTGACTTAGTCCACGTGTGAATATAATGTGTAAACATGTCCGAAGTCCGTCCATGTAACATAAACGAATATTGATTATTGAGCTACAAAATACAAATTTTAAACCCACAAAACCTTAAATTACTATTAGTTAATGTATTGAAAATTAGATTCTTACCAATCCAGCAGAGTTAATTTGCATTTGGGCATGTCACCACTGAAAATCTCCTTCAGTGTCGCCTTACCACATGACACCTTAACCTTCACCGTATCAGAGTTCCACCCGCCCACACCCAACCCAAACATGGTGGAAACCACCGTGGACACCGCCAAGCTCTTGGTCCGGTACCCGGACACCATCTTCGTCGCCGTCCCTGTATCAATCATCATGTTCTTCACCTCAGCCTTGAACCTCAACATGGTCACATTGTTCTTCCCCTGAATGAACCCGGGCACGCTCGCCGTACCCAATTCATAATCCTCAACGCTCATCGTCACCGCAATCCGATCGTAGATCAACCTCAATTCATGATTAGGGTTCTTTGCCTCGACTCCGAGGACGGTTTCGCAGTCGAGGTACGCGCCGTCCGGGTTGTTGGTGATGTTGAACCGCCGGAAATTGAGAGACTTGATGTGGAAGGACGGAAGTTCCGGCTTGAAGAAGAGGTAGACTATGCCGCCGACGACGATGAGGATGAGAATGAGGAAAAGGAGGGAGATGCAGAGGCAGAAACAGCACGTGCGGCAAAAGCTTCTGCGTCGTCGTTTGGGCCGGTACGTGTTTGGGAAGACTCGTCCTGTAGGTGGAGGTTGAACCGGTTGGATAGGGCTTCTGTATCCCGGTGGTCTCTGCAGAACAGGCTGTGTTTGTCCGTGCATTTTAGAACTTAGTATCCTCTTGCAATGAAGGTGAAAATGGGTAATATATGGTAAAAATTTGCAGGAAAATGTCGGAAATGTGATGATGAAATTGAATAAACAGAGACTTTAGGGATTAAAATCGAGAATTGGAGGTGAAAATTTGGCACTTCTTAGTAATTTGTAGGAAATGTGATGATATAATGAAATAAAAAGAGAGAATTTCTGTGATCAAATCAAGAAATAGAGATGAATTTTTTTTTATAACAATTGGAGGGAATAAAAGTTTTTTTTTTTTTGAAAGGGAAATGAAAGTATTGTTAAATGGCAAATTGTTATTGATTAATGAATTGAAATGAGAAGTGATCAATGTTTTGGAAGATATAAACCAAATTCATAAATATATATATGTGTGTGTGTGTGATTTTAATGTGAGAGATTGGATTGGAAATGGCAAGTTACTTGCAGAGGACGTTTGGTGGATCGTGGAAGTGGAAGAAGATGAATGCAGAGACGGAGGGTCGAAGCTACATTACCGGCTTGATTTCTTCAATGGAAGAGAGAATAAGAGATCTATTGGATCCTAAAAATACTGAAATTGCAACCAAACAGAGAGAGAGAGAGAGAGAGAGTTGTTGTTTATGGTAAACTCGTAAGGCAGGGGATGAAAGGAAGGAGTGGTAACAGAAATTCAATTACGAGATCTATGAGCGGTTCGTACATGCTGACATGGCGCCAATTTTTTTGACACTCTGTCTCTATCGAAACTGCTTTTACGGCTTTGCATGTCACTCAATGTATTTTCTCAAGTAAAATGTTAGGTAGGGTATATATTTTTAACCTAGCCATATTTTTTTTTTTTTTTTGGACAGTGATGTGGAGCCTCTTTGACCACCAAACACTACTACGTAACAATTTTCGTCTCACATGGACCGAAAAATTCCAAACTCGTGTGAAGTCCCATAACCTAAAATCCTCAATATGTAGAGGCCCAACCCAACCCAACCCAGAGGTTGTCATATTTGAAGCGGATTGCCTGTGACCCTAGGACTGTTACTATCGTTCCTCGCTCATCATCGCACAGACGGAGAAGAAGCGGCCACCGGCACCAGGGCCGGCCCTGGCCCAAGGCGACCAAGGCGGTCGACTTGGGCCTCAGATTTTAGAGGGCCTCAAATTTTGAGGCCCATAGGGGATGGAAAAAAACATAAAATAAAAATAAGTTAGGGCAAGTTTCAGACGACACAATCTGCTTCGACACTCCGCAGGGCGCAGCCTCCGCTATCGCCTCAGGTGACAAGGTATGTTCATCGTCTCTCCTTTTGCATGAATCGATCTTTTATATATGTTGCTTTCTTTCGAACATCTCAGCATTTGATTTGTTCTAACTTTGGTTCGTTTGATTCGGGCCTTTACCTTTGTTCCAATAGTGAAAAGTAGCTAGGGTTTTGTGTGTGTGTCACTGTGTGTGTGATGGCTATCAAAAGCTGAATGAATATATTATGGTTCTCTTAGTATTTTAATAAATGTGTGCCTTTCTACATGTGTCTTTCATGGCCCTTTTCCTCATAATTTTTTGCATTTTCACTACAGCAGCAACCATAGCCCTTTTTGTCATAATTTTTTGCGTTTTCACATTCAATCCCACGAAAATTAATGATCCCTTCTAGTGGGTTGAGGTAATAATTAACTTTTTCCATCTCTAAATTATGCTCATACTGCCAAATTAAGGGTTTTTTTATTTTTATTTTTATATGAAGATACATACCACCATTATTGATGTTATTTGAAGTTGGCTTAGCTAGAATTTCTGTTAATAATACTGTCAAAGCACTTGCCGTCAGAATGTACAAACACATGGAAATCAAAAGCAGGCTTTAACAAAACAAAAGTTAATGGTTTTTTCTATTAATTTGCACAGGTCTTCTATAGCAATGATCAATCAATCACTGCGGGTAATTGGCTCCCAAAAAAAACACACAAAGTGTAGTGTAATTAATATAAAGAGTGAAAGACAAAACTAGATATGATAGTGGATGCCACATATAACCTAAAAGTCCCACCACTTCTTCGGTACTACAACTTCAGCCTCCTATATATATAGTCACCTCATCTCCACATATTTTTGTCTTCTGTAATCATCATATTTTAGTAGCTATATAAACAATGAATGTAAAAGAAGCTGCAGTTTTCTGTTCTCTAGTAAACTGTTCTCTTCATTTTTTATTTTGTGCCTGTGAAAATTTCGCACTCTTTAATTGATAAATTTATTGTTATTAGTTAGTTGTCTTATGCACACTGCACACATAGTTGTTAAAGGCTCAAGGCGCACAAAAGCACAAAGGCCTCTTGGAGCCTGAGGCGCAAGGCGAGGCGCGTGCCCGACTGAAGCAATGCGCACATTGAAAAAAAAAAAAAAAAAAAAACCACCCAATAAAGATGCAATAGTATATATAAAGATGCAAAAGTCAGCTAAATCAATTATCTTTACATGTTTGATTGTGAGAGTCCACCCATCATCCCCAAAACAGAGGTAAAAAGGGAGCCATTGAAAAGGAACCCCATCCATGGCAAGAGGATTGAAAATGTTAGCAGCTATATTTGGAGCAAAATCCAATTACTAAAAGAATTGCACTGACCAACACAAAAAGCAAACATACCCACATGCTTTAGTGGAACATCAGTACCCTAAAATCAGCAACTAAATGTGCACCATAGACTTCATAAAAATTTAAAAAATGAAAAAGAAAAGCAGAGCTACAACTAGATGAAGAAGAAGAGTAGTATAAAAAAAAAAAAGAAAAAAACATAAGAATCAGAAAGAAGAAGAAGAAGAACAAAAAAAAATATTCTGCCATAGAAGAAGAAGAAGAAGAAGGAGAGAAAAAAAAGAAAGAGAAAAGAAGAGAGAAGAAGAAAGATTTTTGCTGAAGAAGAAGATGAAGAAGGAGAGAGAAAAGAAGAGAGAAGAATCTGCCGAAGAAGAAGAAGAAGAACAAGGAGAGAGAAAAAAAGAGAGAAAAGAAGAGAGAAGAAGAGAACTTACCTGGATTGTTCGTGAGAGAGCAGTCGCAGATTCACTTTGAGTCTTTGAGTCAATCGCAAGCCCTAGCCCCTTCTTTGAGTCTTCTGTCTTCGTCTTTGATTCACTTTCATTTTATTTTTAATTATTTTTCTTTTTTGTTTTGTCTTGTCTTGTCAATTAAAACAATAATATAAGTTATAAACGGTAATAAATATAGCATATCATAAGTTAAAAAGTTATAAAAGTTAATAAAAATAATAAACAAATCTTTTAAAAGAGTCAACTTAAATGAGGAGCGCCTTATTAACGCCTGGAGCCCCTCTCGCCTTTGCATTAGAGGCGCGCGACTATTCTAAAAGCTTCGCCTGAGTCCTTGGCAGGCGCAACTCATGCGCCTGTAGGTGTCTTGGGCACGCGCCTTTGGCACTTTTAACAACTATGACTGCACATGCGCATAATTATTTATTGGTGGTGATAAAAATTTATATTTATTAGTTAGTTGTCTTAAGCACACTGCACAGACGCACAATTATTTATTGGTGGTGATAGATTTATACTTATTAGTTAGTTGTCTTATGCACGCTGTTCAGGCGCACAATTATTTGTTGGTGGTGATAAATTTATAGTTATTAGTTAGTTGTCTTTTGCACAATGCACAAGGGCACAATTATATTAGCTATTGAATTTGAAAACATCGTGTTAAAATTTCGCACTCTTATAATTCTTTTTTGTGTGTGTGAAACTCAAGGGCCTCACATTTGAAAGTTCGCCTAGGGCCTCTCAAAATATTTTGAATCTCAGGGCCGGCCCCGCCGGGAACTAACGTCTAGCTCGGGTTTTTCAAGTTCTAGGGTTGGGGTTTCTTTTCATCTATCTTTTTCCTACTCAATTAAGGTATGCATTATTTTGCGCTATATGTGTTGTGTCGTCGTGTATCATTTACTTCATACCTTCTCAGTCTTCGCTTCAATGCAGGCATATCAACACTCCCTCTCTAGGGTTTTACAGAGATGGAGTTTGTGAGCCCAGAAGGTCTTCGTTTAGATGGACGCCGTCCTATGGAGGTCCTTATTTCCCTTCGTTTTTGAAGTTCTAGTAATATTAGTGACGATGATTTCCTTGCCTTCCATTATCTTTTTCATTCAGCTTTCTTTTCTTTAATTTTATATATGTATATTTCCCACAGATGAGACAGATTCGAGCAGAAATTGGTGCCGTTGCCAAGGCTGATGGGTATTAAATCCTTTGTTCTGCCACCATTGATTTATTAAATCCTTTGTTATGTGCATATAAATATATGTATCTATGTATTTGTATATACCTATTTAAGAAGTTAATTGGGTTTCCATCTGATTTGTGCTGCAATTGTAGTTCTGCTGTTTTCGAGATGGGTAACACCAAAGTCATTGCTGCTGTGTATGGCCCAAGAGAGGTATCCATTAGCTTCATCTAATATGCTCCTCAATTATTAGAAGTAAGATTAGGTAAAGTAAAATTTGGGAATTCTTAGGCTGACTTGTTCTAAGCCACTTAGCTGGACCAAGCAGTGGATTATATTAGAACATTCTATAAACTCTGCGTAAGGGGGTTCAGGAATGATTTACATATATATTTCTTTACAAGTTAGTTTCTTTTTCTTGCTGGTTTCAAATATTCAATGGAATGGAGTATTTAGAATTAGCTTCCACATCAAGTAAGAGTCTATTTTGCCTAGGATGCACTGATGCTCTTTGGAGCAAAATTATTTTTTATTTGAACTTTTTAAGAAAATAATCATTCACAATGATATCGGTTTGAATGGATTATCATGTTCCTTAAGATGTTATGCTGGGAAGATTTTTCACCCAGTTGGTAAAGCTTTATATTGAAAATAATAAGCTACACATATACAAGTGCCTTTCCCTTAGAAAGTTATTTTAGCGAAAGTCATTGTAATTTGTTTAATATTGGATAGGTGAGGCCAGTTTCTTCTATAAAATGTTCCATCAACTTACTTCAGGCATTGGTACTGGTGTTTAATTCTATTGATGTTGGATTGTGGGATGCCTTATTATTGGTATGTCAGTGGTTTTATCATTTGAGTGGTTTCATTGCTAAGACAAACTCTTTATTTGCGAAAATGTCAATATTGTATAAGTGCTATGTTACATGGACTCTTCAAAAGTAGTGAAGTACCCTTATCGGACACATATTGCTCGGACATGTGTATGGGTTAAAAACCATATTCAGTTTATTATATTAATAATTTAAAAGGAGTTTAATGCCTATATTAGATAAAAACATTACTGTACTCTAGAAAATAAAATAAAATAATTAAATAAAATTAATATTTAGCAGTGTCCATGTGTTTGTTTAGATATCTGACACGTCCGACGCATGGATACATACCCGTGTCCGACACACAAACCACCGAGTCCAAGTAACATAGCATAAATGTAAACTGAATTTCCTCTTTATTGAATGCAAATTAATGTATACTGGCCATGATTCAATGGTTGTAAGTTAACTTATCGAAATTCATGTTTTGTACTCTAATGAAAAGTTAGAAGGGTCATTGATGTTGGTCATGCTTATAAGCATGCCAAGTGGGGTGGGTGGGTCGGATGCAGTTCGAACCTTGCATTATTAAAACACAAAAGTATCGCTCTTATACCCCAGGCTATGTTTCAAGTTTGTTAGCTTGGGCTTTTATCATTGGGACCCACTTCTCCCAAATCATAGAGAGCAGAAATTAATATGGAATTGGCTCTGAATTACCAATTCTGAAGATTGTGATGGATTCTCGTATTGAACGACTTCATCACTGAGCTATATTCTTAGGTGTGTTTTTTTTTTTCCTCTCCAGATAGTAATCATTTATAATTGTAACTACTTAGTTATTCCCTGAACAAACAAATCTACATTGATACATAATCATAGATCTACATTGCTACATGTGCTATTGGAAGCATAATTATGCATGCAAGGTGCGGGTATAAATGTGTTTGGTACATTGCATCTTGTCAAGAAGAATAATTTGATGGTTTTTATATCTATTTGAGAAGATGCTTCTTGTTGACACTTTAGTCATTATTCTGTTTTTTCAGGTCCAAAATAGGAGCCAACAACTTAATGATCAGGCACTGGTAATTAGCTATCATTAATTTTCCTGATAATTCTCTTGTCATCTCTGTACTAACACTCTTTTTAGGTCCGCTGTGAGTATAGCATGGCCAATTTTAGCACTGGAGATCGAATGAGAAAACCAAAGGGTGACAGGTTGTTCTCCTTCAATTTGTTCTTTTCCCTTTTGTTCCCCTAAACATTTCACCTCATTTTGTACAATGCTTGTTTCTTATTCTCTTTTGATGAATAATAATCAATTATACTACGAACAAAACACATATGGAGGTGCTATCCATGTACACATGAGGTAGATAGGAGTACCAAAAAGAAGCTTCTTCCAAAATCAACAAATCCTGTTGGAATCTATAAAGAATGTAGATGACCAGGGAACTTCCCTCATATTTAAAGTTGCAATGTGTTAACATCAACTCTTTCCATTTAAATACTGGATTGAACACTTCCTTGAATGCATGCATGTTCCGTACACCATGTCAGACCAACTGCCTCCTATGCCTACCTTCCCTTATTAAAATTCCAATCTCCAAGCCAACAGTAATGGGGTAAAAATTTGTCATTTCCCTGGCTCATTGAACCACAAACAAATCGAAAAGCATGCCCCAACCCTCAACATAAATCTCTGTTAACCTGCATATTAAATTAGTTAACGATTGACAGTCTCCGTCTATAAACTGCACACTAAATCAGCTTTTTTAATTTTTTTTTTCCTCCAGACTTTTCATCGCTCTTCCCCCCACCCAGAAATTAAGACATACACACATATATATCCCTCCTTTTGTTTTTAGACAAAGGCCTATCAACTATTTGGTATTAGTCCTACCTTTTGAACATGGCATGCTCACAATCTTACATATACAGTCATTCTAGATTCCGAATTACATTTCCGTGAAGACTAAGAATTAATGCTCACCAAATCCAGTCTAATTTGTGCCATATGTTATATCAATTATCAGCATAAGAAATGATGGGTTTTTAAATATCTGATTTCAACAAATTATTATTATTATTTTTTAAAAAATAGGGATAATTCGTAGGATTTGAGGAAAAATATGGTTTTAAATCATACATGGGATGATTTTGGTTTGAGGATGTAGTTGCCTTATTTACAACTGTCTCTAATGCTACAGGCGGTCCACAGAGATATCTCTGGTTATTCGCCAGACATTGGAAGCATGCATATTGACCCACCTAATGCCTCGTTCTCAGGTTCTACTAAAACATATTGCAAGACATTGGTTACTTAGCAGGAAATGCTTATTATTATTATTATTATTTTCTTAAAGTCTCTTCCTTTTTCCCTTTTCTTTATGCATTTTGCAGATAGACATTTTTGTTCAGGTTCTCCAAGCCGATGGAGGTAACTTTAAATTCAAATTCTTTTTTATGATGCATATATTTATATTTCTTTCTCTCTGTTTGTGTGTGTGTGTGATCCATACGCCAATGAAAATCTTTTTGCTTCAAATAAATGCATGCTGCTGCTTTACTTCGAGGTAATGAATTACTTCTAAATTGGAGTACCCTGTCCTAACTCTGGAGTTGATTTCAGGAACAAGGTCAGCATGCATAAATGCTGCTACCTTGGCCCTTGCAGATGCTGGAATTCCTATGCGTGATCTTGTTACTTCCTGTAGTGCTGGATACCTTAATAGCACTCCGCTGCTTGGTAATTTACATGTTGTATCTTTGTTTCTTAAATGGACTCCCATGTTTTATGATTACAAATATCGGCAAGGAGGTTATAATAGTTGAGACTTTATATTGAATAAACAGATCTAAACTATGTAGAAGATAGTGCTGGCGGCCCTGATGTCACTGTAGGAATTCTACCTAAGTTGGACAAAGTGACACTTCTTCAGGTTCTTTACTGATCTTCTTTTTTTGTTTATTTTTCACATTTCTTCATATTTTTTCATTTACCACTTTACTTTCAACTCATCTGTGGTAAATGCACAATTCTTGTGGTGGGATGCAGTGTGGTTGTGAATGTTTCCGATCCTGCAAAACAGCTCAGAACCTCTCTCTCACACACACCCATATACCCACACTCTCTCTCTCACAGACACACACACACCACATGACATCTTTTTCCTAGACTATGCATGAGATAAACCCTGCCTAGCTAGCCAGTGATATATACAAATTATTAATTTAAATAAATTTTTTTGAACATGCTGCTATTCTTTCAAATATCTTAACACACTTTCCACAATTTTCATACCACATTGGCCAACACTTTGTGGATATTATATATACTCAACTCAACTAGCCTTTTCCAAACTCCTTGCGTTTAGCTAGTAGGCTATACATGGTTTTATTGATTTAAATTCAGTGAAATTGTTTTTCCTAAATAACACATATTTTGCTTCTTTAATGCAGATGGATGCCAAGTTACCAATGGATATCTTTGAAAACGTAATGCAATTAGCAACAGAAGGATGCAAGGCAATAGCAAATTACATTCGGGAAGTATGAAGACTTCACCTTGTTTTGCTTGTAGTCAGCATGCTTGTGATTTTATCTAGTGTGTTTGTCTTTGAACTATGCTTAGCGGCTTCCATATTTTTGTTCTTGCTGCAAGTTCTTTAGAAGGTGTCATTGTGTGGGTCTTTATCTCTATGGATTTTTAAGGTTTGCTATTGGTTTTATCGGCAGGTATTACTAGAAAACACCAAGCAACTGGAATATCGACGGGGTCTATAGCTTAAACAGAAGGTAGAAACTTGAGGCTTTTTTTCAGTTGTTCTTTAATGAATATTAGATGAGAAAAATACTTCTCTACTGATAACGGCATACTGAACCTCGTTCTCAGTTACCAAAAAGATAGTTAATTTCTAATTCTGTTTAGATAAAGAGGATAGTTCATACTACCTCTTATCTACTGTAGTGTGTCAGTACATACTATTATCAGTTCAAAAAAGCTTCTCCTTTTAACAAAAGGGCAATTACTCAATACTCAGTGTATGTCCAGCTACGCGAGATGCTGATAGAGGCGACCAGAGAGTTAGGTTTAACATGACATTATCTTAATTTTCTATAGCAGGCAAAAACCCTATCAAAAGGCTAGACCTGAGATTCAGATCTATTCTTTGATACTTACAGGTCGTGTTGAAGAAAATATAGCATTTACATCATTCTGTTATGAACAATTTGAAGGGAATGTTGATTAATTTAAAATGTAGCTAGGAATGAGACACAAACCAGCTCTCTTTAAGACGGTTCACGTATCTACAATGCAATAGGAATGCCACCTTCAGGATACAACAAACCAGCCTATAGTTACTGTACCTTCTCAAAGTCTGGAGAAGCAGAAGCTTCACCTAATTACTTATTCTGCTCAAAACTCGAAAAAATATGTAGTGGTAGAATGTGAAGAAATTAGACTAAAGATAACTTGTAGGAAGTTAAAGAGACAGAATACAAGAAATGGAACTTCTGAGAACTGATAGCTTGGCGTGGTGTCGAGGTTGCTCCTGTCATTCGTATGAGTTGAAAGACCCTTGCCTAGTCATGAGGTTCTATTTATAGATGTTATCTGGAAGATTGATTTCAGACCAGAAGCAAAATAATTTCTGAATTTTTAGTTTTGGCATGCTTATTATCTTTCAAAAATCAGATTAACTTTTTTAAAACCCATTGTGAAAAAGCAAAATCTTCTGTGTGGAGGTTATAGAAAGTATTTTTGACACCTTCAAGTCCCCCTCTTCTGCGCACATGGCTAAGTACAAGTCCTTTCATTCAGTAGCGAATTGATTCAGTTTTATATGAACATCTCTTAGTTTTCAATTGGGACATACATATATATGTAAGAAGGTTTAATTTCTTACATTTTTTTTTTTTTTTTAAATTGAAAATTTAAAATATACTAACAGGTAACTAAAACTCGTTATTGTAATTGCAGGGATGCAGTACTGTGCTCTGTTGCCTCTACGAGCAGCTCACCACTGTGCATCCTCGGATCCTCAAATTTTTGTATCTATTTGGGGTCTACCGTCAATTTTTATATCGATTTGGGGTGTACCGTCTTCTCTTAAAGCGCGAAATTTAACTTAAAGAGATGGTTTGCATGGATGGGAGGGTGGTGGGTTATGGATAGCGGTTATGTGGAAAGTCGTTCTAAGCTTGATTTGAAATTGTTGTAGGAAGACACTACCTAGGTTTCAAATTTGGAATACAGAAATTGAATTTTGACGCCAAAATGTGTTTCTTCTTCTCTCTTCTTTTTTATTTGTATTTTCAAATTTAAAGGAAAATTGCTTTTTTCTTTTTCTTTTTCTAGCAATTAAGAGAATGGGGAAAATAAAGCTTCAAGATCTAATATAGGCCCTCAAAGTTGCTCAAAAAGAAGGGTTTGTGGTCCATTTAGACCATAACAAGAGTTTGGTTTTATGTCAATGGAGTGACTGAATACCTCCATCAACTGTCAACAGGTTAGATCCGTATTTGACCATGGCTGTCATCGGATGAGTTTGGATAAATTAAAAGATTAAAATTCAATGTCAGTCATTAAAAATATTAATGTAATTTTTAAATCTGTCACACAAATCAAGAATACAGTTTCGTTTCTTTTATTTATTTTTTCTTCAATAAGGAGGTTACAAAAATCATCCACTAGTTGATATTTGATTCTGCGATAAGATATTGAAATAACAATTTTTGTCCTGGTTAGTTGCAACTTGCAAAACATCATCATTGTTGGTTTAAGAACAAAAATGCAAACTTGAGTTTGAGATGAGAACGTGGTCCCGGACGTCCGACCAATTAACACCCGACACATTAACACAAAGTAAAATAAAACTTACTCCAACACATTTGTAACACTTGACACACATTAACAAAAAGTAAAATAAAACTTATTCGGACACATTTGCTGATGTGGGTGTTGACCGGCTGGGACCATGCAATAGACAGTCATTTTGTGCATATTATACTATAAACAAAAGTAGAGTCATTTTGTACATATAATACTATAAACAAAAGTTGTCTGGTCCATACCTCATATGGGTAAAGCAAACACACCAGACACACACACACACACACACAAAGGGTTGATATCCAGCAGCCATTCTCGAAAAACATTGGCTTCCCATAGACCCAAACTCGATTCCTGTGGCGGTCGAGGTCCTCGTTATGAACTGATCCCAAAGCTGTGATGGTTTTGTCATCCCTCAAAACTCAGCTCCTGTGGCGGTCGAGGTCCTCACTATGATAGCTTGAAGGCACAACTGCAAGTTCCAACCGTCCTGTCCATTCCTCACCCGGCTTCAATATGATAGGTTTCTCGACTGCTGCCCCATCAACGCAAAGCATCTGTTGATACTCTTCGTCTCCAAAATCCACCATGGCTTTTGATCTCTTCTCCCATGGATTCCACACCACTTTGTGAAGGAAAATATAAGAAATGGATAGACAACAAAGCATCAGTGTAATAACTAACATACTATATACAGACAACCAAACACATACATATATGCCTCATCACAGTCCTCAAGGTTGCAGCATAGACATACCAATGAAGTTGTAATGCAATGGCTTACCCCCGATTAAGCTAATTTTTAATAGCGTGCATTGCACACGTCTCATTGTCTCTTTTACTAGTAATTATAGAACTGGCTTGTCTTCTCTATTAGATGTATGGAATGCATACAAGTTCTTCGAGAATTTCTGTACTATGCAAGTTAACAGGAATTCGATGGTATCTTACCCACATCTGGTAGACCTTCCTTTTTTATCACGTAAGTTCGTTTCCTTTCATGATCAAGAACAGCAACAAAATTTGGAGAATGAAGATAAACACGATCAATCTGCAAGAGAAAAAGATTACCTTCTAAACAAGAGCCTTTGATCTACATTATTTGATTTCTTCTTAATCTAAGAACAAAAGCACAAGTCAAGTCTTCTATTTAGAAAGAAACAAAATTAATAAGAAAAGTGAACATTTAAACAAGAACAAAATAAAGATAGGCTGCCACTTAATTTCCATGCATTCCTTGAAAGAATTATGCAGAGACACTTCGTTATGAATAATTTGTATTTCTTTCTTTAACGGTTCTGTCCAATCATAAAGATAGCTACTTTCTTCCTTAAAAGTTTAAAAAATTAATATAAACTGATGAGAAAATCATTATATATATTTCGCTCAAGAATAAATCACTTCACTTCCAATTTCCAACACATTGTCTTAATATTTTCTCATTTTCCCCTGAAAGTCCACAAGACATCTCAAAGTTGTCACCTCTTTCAACTTTGCCGAAGAAATAATGGAGTTTTGCTCATTCATTAATCTAAAGTCTCCATTACAAATACAGTCTTAAACGTCATCCTGCAAATTATATACAAGGTAATTTACCTCATATTCGAAAGTTATGGCGTCTCCCTGTTCTGTAAAACGTTCTCTTTGGCGAAGGTTGTCTAGATAATCGAGTGTTTCCAGCCCTTCTATCCTCACTTCACTGCAGATATAATTAATGTTCATCAAGTCCAAACCATAAATTCAGAATGGCAACATTCACTACTTTTAGAGAGTTAAAACAGGAAACAAATTTTGTCATTGATTAATCCTAGTAGTGCAAAGTTATACATGAAAAATATAAGAGAATAATGTTATTTTAAATTCTCTCTTTGCTTTTACAAATACATTCTCTTAGCAATAGTTATAAAAGATTCACTCTCTCCCTCTCTCTAAATTTAGATTTCTTAATAAAAAAAATAATAATAATAAGGAAAAGGAAAGGAGGAATTTTCATTCTATGCACATGCCAGAAAACAACATTTAAAGGAAAGCACATCATACCTTATGTCAGAGACAGACAAATATGAGTGGTAAGCGAATGAGAAACTAAATGGTTTGCCGTTGATGTTTCTAATGCGCGATATCAAGGTTAAATTTCCATCCGCAGCAAGAGAAACCCTAAGACGAAACTCGAAACTGGAAAAAGTGAACAAGAAAAAAAGAACTCCCATCAGTGACAAATAAACATCTTTATTTACCAAAATAAATATATAAATAAAACATATAAACAGCTTGACATGCCCTAGAATTCACAACTAATGGTCCTGATTTACACTCCACTCCAGAAAGTAAGGGAGAAACAAGAAGAAAGAAAGGAAGAATGAGCTCTGTAAAACATGTACATCAAAACGGAAAAACGGGTTCTGAACCAATAACATATTTAGGTCATAATCAGTCTAAAAGATTCTAAATGGAACAAACAACATTTCATTTTGACTTTGAGCCAATTCAAAGGATATCAGATTCTTCTTAAAGCATCCATCTACAACAGAGAATTGACATAAGAAAAATATGCCCATATAAAGTTGTAAGAAATTAACTTCATTTCAGTATGAAACAGTTCCCATGAAACCGAGTAGAGCACAATGGGCTAGAACATCAATGTATTATTACTTAAATCCTCAAGCATCAACTTCTTGGTACTATTAATTCTTAACGTTATACCTATGTGGCCAACATTTCATATCTTCTTCAGATGGTTTCAGTAGCAAGTCAATGAAGGATTTGCCAAGAGAATCATTTGGATGAAGAGGTGGAGGGTTATCATCAATGGTCCAAATTTTGTTCCTTGCAAATCCATGTTGTTCGAGTGAGTCACAGTTTCCAAACTGCGTAAGCGTTTAGAGAGAAACCATCAGTGAAAATGCAGAAAACCGGTACTCTATTTAGTCAGAATTATAAAGGAAAGACGGATAATACCTGAGGGAAACATACAAGAATTCCTCCCCGTATAGCTTTGGGTGGCTTAAAAAGTGCCTACAATTCATGAAAGAACAGGTAACGTATAATCATTTTATATCTAGCAGCGAAATTGGTATCAACTGTTTAGGAATAGAATCACTACGTGATTGATATTCAGCTTATAAGCCACCTATTAAACTACCTCTTCATGAATAGGTCTCTTTACGGTCATCTAATTTTGCCACTTTACATTGTCTCAAGTTTTACCGCACCTGCTAAGTTCAATTCATACTGCAGGGTGAGGTATGGCCATGCAGGCTGCAGGTAACGTAAGAAGCCATCCAACTCAACAGTAAAAGAACAAACTAACAAAGAGATGATGTAATGTTGCAATGAATGCCACAAGAAGTCGTCCCCTGCTTTCTTTCTGGTCCTAAATGCCACAAGAACGCTCTAATGGCCAAGATTAGTATGTAGTATGCACCACCTCAGATCTTATTAGGAATATACACAACATAGTCCGACTATCATCTACCGCTTTCTAATGAAATTTCAGGTCCTCCTCTAGAAAGAAGCAACACGATGAATTTTGAATCACCTAGGAACAATATGTTATAAACACTTGGTTTTGAGTTACCTAGGAACCACATGTTATAAAAACCACTAAACTGGTTTTGTTCTACTCTTTGATTTATATGTAGTTACTAGTTTGTATTTGATTTTATCTGAAATGGGAATGATTAAATTTCAAGATTTAATCGTTTTCTATATAAACCTAGCCACAAAACCTTTCTACATCGCACACACCACATACTTGTATATTACATTACACAATGTTTTTATTGTTAGTTTGGTATTAGTGTCAACATTAACACTTCATATTTTTATTTAAAATCTTCATGGCAGTTGAGATCTTGATCTTAAATAAGTCGAACATTATAGAACACTACATGGCAACATTACAATGGTGAAATGATCAGAAATCATACCTTACTACTAGTGAATAGGAGTTCTTCGCCTCTATCATTTCTCCAGGAAATGACATGTCCTCCATGTAAGCTAACCTGGATCATCAATGGGGCAAATATTCAGTAAACTAGCCGGAAACCATTTAATATTCCCACAAACATGTTAAACAAGAAAGAAGTACAATTGATGATAGATAGCTGCAAAGGAAAAAAAAAAAACGGAGATGATGAAAAAGGATCGAACCCGGGCTGAAGCACCTCGTGGATTCCGAAGCAGAACCTGCTGAATCCCATTCCAGTCCTCTGTCATTTCAATTGCTGCCCTATGATCCCACACTGCTGCAGAATGACCCATCTCACAAAACACAAACAATAATGGAATTCTGTTTCTCTCCTACCCCTCTCTGTCTCTAACACCAACACACACCCAACGACTAATCAAACCTCACAAACTGACAAACTTGTAACTTTGTGAATCAAAATCAAAACCTTTTTACCAGTTCAACTTCCCAATCTTTACCATAGTCCCTCAGATCCGAAAAAAAAAAAAAAAAAAAACTAATTAATTCCTAAGGGCAATCTTATTCCATAAACCTAAACATTTGCTAACTACAAAGAAATGCTTCAAATTTCTACCTCGGAATTCACTAAGAAAATCCCAGAATTTGCCATTTTTGCATCAGAAAATGACAGATGAAGAACGAAAAAATACTAAAACAAAAAGAAAACTTTAAATGTACTCTTAAACTTTGAGAAGTTTTCCTTACACTCGACTTTTCAATCAAAATTTAAAAGTATAGGAGCCAATTCCCAAATTTGAATCCAACTCTGAAGAGACCCAACAACTACTTTTTAGAAAGCAAAAACTCTCTTTGTAATCACTGAACAGTATAAATAACAAAAGTTTCTGATAAACCCATCTCGATAAATTCAAGCACTTACTGATTGAATTAAAGGTTCAAAGTTCAAACCCCAAAAAAAATGGCCATCCAAGAAAACAAGAAGACAACAAATAAAGAGAAAACTGAAGGAGCTGAAATGTGAAGCAAAAGTGTTATTTGTAGTACATTAATTAGCTTAGATTAAGGTAATCTAGCAGGCAAGATTGTGGAAACATGCGGGGAACCGAATAAATAAATATGAAAATATTATGAGACGAGACGGGAAAATTGATTGTTTTGTATGTTGGTGACGTGGAGATACGTGAAGTCCATGTGAGTGTGACTGTACACACGGTCAAATTATGAAAAACCGAGATTCACACAATTATGAATTTATTCTTAAAAAGAAATTGATATGTTAAATACACAATTAATGAATTATCAACTTCAAAGTAAATGATGAAGGTTGGGTAGAGGAGTATAGCGGTTGCATGAATGATTATGAACTCATAGTTAATCTGGACAAAAGTGGTCTAAATTTGACTTAAAGTGATTTATATTAACGGTTCATTTTGATTGAGTTCATTTTATATTAGTTGGTATGATAGGTTTTGAATCTGGATTTATGGTTAATACGTGTTTTTAAGATTTGACTTGAATTCAAATCCAAATATAAAATCTTACACCATGGGCAGCACCATTTCTTTTTCTTTTTCTTTCTTTTCTTCTCTTTTGAGGTAAGACTGTTAAGAGATTAGAAATTAGTTGTTAGAGACTAGGGGGTGAGACTGCAAGGCTCTAATTCAAATACAGAAACAACCCAATTACTCAGGCAACAGTGACATAAATTTAAATCTTACAAGAGAAATTTACTGGTGCCTCTTTAATAATTTTATTCCAAAAAAATATTGACCTAGATTTTATTTATTTTTTAAATCAAACTACTGAATTATTAATTTGATATGCTTTGAACTTTGTTAAAATGGTTTAAATACTATTATCATCAACATGGATTAATTGGAATAGTCCTAGATGAAATCAAAACATCTCTCATCAGCATTGTAATAATCCACCAGAGCTGATAAAAGAGAGAGATTGTCTCACTGGATCTTTTTAGTCTCGTAGCTGCTGATATCGAGTTACGATATAAATTTAACCTTTTACCAGAATCACCAAAACACAACAAAAATAACCATAGAGTTCAAAACAGTAAAATAATTATATTACCCCTCAAAAGAACTAGGCTTCGCAAAGAGCTTCCATGCGCCATCAGAATAAATAAAAGGAAGCAAAGGAAGGTAATTAAACCAACAATGACAAAAATAATACAAGCAATAAACACAAGGCACAGATTTAAAAAGTAGTTCTGTCCACATACACTCCATAGATTACATGAACCAAATACACAGGTCCTACAGAAATTCTCTGATCTAGATTTCTAAGTCATATCAACTATCGGTGGCCAACCAGGCACTCTGAATCTAACAAAACACCATCTCAGTTCTGCCAAGAGACATCTAGCTACTTCACTAAATTAGTCTTACTTCTTAAATCCGATTTCTGCTATTTCGTTCCTCAGCTACTGTTAGTGACAATTTTGGGCTTGTAATATGCCAAAATTGCATAATTAACTTGAAATTTAAGATGAAAAAGTTCTTCACAATTACAGGTTCCGTGATCAGCCAGCAGCGACAGCATCAGCTCTGGCACTTTTTTCCAGGAGTTGATGGAGCTTCAAGCCAGAGTTTTTCTCCTTTATCTCACTGCCTTCACCAGTTCTATTTGTAGAACCAGAATTGTTGACTCTGGACAGCAGGTTCTCTGTTTTGACAGGCGTGTCACTCTTGTCATTGACCTTGTTCAATATTACCTCTTCGGTTTGTCCTAGTCGAGCAATTTTCAGTTTCTCCTGGGAGTTCAGATTCATTTATAAGCTCCAAGAAGGTATTGGATGAGAAGAATGAGCAAACAATAAGGGATAGAATACGTAATATAATTCAGAAAGCAAATGAGGCTATACCAATAATTTAGCATTTTCAAGCTTCAGTTTCCCTGAATTCTCTGTTAATCGATTAACTTCAGATTTAAGTGTGATGTTCTCAGCAGTTAAGGATTCAACTCTTACAGCAAGTTCTTCAGTCTCAGCCTAGATGTAAAAGTAAAATAAAAATTAAAAAAGGAAAGAAAAAAAAGAGCAAAGAACAAAACACATATATGAGAGTATGCCCATGCCTAGAGTAGAGATAATGACCCAACCTTACTAAGAAGGATTTATGAAAAAAACTACAAATAGATCTAAACCAAACAAGATTTTTACAAATTTCCCATACCTGCTTCCTCAATCTTGATCTTCTTGCAGATTCTCGATTAGACTGTTTCCTTTTCTCACGTTTCAGCTCCCGCTCATCCTGAGCACAAAAGCAAAAGCACAAAATCAGAATGTCAGATCAAAAATAAACAAACACAAAATCAGAAATCAGATTCAAAACAAACAAAAGCTTAAGGCACCATGATACATTTCCAGTTTAAGTATTGAACCCCCTAACAGCATCAATCCAACCGGATCTGACCAAGCTCCAAAATTTTAGTACCAGCAATTAATTCAACTTTTTATATTTCTGCAATTTTCCTCTCAAGAACAATAGTTAATCTTGCGGTGAACAGTCAAGTCCTCAACAGGCTAAAAGCCGATGTTTGTGCATATGCATGCGCACATAATGCGAAAGAGAAAGAAAAGTAACTAAATAAATAGCAAACATGGGCACAATACCGGTAACCAGGCTTCATTTGGGGTCATGGGAGAAGGTTGTGGAACAGTAGTTGGACTTGTCTTTGCATTTGCGCAAGTAGCATTTCTGAGATCCGGTGCTGTGGCCATGCTAGGAGAAAGCACAGTTCCCATCACTTTTCCTGCAACACTAGGAGGAGCTACAGCGACTCCCATCACCTTACCAGAAGTTCCATTTACTTTTCCAGCACGAGTAGGACTGTTCTGTGTTTCAGTCTTCCCATCTCCACCTATTGGTATTAGCAATTGAGCATCAAAGAAGTTAAAAAAATACATTTAAGTAAATAGTTCCAATACTCCACCTGTTACTCTCAAACTTTGCAATCAATGGCATATCAAGAGTTCAGGAAACAACTTTTTATTTATTTATTTATTAAGTCATGTTCATGTCCTCATTTATTCAGTTTGGTAAATTCTAATATTTAGAAAGAAACATTTCTACAGACCTTGCACGAGCTAACTGGAATTCAGAAAAAGAGCACGGCATTGCTACACATAATATTTGTGATGTGTCCCACAGTTATTGGACAATAATATTTGAATACTATAATTGTGTGTAGTATGACAACTGTATTTGTAGTCAAAGTATGTGCAGTGCAAGAGGTCAGTCTTACCATTGCACTAAAAAATACACTTGCCAAAGGCCCATAGCACGCATGCCAACTTGCCAAGTGTGTATGATGCATAGGAAAAGGTTTGATTCCAAAATGAATATTGTTCAATAGCCAGGCGAATTCCATTTTTTAACTAAAAGTCACTTCAGAAAAATAAAATAAAAAATAAAGAAGAAGAAGAAGAAGAAAACAAAAGAATTTTTTTTACCCGCTGTTTGTGTTCCTTCATGATTTCTTTTCCTACCGTTTTGACCCACCTGACACAGATGTGAGATCAAAAGGATTTTATTGAACTGTTTAAAAGTCGGTTCAGATGATGTGAAAATTTTGCTGTGGTACGTGAAAGCATAAGCAGATCAAATCCTTACCCCCGCTGTATTCCCACTACTTCCATCACTGGAACCTTCAGTCTCCTCACTGTTCATATAACATTTAATAGTTAACATCTCTACAAGAGTTCTAAAGGAGAACATGTTGGAGTCATCAGATCTCTTGGAGGGTGGAGACCAAAGATTCCCCATCTCCTAAAGAGTACCATATTGCTCCTCAAACAAGATAGAGACAGATTTTAGAAAAGTGGTGTAAGTTCAACAAACCTCTGAGAGACCCCGTGGTCAGCTCCATCCTCAGCGATGTCAGCATTGCCATTGCCTATTGACATAGAAAGCCCATCAAACCCCTTTAACTTTTTCATCAAGCCCCGATCAGTGTTTTCTGATGTCTTGGCAGATGTTTCAATGCTTGAAGGATTAGCAGCCTACATCACAGCTAATAAATTATAGTTAAAATCTATTATTGTACGCCAATGCAGCTAAGAGGACAAATCATATGTTTTATCTTACCGATACATTTATACTATATTAACTCAGATCCATTAACCGAACATAACAATAAGAATTGAAAGAGTTGTTTGCAGGGGACAATGGAACCCCATGACCATGCGGTTAGAACTATGGGAAAAACCAGAGAACTATTAAAGCCAAATATAATATTCTTACATATAAATTAATTCAAGATTTAAATTACTATGGAAGCACAGACAGAACCTTTTATTGAGAGCTACATTCAAGAATATGATGCACATTGCAGGTAATATAGGAAAGGGTTTATGTTATTATATTACATACAATAATAGGGGAAATGAGCACTGATGTAGGACAACGGAAATGTCAAAATGTTAAATAAATTCCAAGAAGCCCATTCACTTCTCATAGAAGAAGCTGCAACATCCCCTGAACTCGTCTCCAGGACTTTCTAGGATTAGCAGACTTTAGTTTGAGCTGTAATGCAACTCCACCTTGTCATGCTAGTGTCTTGTATTTCGCACAGACAATATGAGCATGTAGAGAGGAAGAGTAGCATGCAGATGGTGAACAAAATATTTTTTATTCGCATCCTAAGAACAAGGAACCTCAGTAAATCCCAGTTTGGCCAACTGGAGATGAGGGATTTATCATTTATGTGTTCAATTCAAAGTAATTAATAGATCCCATCATGTGAAGTAATATCAGTTGTAATGCGAAGTAAAATCCATGTAATGCACACTCACAAGAGGAACTCCAGCATGTGCATAAACACCTCCATGTGCATAGAATGCCGCATAAGGTGCCCCGTAAGGTGGCATCATAGCCTGCAAAAGTAGAGAGTTTCCAGGAACAAATCATTTTGTCAGAGATCCACTGAATCTGTTTGTCACTATACTTGTATGACTCAAAGGTAGATAAGAAATTCAAATGGAGCCTTTGAGCTGCTAGATGACATACCTGTGGCGGTCCCCACATATAAGGGTGAGGGGCATGACCAGATGCATTGGCTGAGTTGAAATATGGTGGTATAGCTATTCTGGGGCCATAATATGCCTGAAGATGTAATGAAACAGCTTGAATTGCTACTACAAATTTCATGAAGAAACAACAACTTAAAGTTTTCTCTTAAAGAGACATGTTTAATCAATTGTACTCATAAGAATAAGAAACCAATATCATGCACAGAGTGAATAACCTGCATGGCTGCCCAATCAGGATACATTTGAACATTTGGTTGATCCTGTTAATACAAAAAGACGAAAGCAATTATCAGCAGCAAACTTCAAGAAGTGACAAAAAAATCATATGTGTGTACTCATGAACTTGTTCAGTTACCCTACAAATATTTTCCTAAAATTGTATGTAAATTTTTCTCATCCATCAAGATCAGGAAGTCCCACATTTTTCATTCTACTAACCAACATGCATAGTTTTCTCAGCTTACCGGCGGAGGTGAGGATGGTTTCTCACGCTTACAAGGCTTTCCTTCTTCACTATTTCCCATGGTTAAGCACCAATCTGGAAACTGTCGATTGATACACAGATGCTGCAGGAAAATACCTCTTTACAGCCGCTTATTCTGTTTTCCTGAAAATACAGTTCGCCACATAAAGTGTAATCAAGTTAATTTGTGACTAGAAAACAAGATTAACAATGAGAAGGAAAAAAAACTCACTATAAAAAATGAGACTAATTTATCATTCAGAAATTGTCTCCAAAATGATGTGATGTTCTCATCATATAATAATAACTGAAGTTAAAATGACATATACTCCCCTATACAGTTCCAGAACAGTAATGGCAACAGGTGGTTACAAACTTATCATTGAGTGGAAATTTGAATAGTCAAACCTAACTGATGACCAGCAGTGTGGTTACTAAGTCTAACAAAGAACATTATTTCGATAACAAGTTTTTCAACAACTAACTGTACAGAATCAATTTCTGAGTGTAGGGAGAGTGAGAAAAGTAACATTCAGTATCTCGCCATCTTCTTTCAGAATCGTACAGAAAGGCATAAAAGGGCATGTTTGGTTCAGTTATTTAGAATCAATTTTCAAAAAATTCTGAAAATAAATCAGTTTTACAACTTAAAAGGACTGTTCTCAAGAATTGTCCTTTTTAACTCCGTTTTTGAGAATATTTCTAATTAAACTGTCAAACTAAATTAATTTTTGAACCGTGTTCTATTTTATTGTTCTCTTAATATAGAGAAATATTGTGCAAAAACTGAATCAAATGGACTTTAGGGAATTATTTTGCTTTTTTTTTTTTTTTTTTTTTTTTTTAATGCAAGGATGGTCTCTTGAACTACCTGGAATACCAGATCCTACTGTACCCAAACCTCACCTTAACTCCCAGCAACCCACTGAATATTTACATATCCCGAGGGTTTAAAATTTCAATCGTTCGATAGCAATAGTAATTATAAGAATCAGCAGATCAAAGCCTACAATCATTTCCTTAAAACCTCGCAACTAAACCCTTTGAGAAAACTTTGGTAAACTTTTTGTGAGCTTCACCTCTCAAATCTAAGAATCATCAGCAGGCAGATAGCATATGAATGAACCCAGAGATGAAGAAATTCCATTGTAATTCTATCTCCAACATGTTCAAAAAAAATTCCTTTGTCCAGAAAGAAAATGTATAATTGATCATAGAGCTGCAAATATAACCTTTTCGTCAGTCGTAATGATCAAGCACAACAAAGAAATTAACTTTCTTATTATTATTATTATTTTTGGTAATTAACATATAAATTAACTTTGCAATAATCAACTCTATAAAGGCCGATTAATCAATGATTTGTTATAATATCTTGCCGATCCTCCAACTATGTAACTCAAAACAGCAAGATCTATATGAACACCCATAATATGTTCAAAAATAAGAAAAGAAAAAAAAAATAAGAAGAAGCTAGAAGGAGGACATTATTGTCTCACCAGCATCCCACCTAACAACAGGAAAATAACGGGCAAATTACGCAGTGTTGTCAATCCAGGAAAAACTATGAGGTAAATGACACAATTATCCTCACAAGTTCACCTAAAGTTTAATTAACAGAAAACTAGAAATTTCAATTTTCTTTTGATTGATAAAGTTGAAATTTTCTTCTAATATATAGTACTATTTTTGTTTTATTATAAACTAATTTAACAGATTATATTTGTCAGAAAACGATGTTTTTAGCCAAAAACACTTTGAATTTTTATAACTCCCCTCTTCTTTTTTCTTTTTCTTTTTAATCACAATCTCGTTCTCCATACGAGGATTTAGATTTGAAGAAAATAAATAGTTCATGAAACAGAGCGAAAAAAAAAAAAAAAACAGCTATAAAAATCATATAAAAACAAACATTCAGAACCAAATCATCAATACATATATATATATATATATATATATATATTAAAAATCAAAGCTTATAGCCGAAACAAAAGAAATTCGAGAGATTAACATGATTTAGACCTCTAAATATACAAATTTCACATACAAATCCGATACTCCAACACTATAATTCAACAAATCAAACTTCAATTAGAACATACCTTCAACTATCGCAACACAGAAGTTCCTCCTCCAAACCTCGAAAACCGAAAAAACAAAATATTAAACAGAGAGGAAATGTGTAAGAGATGAAGATCGAGCTTCGACTATCTTGAATGGTGAAAAAAATGAAACAGAGTACAACCACTAGCTCTAACTTCTCGACTTCTGCATTTTCTCTCTCTAGTTTCTCTCTCTAGAAAACGGTTACAATGGAAAGTGTAGGAATTGCAGAGTTTAGAGAGAGGGAGGGGTGAAGGAGGAAGAGGGAGAGGGAGCGCCAAGGCAACATCCACGTCATGATACACGTGTTCGTACGAAATATGTGTATACACGCATCGTTTGTATATAAGGATGGGCCATCGTGGTTGTTGAGCTGGCCCGTAGATATTCGCGCAGCCCATTTTATTTATTCCAACGTCGAGTCTACCGTACACGTGTCCATTCAAGACTCAATCTACGCGTCCTTGATTGGTGTTACCTTGGCCAACTAATACCACCCGTCGTGTGCCTGACGTGGTCGTTATACCAATTACATAAATAAATAGTAAATAAGAATTTTAAGAATTAACTATATTGAATAGGCCCTTTGCGTTCCGCTACGACCCATTGATCAACTAACTTAATCTTAGTTAATCATATCCTTAAACTCTTATCAAGATTGGTGTGTTGAGAAACTTTTTCATTTTTTTCAACCATCTTTTAAAAATCTAGTGGTCATGAATTTGAAATTTTTTTTTGTCACTTGAAGAATTTTTTTTTTTAATAATATGTTGCATATAAACGACTGCCTATTATAAAATGTTTAATCACATGACAAAAATAAAAAGAAAAGTTTTAATTTTTTCATATTGAGGAGTTATTTTTTTATTTCTAATCTTAGGGACACAATGCATCATATACCATTGCACAGATTGCAACGAGACGGAATTGGGACGGATTTGGTTAAATCCTATTTCTCCTTTATCATACTAACTCCGTTCCTATTCTAAAACGGGTTTGTAATTGTTATACCATCTCCACTTCTATTTCGGTAAACAAAATACTGACTCCGCTCCATGTACTCCGTTTAATTACGGGGTGTGATCGGGGTAGACAGACCCAATGTGTTCAAATTGTATTGATAAATAAATTGACCCAACTTTTGAATTAATAAATAGTGAATATTAATAATATATTAACACACTTTCAGTAAAATAACAAGAGTCTTAAAATTATAAAATATATATTTTATATATAAAAAAAAAATAAAAGATACATATATAATCGGGGCGGGGTCATCACTAAATCCACCCCCGCCTCATACTCGTTTCGAGTTTTTAATTATTTTATTATACCCGTCCCAAATCAACTTAAGGGCTACTAAATTCACCCCACTAGGGGCGGGAGCTGGGCGGAAACCCATCGGTCGGAGAAAATTGCCATTCCTAATAACTTGCGCCTATTTTTAACGGGAAAAAATTTAAAAAAATTAAGTACTTAATGTATAATGATGATATTATATCAATAACTAATTAAATACTTACACATAAGTAAGAAACATGGAATAGTAATTTAACGTTATGTTAGTAATTCGACGTTAAAATAACATCATATACAAAGATGGATTCACTGCACTTACATAAATTAAATTAAAAAACTATTCATTCTTAAATTATTACTCCGTATTCTTTAAATTATTTTTAGCAGGAGATAATATCATGTTAAAGATAAGAAGGCCGAAATGTCAACAGTGCCCTCAGCATACAGTAAAATTGAGGTTTTTCAATCAGTCTATTTGCGTCAATTGGTGTGATTAGGAAGATTGATTAGGCGCATGCTTGTTTGAGAACGTGGATTGAAGTTAATTGGTTTACCTAAAACAGGCAAGATACTTACTTTTGGACTTTTTTACGGTGAGCTAATGGGTTATCGACACCTAATCTAATTCTTTCCAGAAAAATGAAAACGAAGCATGTTGATGACAATGAGATCCAAAATCTCCTTATAGATCTGATTTAGACATTTATTGCAGATTTTTTTGTTTTTTTCATACAAATTCGCGTCATTATGTTATGCTTTACTAGACTTGTTGAGTTGACATCACGAAATGCTAAGGTCAAATACATGTACCAAAATAGAATTTTTAGTTATTCTTAAAAGTAAGCTATTTTGTGGCAACTGGTATAATATATATATATATAATTCAAATAGGATGGGAGGAGTTTGAATTTCCCACAAATTGTGCATGAATTACCTAATAAAAAAATAGCATGATTTTGTATTTTTGATTACACATAAAAAAATAAAAATAAAAATAAAAATCCTGAACGAATAATATTATCACCACCATTATAGATTTAGTTAAACAATTAATTTTGATATGCAAATATGTGTTGGTCTATCCTAATAACACACACAGAGCATAGATAATTAACCATAATTATTTTTGTGATACCGTACCAATGATAAACACATTTTACCCATTTGATTACAGTTCTCTTTTAGATGTTTAAGTACAAAGTAAAATTTTTAAGGAATATTACGTATAAATGGTGCTAATGATTTATATTTATCATTTGATGAAATTAAAATTTCATAATTTTAAAAAAATAAAGATATGAAAAAATACAGTTTATCCTCACTGAAGTACCACTTTTAAGATCATAAGTATAATTTTTTGTGATACATAATGACAAAAAGTGGTACCTATATGCACAATAGTAATACATCTATACCCAAAACAAAAGTAGTATCTGGGTGCACAAAAAATGATACTTATATATCTAAAAGTGATATTTCAACAAGGGTAAACAGTGTTTTCCATATTTACGTCAGCATTTTGGTTAACTTCATTTTTACAAAATTAAGACTTCATTAAATAATAAATATTAGTCATTAATACTATTTATTTGTAATAATTTTTAATTTTTATATATAATTAAATAAATATGTGTGGATAGGAAAAGAAATTGAGAGAGAGGAGAGAGAGAGGGGGGGGCTGTTGGCACCAGTCCACTCTTTCCGAAGCGGAGAGGCACTCCAAGACTGGCGCACCCTTTTTTTGACTCGTCCGCCACACTTTATCCAATCGCGACCGTCCGTTCCAAATTCTGTATCTTCATACTTTAACGATCAAGTCAGCTGAGGACATGTGTGGGCGGACGAGTCAAAAAAAGAGATTGGAGTTTTTTTTTTTTTTGGTTAAAAGAGATTGGAGTTGTGATACACATTTGGAATTATTATTATTATTATTATTATTATTATTAATGGTAAGTGAAAAATAAGGTTTTGGATGTAAAATATTTTTTAAAATTTATTTATTTATTTAATATAATTATTATAATATATTTATAAAAATAAAAATATTAAAATTTAATAAAAATAATTTAAACATTAATTTTCGTCAAATTATTTTACATATTTCACATGATGAATTCAATCTTAATAATAATTTAAATTTTTGTCAGACTCCTAAAAATAAAATAAAATAATATTTTACATCGAAATAAACAAGTATCTTTATATCATTCTTTATTCAAAAAAAAAAAAAAAAAAAAAAAAGAAGAAAAAAAAAAGTGAAATGTTTCTAACCGTAAAACTAATATAATTTTACAACCCATTAAAAAACATTGGGCTATTGAAATTGGTTTAAACAATCAATTTGAAAATCATTTTCCATATAATCAAGTGTATCATCCACGTCACACTCATGGATTTCCTTCAATTGATTGAATCACATGATATCACCAATTAATTATATTTTATCATATAGCTAAAAATATGTTTTTATTATTTATTATTATCTCAAACTACTAAGTACCTACCATATCAAAATATGATAAATGCATATTTATATAAATACTTTTTATACATTCAGAAATTTATTATTTATATTTAAATTTCAAAATACGAAGTATTAATTTCTTAACAACAGTTTAAACATTTGTCAGACACCAATTTATTTATTTATTTATTTATTTATTTATTTTTCCTTCTGAAAAGGATCATGCATTAAATACACATGCTCTTACAAAGTCACTGTATTCTATCACTATCTTCTAGGGTTTATTTATTTTTATGTTTTATCTTCTCTTTTTTTAAATGGTAAAAAAATATTTTAAAAAAATACCGTCCTGATGAGACTTAAACTAACCCTTTTATTTTAGAAAGTGAAAAAGTATTGACAACCCTTAATAATATGTCAACTTTAAATAGTTAATAATATCATGTCAAATATATATATATTTTTTTCCAACTTAAAAAGTTTATTGATGAACTACAACATAATTGAAAAAGGAATGACAAACCTTAGTAATAATATATCAAAATTTAATTAGTCAATAATATCTATACTTACGATTTTATTTGATTGGTCATTTTTTTTCTTTTTCTTAAACATAATTGATGGACTGATGGTGTGACCCTCTTTGTTTGGATAGTTGTTAGTGAAACTATGTTGAGCAATGATGATTGACTTTTTTTAGGTGACTTAACTAAGATCCGGTTTGGTTCCAAGGAAATAGAAGGAAAAGAAAGTAAACAAAAAGGATATAAAATTTTGGATGAAAAAAAAGGGAATTGAAGGATTTGGAGAAATAAATTAGTATTATTATTATTATTTGTTTTCACATTAATAAAAAACACACTCACACACATGTTTGTTCACTTTTACACTCGACCCTTCCTTCTTTTTTAAGATGAAAAAGTTATACCATTATACCATTTGACCGGGATTGGGGATAGATTACAACTTAATGAATTAATTTTGTTATCTTTCAAAAAAAAATGAGAGAAAAGTAAATGAAAGACTACCATTTTTTATAAAACTTTATTAATACTAAATTTATCTGTATTTTTATAAAAGACAAATTTATGAAAATATATAATAAAAAAAATTATTACAATACTTTTATTTTCTCCAAACACTATTATCATTTACTTCATTAATCAATCAAAATATTAAGACTATACTCTCATTTCTTTTCATTTATTCTCTCATAATTAATGTTATCTATTTTTTTTTTTCGATTTATTTCATAGTCTAGGTGGATAAAATTAACTTTTTCTCCTCTTAATATGTCTTTAAAAAAAAAACATTATACATTTTAATCATTTTTGATGTAATAATTCTCAAAAAGTATCTAAAATACATATTTGAAAATGATCTCCACGGACCCACCGGCTTTTGCTGAAGTCGGTGGCTTGTGGTCCAATGCTGACGTGTCCCCAATTACTGGGTTAAAAATAGGCGGGACCCACAGATAGGGAAAGGTTATGTGGCCAGCTCACTAATCACGCCTTGTACCGTTCTAGAGATTCTAATGTGTCATCAAGGAGTTCCACGTGGTCTCACCCACGTTCTACCGTATGATTGGACGATGCAGTAACCTGATATTAAATTTACTAATAAAAGTAAAAAATTATTAAATGATTCTGAATCACAGTAAACTGGTTAAATATATCTTTATGAATTAAAAAAATAATTTTATAAAAATATATTAATAAATTATAAAATTTCATAATTAAAGAGTTTTCATTAAATTAATTTACCAAATATCAAATACACCAATCCCAATTAATAATTTCTCGGGTAAAGTGCAAATAACCCCCCTGTACTATTGACAAATTGCAACTAACCCCCCTAAACTTAAAAAAACCCCCTAAACTATGAATTTGTTGCATTTCAGTCCATTCTGGTGACCGACTTAACCGGAAAAATAAAAAGTCTGAATTGCCCTTATGATTATATATATATATATAAAGAAATAAAATAATAAATAAACATATATATATATATATATATATATATATATTTCTGGTTTTAAACTGAATTTATATATATGTGTTTATATATATATATAACATTGGAGATTGAAGAGAGAGAGAAGCATCAGGCTGGAGATTGAATCATGAAGAAAATGAAGGAAAAAGATGGTGGCGGCGGCGGCGATTATGGTGACGGAAGAGGAGGTAAGTCGGCGATTATGGTGACGATGCGGAGTCGACGCGTCAAAACCCAAATCATCCTCGTCGCCGCTGGGATCTCGCTGCCGTCATCTCCTGCGCCTGCCCCGCCACCGTCTCTTGCGGTGACAGCTGGAACGAGCTCGGATGGTGGAGAGGACCGGCGAGCAAGGTGGGCTGAACGGCAATGGGCTGGTTCGGCCATGGTTAACTCGCGGCGATGGGCTGGTTGCGGCTTAGCTGCACAGCGGCCGAGCTTCGCCTCATCCACCAACCTCCCTGTTCCGATCGGGACGGTCACCCACTTCTCGTTTTCATCGACCCCAAATTACTCCGCAATCATTCTCCACAAGTGCTTCCACTTGAACAGATCGTCGTTGCTGCAATTGAAAGCTTCGTTGCTCGCATACGGATCCATCGCCGCCCATACTAGTGCTCCGCTATCAGACCGGAATTCGACACCACCGAGTAGCAGTTCCATACCCCGAGGGAGAACCAGAGATTGTGATTGAAGGGGGTGATGGCAGTGGGTTAGTGGGGGTTTGGTTTCACGGTGTGTGATGGGTTTGATGGAGAGAAGGTTAGGCTGTGGTTGGTGATGACGGGTGATGGTGGTGGCGGGATTGGGGTGGTGGCTGTGGGTTTGTGTACTGGTTCGATTGGGTTTGGTGGTGTGCCGTTGAGATGCCGATGGAGGTGGTAGTGATGGTGGTGGGTTTGATTTCGTTTAACGGTGTGTTTTGGCATGAGTTCAGGAGGGTTTCGTGGTGGTTATGTTGGTGGTTGCGGACGGTGGTGGTGGTTATGTTGGTGGTTGCAGAAGGTGGTGGTGGTCGTAGACGACGGTGGTGGTGGTTATAGGATAATTTGGTATTTTCATATATAGAAGGGCATTATTGTCCAAAAAACTTAGTTTGTCTGTCGCGTGTGAATCACGCGCTCATTTTTGGACGGCCGGTCACCGGATGGGGTGATCTGCAACTTTTTTGTATAATTTAAGGGATTTTTTGCATTTTTGGTAGTTCAGGAGGTTAGTTGCAAATTTCCCCATAGTTCAGGGGGGTTATTTGCACTTTACCCTAATTTCTCACTAAAAGTTGCATGTGACAAATGGGACTGGTGTGTGTGACGTAAGAACCGAATTGTACCACGTAAGATATAAATAATCTGCGCCGTTGGTTGTGGATGTAAATCGACGGTGATGCGTGATTCACGCCGGAGGGAGAAAGTGACAATGTGAATGGAGGGCTATGACGTGGTGGAATCTTTTTTTTATTTTTAAATGGTGGATTAATCAGACGCCGCGTCGTTTCCGACAAGGTGACGTGTCTTGCGGGCACATGGTTGTTAAGTCAGTAAGTGTACATGGGACCCAGTTGATGTGTACAATAAGCAAAGGTCGAGATCGCATCTGGAGTTTTTGTGTCTCAAAAGTCAATAACAGATTTGCTTTTAATTTAGAGTTTTTTTTTTTTTTTTTTTTCCACAACTAATTCCATTGATGCTCCCCCTATCTCTAATTTTTTTTACAGGTCCAGAATTATGCGTTCCAATTCGACATGCAATTAAGGTCTCGGACCATTAGAATAATTTCTCTCTTAGAATCCTCTTGTTCCGATAAAAAATATTTTTTTAAAAAAATATTTTTTTAATTTTTATTTTTTAGATATTTAGTAAAAATTTACGACAAAATTGAGATCAAGTCCATCAGAAGCATGTAAAATAACTTGTTTAAAATTGATGGATATATTATTTTTGTTAAATTTTAATATTTTTTTTTTCGTAAATATTTTACTGACAACCAAACACCAAAAAATAAAAAAATATTTTACATCTAAACAAACGGATCTTTAATCTCTTCTGCTTTGTTAAAAAAGAAAAGAAAGGAAAGAAGTACACACGATTCAATTAAAGCTCGATTTTAATTTAAACTTATATTTTAAAACTAGTTCGATATAAAAAAGTATCTGAACAATTCATGACTCTACTTGCAAAGACGTTCATGAATAATTATGAACAAGTTTGATAAACAGATCAGTAAACATATCTTATTTAAAAACTTAAATACAGCAAATGAAATGACATGTAAAAGAAAATGTTGGAGGGAATTCGTATGACCAACTTTATTTATATAGGATTAAGGTAAAAATGACGATGAAAGACATGACTTGTTTATTAGGTACTGTTTAGAGTTATAGTTAATTTTCTCTTTACCAATTTTAGAATTAATTATATTCGAGCTTACTTGACATTGGAATTGAAAATAATTAAACGAGCTGAAGCTCATGGAGCCAATAACTCATTTGTGGGCTCAACTTGAGCTTAATCAATTGAAAGTTAATTCGACTCAGTTGCACAATTTTACTTACGCAGTACTTTTTAAAAATACTTTCAGATGCAATTCCAGACTGCAACAAAATTATTTCAAGAATGCAGCAGTTTTACTTCGAAATTACATTCTTGAAATAATGGTACTGTATCATCGGCGTAGCGGTATTGCACATGCACAGTGGAGTACAGTACAAAAATTATACCTGAACAAGAGGATACAGTAAGTTTGATTTATCAGTCATGCATCAAATTGTTTATTCTTTTGCCAAGTCATACATCATTTTTTGCACTGATGAGCCAGAGTGAATCCAATTCTTATTGGGGTTTTCTATGGCAGCTCTAGCTTTAGGGCTGCCATTACTGGGCCCAAACCTGAAATCAATTGGATCTGAATACCGACATAGGACCAACTATGCAACATTGACATCTGTAAGAGGTTCTTATTCCATATTGGTCTGAAATGGGGATCTTGGGATTATAAGGTCAGGTAGGCACTATCATCCAATAATTTAAGTTTTTGGATCTGATAGCTAGTGTCTGAGCAGGCTACGAGTATGAAAGAGTGAAAATGTTAAAGATTCTTATCCTACTTCAAATCCGGATAAAAAGAGTCATGTTCTTATAAGAACGGACAAACAGTATGATCGGGGAATCAACCCTTTTTCTCTTGCCATTCAACTCAACCAAAGGAAAATTTGGAGCACCATAATTGCAGCTTTTCAATATATTACTTTTTTCTTTTTGACTTTTAATGGAATTCATCATATGGTGAGTCATTAATGGAATATTATTATACTACTCCGTACCATACAATTTTGCAAGGTATTTGAAAAATCATTTTATAGTTCATAACATCACCACCAGGCATAATGTACTATTTGGGTTGTCATGTCATGGGCACAATATTCATACACAATTATTAAAACTAGACTTCGAACAACGTGGACTAATGTGACAGCTTGTATTAACGAGCATGTATAGACTATACTTTAATTCCTGTGTTTATGTATGCTACTTCATGGAATTTCAATAGTTATATGTGGTAGACAAACAAATACTTTCTGGTGCTTAATCTTTCACCAGTGATATCAAGCATTTTTTTTTTTTCCTCCGAAAAGTTTAAGAAAACGCACACACGTCCACCATATTTTGTCCTATACTTTGTCCTATCAAGTTTGGAAACTCAACCTCCCTTTAGAGTGCCCATGGGTAATTAATTTTGGTGGAGGTTCATCACGGACCATGCACAAGTATGCTAATATAGATATGCATATTTCTATGGTGAACTAGTATTGATAAAGTTTGGATTATACAGTGTGCTTGATTAAGCATTTGCCCCTCATTCATACTTGTTTATTAGTAAAATATATATATATACAAGTCATGTGTGCCTAATGTAACTCTTTAGAGAAAGCAATGCCCTAACCAACAAATTGTCCAGTGGCTTTTGTTGCACAGAACAAATTCATTTTCTAGACACTCTAACCCCCACTAGTGATTAAGATTTTTTCGTAATATAAGCATGATTATTGAGTTAGAATGGCAGCAATTTGTTATAAAATTTGAGTAGCTTTTCAATACAGTCGCATTCAACAATGTATACCAATTAAGGATTTCCTCACGTGAGACCTCATTTCACACGTCGAGAGATGTAATATAGAGGTACTTCGTCATCTTCCAAAGTAAAACGTTAAGAGTTCAAATTCCTTTACCAAGGACAAAAAAAAATGCCATCTTATAACACTAGTTGCCATGTGAATTTAAGTTGTAAAATGATAGTCCAACAATGTAAATTTCAAGCTCCTTATTTACATTGTACATAACATGAGTTTTGCTTCGAAGGACAAGAGAACCAAGTCACATATGGTACACTATGTACATATATATACAAACATTCATTGAACACACAAAACTTTAATAGAGATTCAACTAGGACAGAACCATATGGAGAATAATTCTGACTTCAGCCCAAATAAAATAAAAATAAAAAATTCATGAGCCCTATCAACCTGATGGCCATAGCAGATGCTATAACTAATGAAAAATTTCACAATTTGCTAACAATTTTCCTATGATCAATCCAAAACTCAAGAAGGAAGCTAGAAGAAAGTGATGAGTCAAGGAATATACTCATTCTCAAGCACTGGTTGTGTTCTAATCCATGTTGCTGAAGGCATTTTACTCATACCAACCCACACTGTCTTCAGTGCTTCACTCATCTGAGACTGTCTCTCCATTTCTCTAATTCTCTTCTTCCTAATCAATTTATATACCAATAAACCAACCAAAACCACCAAAACCAACCCAACAATCCCCACCCCAAAACCAATCACCCACCATTTCCAAAACCTCTCTTTCTTCTTTGAAAACCTATCTTTCTGCTTAGAAGGTGCAGCTGATGGCACGACTACGGCGAAATGGCCTTGACCCTTTGCAATACATACATTTTGCATAGCCATGTCACTTAATTCAACCGAACCATCAGTGCCGAATCTCACACATTTCATTGTCACATTTCTTCTACCTTCTGTCTCTGGAATCCGAGGAAATCGGATTGAAATGGGGTCTCCCATGATGCTTAGTTCAAGCACTGCATTGTCTCTTGCTGTTGAAATCATAGCATCGTAAGTCATGAAGCCAACAACAGGAGTGACAAATGTATAATTAGGCACATTGTAGTAATAAGATGACCAATTGCCTAAGTTTTGATACACCATATCTAGTCTCTTTGGAGCGGGCATAGGTATAATCCTTGGTGGGATATCAAAGGAGCTGAAATTGGCTCCTCTTACCCAAAAACTCGCACTTCTGAGCCGAACAAATGATACTTCTATACCAGAAAAATTTGCAGGGAGACTAATATTGTATAGAATACCTGTATGAGGCTTTTTAATTGCCTTGTATGCATAGTCATGAACAAAATCATCCAAAGAATCTGGATTATGGCTATTCATGGCTTGAATAAATGGCAATCGCGACACGAAAAACATCACCAAAATGATGTACCAGCTTCTCTTGGACCCCATCAACACCAACTTGATTGCCTCCTGGCTCTTTCATGTACAATCCATTTCATGGATTGATCAAAATACCCAAATGCACATGAAAATTGGAGGTTTTAAAAAAACCCACAATTGCATTCAATAATTATTGCACCAAAAGATGTGGTGTAATGAGAAAAAGGATTTGTTTATTAAGGTGAGACAGGGTGTAATATAAAGGTCATATAAAATGCATGGGCATCAAAAGGAGATAATCATGGCTCTGAATGCTTCAAATCTTTGTTGGTTCTGTCGTGACCTTCTTGATATTAAAGGGCTATGAGTTGTTAGGTCCGTCATGAGAGGTCTTCGGTGGTTTTGTTTTTCTATGCAGAAGGGTGCCCTGTTAGCCTGGCACCCAAGAGAAAAAGGAGTCCTTTTTGACTTGTTTTATTGTGCTTTGTATAATTTTCTAGTCATTTATGTCAGTTGGTTTTGGTTGTTTGTGTCATTGTGTGTGTGTGTGTGTGTGTGAGAGAGAGAGAGAGAGAGAGAGTTGTGACAGATGGTACAACACACTGTAGGTTGGGGTAAACCAGGCGCAGATGACGGAGCTGCACAGTTTATGCCTCTAAACAAAAATGACCAGCTTAATTTTAGGCAATTGAATAGGATACTCATTTTAGGACGTCAATGGGCGCACATTGTTATTGATTGAGCATTGTCTTGCCCGCATTAACCCTTGGTAATCAAGAGTATAACTGCACAAGTGGAAAGCCAGAGGGTCATTGTTGTCTTTGTCCGTGAAGAGGGCCACTTAATGTACACTACTAGTCTACTTAAGATTCCGAAGCTGACTTTTTTTTTTTTTGTATTTATAGTATATATATATATATATAGTCGTTATTGGGTATGCTAGTGTGTTATTTGGCAAGTCAATATTCTCTGAAACGGCGTATTAGTCTGCCAATTAGGTGGATTTGGAGAAGAGCGAATCCTCTGTTGCATCGTTTTTAAGTGCTATGCACATAAATCTGTTTTTAATATTATAGTTACATCAATTTCAATACATTATTTCGTGTTTTAATATATATATATATTATTTTGTGTATTAAAATTGTGTTAAAATGTAAAATAAATATATTGAAAACATATATAAACGTGTTGAAAAATGACAACTTGGATCCAACTGTGGGCTCAAAACTCAAAAGTTCAAACTCGAATCAGATTACTATATAGGAAAGCAACCGAAACCTAAGCCTATCCAACTAATTATAAAAGTTGATTTGGAATACGAACAAGCTCTTGGAAAAAATCTCTTGAAAGTTGGTACCAACAAAGGAAAGTCGAATGAAAGATTCTTAGTGAGATGTGGTCCATGCTAAACTTTTCTATTTCACACTATATTTGGCGGAAGGAAGGAGGAGAAGATGAAAGAGGAAATGATTTACGGATGTATTATTCTTTTTTTTTTTTTTTTTTTCTCATTCTGTTTATTCAAAGAAATTCTAAATTTCAAGATACTCATCATGTGGGGAGAAAAAAAGAGTCTACGGTCACTTCAGTTGTGTGTGTTTCTCCGAAAGTAAAGATAAATTTAGAAAAAAGGAAATTAAAAATAAGAATCTTTGACGAACATATTGATCAAGTAATCTGCCTATTAGACTCGTAACACTGTTTCATTAATTGACTAATTTTATTTTTTTTATATTTTATTTTATTGTAGATAGGAGACGTCACATAAAACAGTTTCTATTATATGTAAGCAACCATATAGTGAAACAGATCAAATTAGATGTTCATAACTTCATATGTTATCTTGGTCCAGTGGTCACTGACTCACTGGTAGTGTAGACACATTTAAATCATTTGTGACATGAACACGACATATTTATTTAAAATGTTTAGTTGAATGAATCCTTTTTAGCACGAACAACCATACATTTATCTAAAAAATTTAATTAAAAGAATTAATCAAGTTATAGATGGATTAATCACACAATATCATGACAAAGAGATATAAGTGGCATAACTTCACACACATATTTCATTTTAATTTTTTGTGAAGAACATTATATACAATTGAAGCCAAGTTGTTTGTTTTTTTTTTTACATGAGTTTGATATTGATTCTTGTGAGATTAGGAATTGGGATGCTGCTGAAAATGTTCTTCAGTCCAAATTATTATGAAGACTAAACACTGAATATTTTTGCAGTCGGTCTAAAAAGAACAAAGGAAAATATTTTATGATAAATTTATTAAGTGAATTAGTTTTGTAGCTCTGAATCCTTAATGGTGGAATTCACTTAAAATATATATTTGCAACTGTCTATTTGCTTAAAATGGTGGAAATCCATATACCTATTTGCAACTGTCTTTGTTTTTGTATTTTATTGTCAAATTTATGGTTTCGCATTTTGTTTATATTTTCATGGAATTTGGCAATAAAATATGGTTTCGCATTTTGTTTATATTTTCATGGAATTTGACAATAAAATACAAAACAAAGACGGTTGCAAATAGGCTTTAATTAGTAATATTATGTTACCATTGAATTAATTTATTTTTTTTCATTTATGTAATAGTTGTTATGTGCACTATTTAAGAGTTAAGATATCTATCCTAATAAAACATTTTACTTATGACCATCTCTAATTATTCTCAAATTTAAATAACAGAATTGGGATTTTTGAAGAATATTTTTTTCAATAATTACTTGGTAGATTATGAATGTGTTTTAAGAATTCCACATCACCACCAAAAAAGAAAAATAATAGTCCGTAATTTGTTTTCATATTTAATAAGTCGAAATATTTTGGGCAATCACGTCATATTTAAAACTTGTTGGGCAGTAAACGCAATATGGCTATTTTTTTGGTTCTATTCTTGTGCAGAAAACTAGCGAGAGAGAGATAGAGAGGGGTTTTGCAGGGGTTTCGTAAGAGAAAACTAAACCCTAGCCCTAGCTCACATTTCCACTGCTGCTAAGGTAAAGCAATTCCTGAAAGCATAAAATTTCATCACTGTCGATCAAATTTCAAGAATTTTTTGTATTCATTTGTACGCTTTGTTTGTTTTGAGCTAAAACATTTTCCCAAATCATCTCTCGTTTCAGGCTCAATTGTTGTGGTGAAACATGAATCGAATCACCGATATTGCAAGATCAAAATCACTGAGTTGGTCTGTGGAGTCATTTGCTTGCCAATTTCTTCAACAACGATCCGTGAGTAAAACTGCCAAAGGTAAAGGTAAAGGGACGGGCAAAACGGAAGCGCCACTGAAGCGATCAATCGTTTCTACGAAAAAAGGAGCGGCTGAAAAACCTTCCTCCAAATCTGGAGAATCGAGGAAATCTGAACTTGAACAATTGGTTGATGAATGCTTGAATGCTTCATCACCAGTCAGACACTTGAAGCCTAAAGAAATCGAACGGGAAGCTGAGAGAGAGAAGATGGGGCTACTCAGCAAAGCCCGCAAGTTGGAGATTGAATATTTGAAGAAAAAGAAATCGGAGAAAGATTCTCCGTCGGAAATCATGGGGACTCCTGGTCTTGATCTGATCACATTGGGTTTGGTGGATGCTGATGCGATTCCCAAGTATGAATTGACAATTGAGGATGGCCAGAGGCTGGCCAAGGAGTACAGTCGAGTTTTGATGAGACGCCACAGGGCGAGGCAGGCCGCAGAGACTACATTCTTGAGGTTGAAGAAGGAGGCGATTGAGGCATTGCCTGAGCCTTTGAAAGCTGCAGCTTTGGTTCCAGATCTGGCTCCATTTCCGGTGAATAGATTTATGGCAACACTAACACCACCAATTGAAGGGTACATTGAGAAGGTCAATGAGGCAGCAAAGAAGAACTTTATGAAGGAGAAGCTCAGATGATTGGAGGTTAGGAATTTTATTCTCTCTCTTATGTGAAGTTTATCTGTCTTTTCCTGTGATATCGTGCATTTGTCAAATATGTCATCTAGAGTTTGCCTTTGAAAAATATTTATAACATTGTCTTTTGAGTTTAATGCACTGAAGCATGATTGAAAATTGAACTTCATTGATGAAATTATGACTATAACTTACTAATAAAAGATTGTCAAGACTAAAGGTATTGCTATCAGAGTGTTTAAATGACAATCCTAGATAAATTTTCGAATCTTTTTATGCCCAGCTTATTGGAACTCGGATTTGATTGTTGGAATTTAAATAAAATACCATAAAGTCTGAATATTAAGAAATGTTTTGTAAAATTTGGATTTGGAGTTCAGCCAAAAATTTGGATTTGTACTTCAGTGAATTTTTAGATAAAAAGTTCATAAATATAAAATTTGGAATTGCAAAAGCAGAGGAAACTCATATCAGTTTGCATTTCTAAATTAGCTGCAAAACATATCTTTTAAAGATAGTGCGTTATTGTTTTGACATACTTCACAACAACCAAGCCTTTTTCCACTTATCAGGGTTGGCTACATGAATCCTATGTTTCCGTTCCGTGTTTTGACATACTTCATAAGTTAAATTATCTTCTTAATCAGAACTTGCACAAGTGTATACTAGCCATAAGAACAAATAAAAATCATTGATTGTGAAATGTATATTTGAAATTCGACAAAGAGTTAGGAAGATGTATTTTGAAGAATGAAAGTGAGTAGAGTACAGAGAAGTGAGAGTTCATACCGAACTAAGAGCCTTCGAGCTCTTGAGATTAATGAGGACCTTGGGTTCATATTAAAGTGATGTTTTCCCTTGTTATACATTTATAGCATAGGATGGTGATTGATGTTAAGCTAAAGTTTAGAGAGAACAAAATAGTTTACTGAAAGATGAGGGCTACAGGTGGATTGAAAGAGCTTGCATTTAGTTAGTCATGTGGAAATTCTCTTTTTTGATAGAATCAATCACGTGTTTGCTGTCATACGCAGCAGAAAGCTTTGCTTTAGCCATGGTGATTATTGTTTCTTGAGTGTCCTTTAATTATGATTTTGATGTTGTCCATTACTTTTCTAATACTTCTATTGTAGCTGGTAAAAAATTATATCCGTATTTTCTTATCATTGTGTAATATTTTGAAACCCTTTCTTAGCATTTGCCATGATGTGGTTTTATATCGAGTTTTGGTCCAAACTGCTCCTCAAATGATATTTGAGGGTATCAGTTGCTGTCTTATTTATTTTTAAAATTTTATGGTGTCAAACATTGCTTGATTGAACCAATTATTACTTATTGCCCCAAGGAATAACAATTAATTTTTAATTTGAAAACTTTTATTTTCATGCTTGATTGATCAAAGTGATTATTTACTGTTTTTGTGGTCTTCTTTAATTATATATAAGCTTCTTTCTGTTTTCTTTGTCTAGGTGGAGCAAGTGCTTATAGAGCCAAAGAGTGAATTTTTTTGACCAATAGCGGTTGCTGAGATCTGAATGCTTTGTTAAGTTAAGAAAGAGCATTGAAATGCCTCAAGACTAGTGCAATAATTTTGTGGAATCCAGTACTTTTGGTCTTTCTAGTAATTAGCTTTATGAATTACTTAAAAATATATATATATATATATATTTGTATGGGCTTTACATAACTATGATTATTTTGCTGAACTGGTGTACTGATCACAAATTTCTGTCTGTTGGGAGATATTTGATAATTTTGGAACCTGATGAATTGTATGGCCAAAGGGGTTGGAATTGTTGTGCTGAAAGCCTTTAACAGCTGCTTGGACCTTGAGACATGAGTCTGAGGTTATATAATCTGTCCTCTTTTTTCCCTTGTTGACTGTTCATCATTTTTTATTCTGCGAAATCTCCCCTACCGAGTGCAGAGTTGAATAGGTGCACTCTCTCCCCTACCGAGTGCAGAGTTGAATAGGTGCACTCTCTCCCCGTTCTTTCTCCCTCTCTTACTAAGTATCTCATTAGTATAATGTTGATTCTTTGTCCAATGATGCTGTATGGTAGTGCCAGCGCCTGTGAGCAGTGTGTTCCTAGACTGGTGGCTTAAAAAGCATGTTTCTGCATGTCAACAGGAAGGGCATAGTGAAATTCATCCTTGACGATAGGAGATTTAGTTATTTCGTGCCAAATCTCAAGAACCTTTGATTGCTCGAAGGAGATCCTCTATATTGGCAATGACCGCAATCTGAAGCCTCTATTACAGTTTGTGGATATAGCTAAAGCCCATTTGTGGGTATCTGATATCAATGGGTTTAGTAGAATTGTAGTGTCAGCTTAAGAAGCCACAAATTCAGGTCTGCTGGAAACTTTGTATGCGTTGAATTTTTTCTATTGAAGATCTATGCACTTTTTTTTGCAATGTGGCTTGTGTGGGCAAATGATACTGCAAATTTTTTGAGCTTTTACTGCACATTTCTGCAATGATTGTTATACAACCCAGCAGATGATCAATCTGTGACTGGGTATTAAAACGGGTCACATTAATAATTTCTAATTTCTACACAACATGAATAGATTTCATTCATTAACAAATTGACTGATGTAGTGCATGAGGTTATCCAATCACAAATAGATTTAACCACCAAATTCCACGCATATAAACAAAAGTTCCATTAGATTACCTATAGATTTGAAAATATACTCTGCCCATTGGTGGTCCTTGACCATCAATATCCTAAAATGCATCCAACAAAAAAAATTCAAATGAATTGAGAGGCAAGGCTACTCCCAAAGATTTTTTATGACACTGCTCAAAGGACAACCTCTGCTTATACAACGATACCACCACACAATTGTTAAAATGATGCTAACTAGGAATAGGACTTTGAGATAAAATATGACACTAATTGACCAATATTTTAGAGTAATCTCATCATTGACAAGACCAATGGTCATAAGCCAAGATGATATGCTCTCTTCTATCCAAAGAGGAGGTCGAGTGTTCGAGCCCTGCCAGGGGCAACATCGTATTGCAAGTTGCAGGGAGTGGTATAACTGTAGAAGAAAAGGCGAGACCAACTGATCTGTGACATAATCGGGCAGATCCTGTAGAACCAAACTAACAAAAAACAGAAGCAAAATTATTGTTGGGACATCTTTGCAACATAAGATATGATGTATGTGAATCATCACACCTCGTCATGCAGAACTGAACTAAATATTAAATGGGCTGATGACTGTTGCACACGAGTTTTAGCAAGTACAAACTAAACAAAATGCAACTTCTTAGAAAATAAATCATACAAATTAAACTGCATGGCAAACAAAAATGAATCACAATTAATACATCAAAGTATAATATTGACAATAATCTTTGCATTTCTCAAATTGCATATTACACTGAACCGCGGGTTCAAACAACAGATTACTCCTGATTCCAGGATCCCACCTATATAATTCAGAGCAAAGTTTGGCCCATGAAACAAAAGCAAATGGATAATATTTCAACATATGACCCAGAGAAAAATAACCCTAGATCCTGAACATTAATTGCTCTACTTGTTTCAAGCCAAGGAAAATAAGGTTAGGGATACCTCAAAAGCAAAATAAATTTCCATGGATAGAAAGAGAGGAGTCAGTGCCTAATGGTAAGCTCGGCTCTCAGATGGAGGACACCGTTGATGAAGTAAAGACTATCCTCGGCCATGAATGAAGTCCATGGTATCGCAAATAAGTTTCGGTAACCTACTGCCTTTCCACCAGTGAAAGTGTAGTTACCCTTGTATTTGCTACTGTAGTCCTCTGTAGGTTTTGACCTTGCTGCAAACTCGTAATCAACTGCAAAAGTTACTGATCCCTTTTCCTGCATACCTAGAAAAAGCCCAAAACAATGGAAAGAACTCTGCTGGTCCATGTTACAATGAGCTGACAGGAAGAATCCTTGTCCACCCAAGTGGAATGCTTGAGAATACACCCGTCCCGATGGGAACAAATTTGCGCACTCCTCCCGCTTCAGATCCAGATAGACCACACACTGCTGCCGTGGAAGCTCAAACTCAACCACCTTAACAGGCCGATATTTGTACGCACGTTCCACAAAGCGCCGATTTGTACTGGCAGACTCCTCTGCAGCCAGGGCACGCTGTCGGTGTGGTGCCTCCGCTTTGAAAAAGAGGGCCTCCAACACAACCTTGGATGTGAGCTCATGTTCAAAGTCATTGCAGATTAAAACCTTCTTAAGCTTTCGACAGGTCATATAAGGGAAGCGGATGAATCGAGCAAGGCGGGAACCCAATATTTCTCGCCGCTCCTCCAGTTTTGAGTACTGGCCCCTGGCCCACTTCAGTACAAAGTCATAAACCGCGTCCTCTGATGCCACCTGCAGATCATCACTGGACAAAATTGCCTCAATTCCAGCAAGGGGCAAGCTCATAACCTCATCTTGGAACCTGGCCAAAAGAGTAAACGCTTGTAACTGAACCCATAAATCAGTATATTGCAGTACTAGTTAACTGTATAGGAACTCTAAGGAGAGCAGAAGATCCATCATGCCTTTTCAAGATGTGTAGCTATATGTTGCTGACACTTTCAACCTAACATGAACTACAAGATTTAAAATATTGAACAGTCAACCTCGTCTTACATAATGTTCCATCGCAATGAATGAGGCCAAATCCTATTCCACGAGACAAATAGAGTATGCACTAGCGTGTGATAGATGGTGTGTGGCAAACTAGTGAAAGAGGAAGTAAAAGGTTTCTGTGACCAACTTTGGCATGCTGCATACAATTCATTTGAAATAACATCGCAAGAAACAAAATGTAAGGGAAGCATCCAAATAAATGAGTAGTTATTTTTTGTTGGTCCTAATGATCACTAAGTGGTGTTTGCTTGTTTAATGTCAAAAACCTATGAATCAGAGCTTTCAAGGGCTTATAACAACTGCATTGTGGCTTAAATCATCATACAGGGATAGTATTGTCATTCACCATCTTGCGACACAATTACACAAGGGTTTGAGATAGTACATTGCAGCCACTATACCTGCTCAGGCTATTTTGCTGTGTGCATTGAGGTTCAACACATGAGATTTGGCTACGCAGAAGCATTAGTGTCTTTTCACAGCTGTATTATATGTTTATACATGTGTCCAGATAGCTGCATTGTATTGAACAGCTATGGTTAAACCTGCATTGTGATTTATATAGTCTCAGGACTTGAGGACTTGTATTATGCTGAGAGTGACAAATGGCTGTTACAAGGGCAATTTGGTCTTTCCACATGGAGCTCAGGTGTGTGACACGTTGCAGTGGTCCTAGAGTGATATTGAATGCAATACAATTGCATTGCTTGGAGGCTAAATCTGGATAAGAATACAATTACAGCCTTATCTTTGTGAGGTGTAATTTCTGGTATGCTTGAGGACAAAACAGCTGAGGTGGCAAGGTTATATTGGTCCATTCACATGAAGAATGTCAGAACATTCCCTGAGCAATCATTGGCTTGTTGAAGGAGGACTGGTGTATTAAACTTCACTATGTATACACTGTTATAGAAGTTTTAGGGTTTAGGCCTTTGTTGAATAACCCTAAAAGTAACCTGCATTGCTATACACTCCAGAGCTTCAAATGAGCAAAGTTTTCTGAGGTTTTTTATGATGATCCAAACCAGAAAACTGCACTGAATCAAGCCTTGTTGCTATGCTAACCATGGAGAATGAGCTGTTGTCAAAGCTGCTAGTGCAAGGGCTGGATTGAAGGGTGATATTGAGCTAGAGGTTGCTATGGTGCCTTGTGAAGGTTGAGTCGGGTATATTTGAGCTATTTGCATTTGAACTACACATTGCTGCAAATGAATTTCTACACGCTGACCTGTGTTTTGGCCTATTTTCTGGTTTAGTCTTGTGATTCATGCTATAGAGGCAAGTTTGGTGTGACAATATATTTGATAAATAGAACTAATCTTATACTAGTATATAATAAAAGACATTATTTGATTCTCAAAAGCAAAAGACGAAAAACCCACAGAAAAATAGTGGAGAAAAATGGAGAAGCACTTCCTAACCGCAATTAATACCATAGACAAGTTTGCTAGTTTGTACTTCTAAGCCACGAAGAAAATGGTACAGATAAAGGAAAAATTAATTGGTTGTCTTTGTAACAGGCAGCAAAATAAATATTAAAAAAAAAAAAAAAAAAAAAAAAAAAACAATATGACAATTGTATCAATCAATATTATAGATAATGATAAAAAACTGCGAAGTGTCAAATTTCAAGCTAAAAGGATATGATACATGTGAAAGAAGAGATTACTTGGTTATATCTTTGTAACGGGCAGCGAGAAACTGCTTTGCTGCGTCAGTCAATGGCTGAACTGCTTCAGCCATTAAAACACCGGAAGGAAGCTCCAGATATAGCAACGCAGACTCAGGTGTCATGGGCAAATTCCGCAAGAGTCGGCTGCAATACCTCATGCATGAAGCAACCTCAAATTTGTCAGCAGCCATCAGCACATCCAGCAAAGCAGGAGCGGTAGTTGTAGCTAAGGTATTGCTATACATAAAATTTAAGAGCTCCATGAAGGCAGCTTCCTCTGTACCAAGAAAGTATAATTATTGTAATCTGACTACAATTGTTACATTCCAATGGAACATTTATGACCTAAACTGTACTCAAATACCACAAAAGAGTATGTTTCAAACAAAAAACAAAATACTAATTTCAGGAGTCTAGTCATGAAAAAGGTCAAAAGACCATGTTCAAGTTCAAATTTGAGAGTCCTCCAAACCAAAAACACTTTTAACAAAGTTAAAAGACCACTAAAGAAAGTAGAAGCTTATAAATGTTAATTAATAATACCTGAGGCATTAATACGTAGGGTTACATGTCGCTGCTCTGATTCCTTCATCCCATTTGAGAAGAGCTAAATTACAAGATATAAAGAAAAGTAAGGAAAAAATTATCAAGTGATTTTACAAAGAGATTAAATAACACCAACATACAGAAATATAATGAACTTTACCTTATAGAAAAATGGACTTTTCGCTGCCAAAATCGGAGAGCTAATGTGTAAAGTTTTAACTCTCAAAACTGTAGAACAATCCATGCTCCAGTTTGAGTCATTGCTATTTGCAGCTTCATCTCCTACAAAGAGTAATATGCCAGCATGAAATTGGTGCTGGACAAAATATACCATGCAACAAGAGTTGACAACAGCATGCTATAAGAGGCAGCATACTAACAACTTCTCAATGAAAAAGGAAAAAGTAACTGATTTTGGTTCAACCACACAACTAGCACAGTGGACAAACTTAAAGCTTTTTGGTACAAAATTGTGCAAAAAAAAATTTCACCAAATCTGATATACAAGAAAAAAAACAACAATAATAAACAAATAGATATTTTTTTTAAAAAAAAATAATCACTTAATCATGTTTCCCAGACATGTGCCATAAATAGCTTTTTTTTTTTAGTTACTAAAAAGAGACTAAGAATTCACTTTATTATTTATTGCCCTAAATTTTTAAGGGTTATGGAAAAAATAAAAGACAGCAGTTTTAGGATGTTCACAGAATGTCATGCATCCTACCCCTTGCATCCGCAGCATCTTTCTGCTTCATCAGTGATATGCATTAGCTACATCATGTTATATTCAATTAGCCCTGCTGATGCCACCGATAATGCAAACAGTATGGAATTACAACATATGCCAGAAGCTTCAGCTCTCTATTATGTCTTTTTCTTCTTTCATTCCCCTTTATTTCCTTCTTCAATCTACCATTCATCTAAACTCCTCTCAGGCCAGGCTTTCTTTGGGAAATCTTTTTACCTGAAGTGAATTTTTGCCTTTCAGGTGTATCCAAGTGACTACTTTTAAGCAATTGAATTTTGCTGCATAAAATATAGTCTTGATTGCCACATCAACTCTAACCTACTATTTGGGACAATAGTATGAGGGTTTACCATGTCCTTTTCGTAGGTATTAATTTAGCATTTACAGTTTTGTTATGCTGTATATTTGTGATCCAGCTTGGTTGGGGTACTGAAATCTCATAGAGATCACCTCCACAAAAATTTGACACACAGAATAGCCTAGTAACTTAATGGTGCATAAAGGCCTTACATATAATTCAATGGCAGGGAAAAAAAGTTTATTTTGCCAACCAAAAGAGTTGGATTTTAGGTTCATCTGAGCTATGTAGCCGACACATTTCAATGTTCACGTTTCATTTTCTTTTCCTTTTTTTTCACTCAACCACTCATTGTAAAAAACATTGTCCTGTCTTTCCAGAATAGTTGGAGGAAAATAATAAATAAATATATAATTTTCACATTCCTACTAATATCTAAAACAAAATTCAAACATGAAAAAGCTTGACTTGAAACCATTCCAACACCTGAAGGTGATTCTTCAATCATTGCAACGGCTTCCTCATCTTGATTTTCATAGCCCACACCGTCATCAGCATCAGGCTGATTACAATTCAAAATCTGCTCCTCGGGGCATGCAGAAATATCCACAGCTGCAAACAAATAGCGAAAGTCATTCAGTTCATTAACATCAGTATAACTACCTATATGGGCATAATAAAGTTTCCTGTGCACAAAGCAATCAGAATCCCAGTTCCCTTTTTTTTTTTTTTTTTTAATAAGTCTCTCTCTCTCACACACACACACACTTGTGTTTCATTGGGGACTCAAACCCCAAATCTTCCAGTTGGGAAAAGGAGGAGATACCACTTGAGTGAAGCCCTTGGATCAAAATCCCAATCCACAAAAAAATAAAAAAACAAAACAACTAAGGAATAGCTATAAATTTATTATATTTTGAGATCAAACATGAAACAAAAATTTTTAATGGAACAAAAAAAGGTTTTTTTCTTCCCCTAATAATTAATAAATGATTGTGATCAGATAGTCTGTGTTAACTGGACTCCTTTTCCTCATAACGTAACCATGTTGACACGACACAAGATGGGTATGGGATATGTGTCCAACACACTCACCCAGATAGTGCACAAGAATCCTCTATACTTGATGATAGAAGAAGAAGAAAAGCTCAAATATGATACCGAAGAAGGGTTAACTACTTCTGATATTAATGGAATCTCTCTTTTTTCAACATATTCCAATCCTATTTCAATCATTATGTAGTACATTTTAAAGAATAATAGCATCATGCTTTATACTTTTATGTATTATATTATATTTTTAAGTGCCCAAGGCGTGTCCACATACCCGTATCCAGGTTTTGGATGCATTTCATGTCGAGTCCAAACTAGTCGTTAAAGACTAGCCTCCAAAAAAGCTCCAAGCTCGTCAAGGCTTAGCTAAAGCGCCTCCACCTAGTACACGTCAGGCCCCCTCAGTCAGTCAGGCTCCAATAAGCCCTCCTCAAGCTTAAGCTTTTTAGTAGGCTCCAGGCTCCAAAAAACGCGCTTTTTTATTTTTTTAGTCATTTATTTCATATCATTTTCCTTTTTATTTAATGACTAGTAAATTAAAATGTTCAACATCATATCATGATCATACTTGATGGATCTCATTGTTCAAACATATAAAATATTTAACAAAATTGATAACTTTACCCACTACTTATATTAATTGCATTTTGTGCTTGATTCTGAATATTTATGATAAATATGTTTACGATTTGCATTGTTAAAGTTTTTAATTGTTTCAGATTCGTAATCAGATTTAATTTGGTTAATGTTAATGTATATGCATACGAAAGGACTTATGAGCATTAATTTACCTGATCCTCTTAGTTGACATGTCAAAAATTCTATTATTATTTGTGTAACATATCTTGAATTGTTTCGATTGTACATTGATTTTACTGAATACATTTGCATATAAAAAGATATAAGTATGTTGAATTACCTAATCCATTGAATTGATATGTTTAAAAAATTCCTTATCTTAGGTTGACAAGTTTGTGTTGTATAGTTTAATGATCCTTTATATACTTATAATTAATATGCATTATTACACAAGCACCTTACTTCGATCAAGCGCATATCTTATATTGCGCCTAGCACTTAGGCTCTCATATCTATGCATGTATCGAGTCACATATCAAAAATTCTATTATTATATGTGTCACATATCTTGAATTGTTTCGATTGTACATTGATTTTACTGAATACATTTGCATATAAAAAGATATATGTATGTTGAATTACCTAATCCATTGAATTGATATGTTTAAAAAATTCCTTATCTTAGGTTGACAAGTTTGTGTTGTACAGTTTAATTCCTTTATATACTTATAATTAATATGCATTATTACACAAGCACCTTACTTCGATCAAGCTCATGTCTTATATTGCGCCTAGCACTTAGGCTCTCGTATCTATGCATGTATCAAGTCCAGATAACATAGGCTATAGTATAGCCAAGGTAACAAATACACTCTCAATATGAAACTGCACATGCCAAAAATTACCACTGCACCAGGCACCCAAGTGTATAAACTATGAACAAGTGTGCTGGGGAGGGAGAGAAAGAGAGATTGCCTCAATTTGATCTTCAAATTCCTTCTCTTGACACTAATTAACTCCATGTTGGCCATAATGTTATGCTTGCATTGCATCATATGCTACACAAAGTTTTGCATTAACCCTCGTTGGCAATGAGGGTGGACTACACCGAGAACAGTTTTAAAGTCTATCAAAGACAGGAAGGTCCCAAAATCCATTAGATGCGCATGAGTGACGACCGCTATAGATAGCTACCACTACATCAAGGCTGTTATGGAACACAACAGCCAGCCCACAGTGGGTCACAACATTCAAATTTTCCAATTTAACCCAAATTTAATTTTCTTAATAAAATTTGAAAAAACCTTCATAAATATTAACTATCAACTTTAACCTTTAAGGAGGAGAAATAAACAAGGATTGAGATTAGATTTTAAAGCAAAATCTAGTTATTTTGCTATGGAGTGACAAAATTTAGAACATTCAAGATTATATACAAAAAAAACTAATCTTGAATGTTCTATCCAGGACAAAAATATAGTGGGTGTGAATGTGTGATTGCTTGAAGTTACGGGGGAAAATTTTTTTTGTTCTACGCCCTCACCATTTGCTTCATGCACATAACCAAGATTCCAAATAACATAAATTTTCCTAAGCCATGTAACTTCTAAAATTAAAGGTGCACTTGACATACAAAAATGGCTCTCTTGAGTAATATGCCATCAAAAACCTCACCCTTCAAATTAAGCTAAATTTAAACAACAAAAGCCAAATTGCAATCAAAAGAATGAGATAGTTCTAAACGTTTCATCAAACTTCTCCAACATTGCTTTCCAATATATAACAATAGGTTTGTTTATAGTGCAACTGGAACCTCCCAAAATTACATCACTTTAAATGTTCGCGGGGTCTGTTTGTTTGTTTCTTTGCTTGTTCGTTTTTTAAAAACTAACCTTGACCAGACCAAACAATTTTGGATTAGGATTAATTAAATTTAACTATAATTTATATTTTCCCAACTCAATATAGTATAAATTTTCAAAATCCAAGAATGAATTTCTTAATTTCCGTACAATTTATCACCAACACATCATCAACAGCAACATCAAAATCAAGAAATTTGCAATTCCTTTTTACATACAAAAACTCAAATAAAAAAAAAGTCATAAAAACCTTCAATTTCAAACACAAGATAGGATAACAGATGATCTTTTAAAAAAACACTTAATATATAATATAGGTATATATATGAAATGGGTATATATGCACAAAAACAAACCATTTCCCTTCTTGATATCTTCTCTCCTCCGCTTACGATTACTTGCCCAATCTGCGAGACTATGACAACCCTCACCGTCGGATTGGGTATCCAGCGACTCGGCCATGATCTCGATCCGAAGAACCCTGTCCGAGAAGTTGCTATCGTTAAAAGCGAACCCAAAGTCGCCGTCACCGCCATCTTTAGGTGAATAGTCCGACTCCATCACCGTTCTTGGATCGAATAGATCCAAACCCGTCTCCCTCATTTTCTCTCTCTGAAACCCCTCTGTCTCAATAAGAATGAAAAGATGGCTAATAAACCCTAGTTTATTACGTTATCCAAGGGGAAGAGCGGACATTTAAATGAGAGAGAGAGCGGAGGAGAGAAGGAGAGAAGAAGGAACTAAACTGTGCAGATTTCTGATAATTTTGGTGTCTTTATAAAACAACACTCTTTTTTTTTTCTTCTGTTTGTTATTTTTATTTATTTATTTCCGAAATGAAATAAAGTAAGTTAAGTAACAGGGTCTACGAAAAAATGGCAATGAAAAGGGTAAATATGAGATAAATTGGCTTTATAACGGTCATATTCGAGCGACTGAACACGTGCTCGCCAAGCACGCCAGCAGAAAAACATTTTAAACTTCTAACAAATTTTAATTTCACAAATAACACTAATTTTAACTAGTTTGTCAATGCATGTCTGAATTCTAAAATATTTATTCCTGTATTAATTTATAGTTATTAATAGTTTTTTATATGAGAATTAAAATTGCCCCCTCCCAACAAGCCCCTCCCAACAAATGTGTATATATATATAAGAATAATACTTTTATCTAAGATATGGCCTAATAAATTTAAAATAAGTGTTCAAAAACAAAAAAATTTATATATAATTTTCAATGGTGATTACTGATTTTGTATAGAAAAATTAATGTTGACCTTTTTTATTTTTAGTTATCTATCTATAATAATTGAAGGCGCTTTGAGAATGAAAAACTTGTTATTCTTTCAAAATCTTTAATCTTACTTTTGAAAATTTAAATTTAATAAAAAAAAAGTGCCGCAATCCTTGTAACAACGTATTATTTCTATGTTTATATGTATGTATGTGTGTGTGTATATATATATATATATATAATAGATACCCATATGCGTATATAAATTATTTTGTATGATTTAAAGAGAATAAAAAGAGTGGTGGATACTTGGACAGCCTCATTTATCTTAAAACAATTTTCTATCTTTATTTTCTTGTATTATTATAGACATGCTTTAAAAAATGTTTATTAAAAATGCATCCATAATTTTTTTTGTTATAATTATTTTCTTTTATTTTTTAAATTTAATTTTATATTACTACTTCGGACCCCAAATAAAAATTTCTTGCTCCCATGTCTGAGTTGCCTTTTGTAAGTCGATTAATGAGGCTTTGAATAATAGTCCAACAACAATAAAAGTAATTTAAAAGTATTTCATTTTCAACATGAAAGTTGGAAAATGATAGTTAGTCCATCATTCTAATAGAATTATTGGCCAAAGTATCATCTCTGCCTTTGGGTTCCATATAGAGGGATCTAGTCTTCTAGATGGTCCCTTCTGTAACATTCACGGTGTTAGATGTATTAAATTCAATTTTTCAGCCACGGTGTTAGATGTATTAAATTCAATTTTTCAACCAGAATGTTAGACCTAAGTACCATAACTTGTAGAAGTTTAAATTTTTTGAAAAGAATATATACACTTTGAGATCTGAATTTGAAAGAGTAATGATATTTAAAATGTTCTGAAGTGACTTTAACTAAAAACCTACTTCAATGCATTTAATGGTTATAAGGAATTTTGTGATATTATTAATTGTAAATATAATATTTGAATGATATTTGTTGTAAATAGAATATTGGTCAAATACTGTAAAGTAAGAAATTATTAATTAGGCCAGCTAGTTATGTGCGTGTACTCTCTCCTATAAAAGAACCTGTATAAACTTATGAATTGTGTGCTAATATAGAGAAAATGTTTATTCCATATTTCTTTTGATGCAGAAAATTCAATGGTGGTGACTTGGCTTGTGAACTCCATGGACGAGGATATTAGCTCCAACTATATGTGCTATTCCACGGCCAAGGAGCTCTAGGACAACGTGAATCAGATGTACTCTGATTTGGGAAATCAGTCTCAGATCTACGAATTGACTCTAAAACTTGGTGAGATTTGGCAGGGAGATGACTCGATCACCAAGTATTTCAATTCATTGAAGCGCCTTTGGTAGGACATGGATCTGTTCAATGATTATGAATGGAAATCCACTGAAGATGTCAATCGCTACAAACGGACGTGGAGGCTCATCGCATTTACAAATTCCTTGTTGGGCTCAATGTGGAATTTGATAAAGTACGAGGACGGATTATTGGCAGGACTCCATTTCCTCCAGTTGGTGAAGTGTTTGCTGAGGTTCGAAGAGAAAAGAGCCGCAGACATGTAATGTTGGGGAGAAGACTACCAACGGACCTATTGAGAGTTCTGTCCTTATTGTTGCAGAGACTGCTGCTAATAAAACAGTCAATTTTTAGCGAAAAACTGAAGAGAAGCCACGGATCTGGTGCCACTTTTGCAACAAACCGCGCCATACTCGGGAGAATTGCTGAAAAATCCATGGAAAACCAGCGAATTAGAAGAGTAGCAAGCCTAGTGACAGAAATAGGCCTGCGGTTCCTACTGCTAATGAAGCTGAGACAAGTCCTTTAAGCAAAGAGCAGATGGATCACCTTCTAAAGCTGCTGAAATTTAATTCCTCATCTGGTATTCCTAGTGTTTCTCTTGCACAAACAGGTAGTGCACTTAATGCCCTTTCTTGTTGTTTAAATTATATTCCGTGGATCACCGATTCTGGAGCCTCTGATCATATAACCAGCCTTTCCAATCTTTTTAGCACTTACTCACCATGTTTTGGCCCTGAAAAAAATTAGAATTGCAGATGGTAATTTCTCACCTATTGCAGGAAAAGATTTGATAAAATTATCCGAGGATATAGATCTTAAATCTGTTCTCCATGTCCCTAAACTAGCCTGTAACCTTTTGTCTGTGAGTAAACTAACCAAATAATCTAATTGTCGTGTAATTTTTTGTGATTTTTACTGTGAATTTCAGGACCGGAACTCGGGGAAGAAGATTGGCAATGCTAAGATAATAGATGGACTTTACTACTTTGATGGAGACTTCTCCAGTAATAAAAAGGCGCAGGGCCTTAGTAGTGTTAGTTCTAACTCTGTTTATGAACAAATAATGTTTTGGCATTTAAGACTAGGACATCCTAACTTTCCATATCTTAAACATTTGTTTCCTACTTTATTTAAAGGTTTGGATTGTTCATCGTTCTATTATGAAAGTTGTTGCTTATCTAAGAGTCATCGTACTACTTATTTGCCAACACCTTATACTTCTTCAAAACCATTTTATTTAATACATAGTGATATTTGGGGACATTCAAAAGTCACTACTATTTCTAGGAAAAAATGGTTTATTACTTTTATAGATGATCATACCCTTTTATGTTGGGTTTATTTGATGAATGAAAAGTTTGAGGTTGAAATTTTTTTTAAGAATTTATACACAATGGTTGAAACTCAGTTTCAAGCAAAAAATAGCATTTTTCACACCGATAATAGAACCGAGTATTTTAATGAAATTTTGAGGAGTTTTTTGAAAGAAAATGGTATCCATCATCAGTCTACATATGTGGATACCCCTCAACAAAATAGAATTGCTGAAAGAAAAAATAAACATTTACTTGAAGTGGCTCGTGCTATAATGTTTTTAATGAATGTTCCAAAATATCTTTTGGGTGAAGCTGTTTTAACAGCTTCGTATTTGATTAATAGAATGCCTTCACGTGTTTTAAAATATAGTATGCCATTAGAATGTTTCAAAAGAGTTTTTCCATTATCAATGATATACTTGGATTTACCTCTAAAGGTTTTTGGTTGCATAGCTGTAACGACCCACTCCACCACATGGTATGATATTGTCCGCTTTGGGCCTGAGCCCTCACGGTTTTGCTCTTGGGCTTTACTCCAAAAGGCTTCATACCAATTGGAGTGACACACCTACATATAAGTACTTCACCTTTCCCTTACCCAAGTGATATGGGATTGTGCACCTGTAGCTCGCCAGTGTGGTAGCTTGTCAGTATCTCGCACCCGCCTACGGCACACCCGCCCACAAGGTCGTCACAATCCACCCCCTTTGAGGCCCGACGTCCCCGTTGGCACACTTCCGGCTGGGTTAAGCTCTGATACCATTTGTAACGACCAACTCCACCAAATGGTATGATATTGTTCGCTTTGGGCCTGAGCCCTCACGGTTTTGCTCTTGGGCTTTACCCAAAAGGCCTCATACCAATTGGAGTGACACACCTACATATAAGCACTTCACCTTTCCTTTACCAAAGCGATATGGGATTGGACACCTGTAGCTCGCCAGTGTGGTAGTCTGTCAGTGTCTCGCACCCGTCCATGGCACACCAGCCCACAAGGTAGTCACAATAGCTTTTGTTCATATACCCAATAATACTCGGCCCAAACTTGATCCTCGAGCTAAAAAATGTGTTTTCATAAGGTATGCTTTTAATCAAAAGGGATATACATGTTATAATCCCCAAACAAGAAAATTTTATGTAAGTATGGATGTCTCTTTCTTTGAAAATAAATCTTACTTTCTGAAAAATTATCTTCAGGGGGAGAATGAGGTGATGGAAGAAAATTTTTGGGATTTATTTCCTACTCCTTTACCAAATGTGATTTTGACTTCTTCATTTCATCCTACTGTTATTCCCGAAATTCAAAGTCAGGAACAATGTGATAAAACTAATGAAAACAATGAAGGGAATCCTAGTCATATAGTGCCAAACATTACTGTATCTGAAACAGGGGAAGAATCACTACAACCGGGCACTAAAGTTCCCAAAACTGAGCCTCTGGTTTATACTCAGAGAATACCTTATCAAAAGAGTCAAAGTCAACCTACTCATATTGGAAATGATCAATCTTAACCTTCGGGAACTGGACCTCCAAATATCACAGGTAATTCTGTTCCTAACTCACCTTCAATTCCTATTGTTTCTCCTAACCAATAACCATAAGACCTTGATATTCCTATAGCTGTTAGGAAAGGTATTCGAATCAAATATGCAAATCCAAAATATCCCATTGCCAAATACCTTTCTTGTGAAAAACTCTCTCATACTCATAGGGCTTTTATGATACCACTCGGATCCGAGACGCGGGTTGATCAGGCCCAGGCCCAAACCCGAGGGATATCAAACAATCAATATGTCAAACGAACACGAAATACAAAATGAATTTAAGAAACAATAGTTTAAGCTGAAAGAAAACTAAATATAAAAACCTTTAATATTAAATATACTTAAATCCCAATAATCCAAAA